TGCACAACTGCGGAAACTGCAAACAACGTCAGGAACATGCCCGGCAGATCTTCTGGCTTCCGAACCCTGAACCGTCATCTATTCACACTGGCCATCTGGAGGTATGCTTCGGGTTATCAAGTTGGGGGAGTCTCTGTCACTTGGCCGTTGGCAGCTCTGGGCATCTGTCAGTGTTGCGAGGGCTGCTCTGCCCTCTGCCCTAAGGCTAATTTCAAGCGGCTGTGAAACAGCTTGCCGGCTTCTGCGTCAACGCGAGCCTGCGCTCATTTGGAGTTGACCTGCCAACAGCAGTCAAGAAGGTGACATTCCTGATGCATGCTATGGCTATGGAGGCTTTTCAAGCATCCCCTCCCAGAAGCAACACACCGAATCAAGTGACGCCACTGCGGACCATGCAGCTGCCATCAATTCAGTCTGTGTAACGCAAGCACCAGTCGCAGCGCCTTTGCTTTTACACTTCGGATCGGGACAAGGAAGAGCTTGCTGTCTGGATCCTCCTGGCAGTCTCAAATGCTACGAGTAGTAAGTGTTGAGTCGGTTGGTTGGAGAAGATTGCCACATGCACTGCAATGTGTATGGGCCCTCATTCAACACTCAGACCTGGATCCTCTGACTTAGCCCATGTGGAATTGTTCGAAAATCAGGGCTTCCTTTCGGGAATCGGTTTTAAGATATTCATCCGGCTGACCCCCACATCCCAAATATGCTGTAGGCTAGTGCTGAGGGCCACCTCCAACTTCCTGTTGGAGAAGTCTTCCCAAAGGACGGTGTCCCCGACCTCCAGAGCCTGAATCGGTGTTCCGGTCGTGGGAGACATTCGGTGCTTCTGGTGCTTGTCGTTGATCACAACTTCTTGGGCTAGGCCCGGCTGCTTCCTGTTATCGGGTGGCCGTCGGACCCTTGCAGACTTAGAACCGGGGCTGAGATCTGCAGTCAGCGCTCAACATCTCTGCGGAATACATGAACCCTCCTGGGCCCAGGCTCATGAACCGATGGGCCCTTTCAAAAGTCCTCTGAAGCCTGAAAACTCCGGTGCCCTCCACCGGAAGCCTCCAGAAGCTTCGGCTCTCGCCTCGCATCGCTGCGAGCTTTCAAAAGGCCCAGCCGCAAGGCTACGGGTAGCTACGTGTCAAGGCTACATGCGTCAGGGCTTCACTGCCCATCCCAGCTCTAGACACGCTTCAACCGAACAGCTAGTCCACCGGAGGATGAACACCTCTCTTCACCTTCACCGTACTATGACTTTTATGACCGGCACTGCAACACCGTGCCGCTAACGCCCCCAGCAGCAACACAACCACCACCTCTACCATCACAAAAACGACTCACAGATGGAGACTATTTTCTCTTCTGACTTCGATCGCTAAGGTTCACACTGATCCTTGGCTCGGCCGGCACCAAGCGCCTCCACCCGGCCTGTGTGCGGAATTCATGATCGCTTGGCAAGCCGAGTGCTTTTCAAGGCATGCAGGGGCCAGTGCGCAGTCCAAGTCTTGCAGAGCCAGTCTGGTAATAGCGAACCAACCGATTTTCACAAGAAGCATTTGGTGCTGCTATTTGTAATCCGGTCAAGAGAAGCCGCGAGCGGAAAAAGGAGTTTTTAACACAAATGGACCCTGAACCCAATGTCCCAATGTTTACCGAAGGTTTAAAACCGAACTTCGATTCCCTTACAACTGTAATAACAACAAAAAGTAGTATTGAATAATCATGGTAATAATGATAACAATACTATTATAGTATTGTAGTATTATAGTTAGTATTATAATAATATTATAATACTGTAGAATAGTACCATTATCATTATTATATGGGGCCTAGTCGAAGCCGGGTCTTCTTCTTGCTACCTTCGGCGAGGAGGAGGCCGAATCCCTCCTGCAGAAAAGCAAGCGTTGTAAAGGTTCGGAGTGGTGGGCTTTCAGTTACTTACTATAAGGGATCTATAAGGGAACTTTTTGTCACTCGCATGGCTATAAGGGTACTATAAGTTAGGGAAGGCCTTGCCCAGTTTGGGTAATTGCACCACCACGGCCCAAATCATAGCCATTATATCCTAAAACACTTTACCATATAGAAAACAAGGCGCAATGACACAAAATGGAGAAGGTAATGGGGTCGCCCAGTTTGGGGTATTACATCACCGTGAACATATATAGCCCAATAATCACAACTAGTAGCTCATTATTCATAAAATACTCTATCTCATCCTGTTCATCAGGTACCTATCTCCCAGTTCACTCTTGCAGTTCGTTCCTTAAGCCTTAAACCTACGGGCCACCAAAGCGCACTCATAAACTCGAGATCGTGGCTTGCATTGTAGCTTTGATGTGCGAGAGATAAGAGGTGAATGGTAGCAACCTATGTCCATTGCACGGGAAAGGAACAGCGCGCGTCTGAGTGTCCTTACAATACACGGCCGCCGAAGAGGTTTTCGGACAAGGCAGGGAAGCCAAGAGTCCGAATTCTGAGCTATTTGTGGATACTGGCATCCAGACATGACGGGCCGAGCGGAGCTTAGGTAGGGAAAGCCACGAGCCCTTAGCCTTTTCTGCTGTCAAAGACTTTTGAAACCCCGAAACCGTAGCAAGCTCTCTCCTCGGCTTCATCCAGCTCCTCGAGGAGAACCTGCAGGTGCTGCCGTTTGAGAACTTCGGAAGCTTTTGGCTCTGTAAGTCTCGACTTACAGTATCGGTTGTTTAGGCTCAAGGCGGGTGCAGGTTCGACTGCGCTGCGTTTCTGCCTGCTAGAAACCATCCTCAAAGATCGAACAAGCACCAAACAAGTTCCAAAACTGCACGAATGTGATGAAGACGGAGCGCCGCTGCCATGGTAAGGTGTAGCCACGGCTACAACTCCAAGTCACACCCAAGCACCAAAAGGCGATGGGGTGGTGTAAGTCTCCCGAAATCAACTCATGCCCAGTCGGAGTCAAGCCCGCTGTGATCCCAACGGCCTTATCCTTCAATGATGAGCGCAAGTAAGCTGCGGTGCTATGATTGAGTGTTGCCATGCTGTGGGGCCAGTGCATTGGGACCTGGGGTAGACTGCTTACCATTCTTGCCCCTCAAGACCTTCTGACAACACACGAAGTGTCTGGCTAATCCCGACGTCGGACAGCAGCAACATCGGGCCTGGTTTCCTAATGGCGTGATTTGCGCCCCAAGGGCACTGCGATGGCCTGTGCCAAGAAAGTAGGGATTCGAACATTGTGGGAGTTCCGGTTGCACTCTGCCAAGAGTCAAGGCCTCGCGTTTGCTGCGGCTTCCAACCTCCCACGGTGCCCGGGGCGCAGCACCGTGCAGCGAGATCCAAAGTCTGCAAACACGACGGCCCGTCCTGCCTCCGGCAAACGCCAAGGAACAAACGACGGTCGCCTGCGCTGATCAAAACAACCCTCTGCTGCATTGAAACTGAAACTCATGGCATTTCGCCTGTTTGCCCTTCGCCATCTAAGACAATATGGATCACCCCCCACTCTGTTCCAAGGCCCCAAGGCCCCCGAACTGCTCCGGAAAACCCGCCGCTCTTTCACCGAGGCCGTGGCCGCCAAGGCCGCCTTCGCGGGTAGCGCAAGGCCTCAAAGCGCATGGCTCTTTGGACTTAGTAGGGGTTCTTAAAGGGCTCCTTGAAGGAATCTATAGGGCTCCGTAAATAAAGGCTTCTTAAAGGGCTCCGAAAAGGGATCTATAGGGTTCCGAAAAGGGTACTTTGCTCTCAAGACGCTGGGGCCTAGGTAGCCGTAGCCGCAGTGTACTTTTCGAGAATTCTTGTAGACCCGGAGGCCTCAATGGCCGAAACCATGGGACCTATTACCGCGCCTCTGCTTTGAAGCAGGCGGCCCATTGGCTCAGGGCCACTCCGCAACAGCGGAAGCTCTGAGCTGATCTAAGCTCGGGAGCCCAAAATCTGCTTCGGCAGAACATGTCCGGACATGGGGGGTAACTATAGTCCTGTGACAAATTCCTCGGAACCGGATGCGAGGCAGGTTCGCTTTGACCATGCCCGGAACCCTGAAATGTGTGGCCTTGCGCTTGCGGCTGCCAGGCCGCAGGGATGGGAAAGACTTGCCCGCAGGATACTGCAACCTGTGCCGTGCCGGTGAGAATGTGAGCAGGCGTTGGTGAGGGTTTTGCGACAAGCACAGTAGGATGGGTCAGTCCAACGCAGAGTTCGTTGATGTGCAATGCTCCCTTGAAAGCGATGTGACAAAAGCACTTTCCCGAAGTCTTGGCACTCGCTCTCCACGAAGCAGTCGAGGTTTATGTAACTTTGAAAGTTATATGCCATGAATTTTAGGCAGACGGTCAATCTTCAACGACATCGACGCCGAACCAAAGCTGTTTTCGGCAAAGTTCCGACGCTGTGCCGCTTGTGTTGCCGACCGGGAGAGGTTCATGAACTGACCAGTCGAGGCAGATGCAAGCAGACGAAGCCTGTCCTATTGAGGTCGTCTTTCCAGCTTGTAGCTCTGCGTACTCTGTATAGCTATTGGGTTTGTGAGTATTTGGTAGGACGAGGACAGTGGCACCGCCATGGCTGCGAAAGCAACGACAGCAGCAATGGTGGCGGTGGCAGTCACGTTCCATGACCGGGTTTGGTCCTGGTTTGGTCATGGCACTGGCGACGAACACCAGCTGCTGGAGGTCTCTTCAACTGTATGTTGCATGCAGCTCGTCATCGGCGTGCACTTTTCAGCGCTGTGTCGCGGCGTTCTGCAGTGACATCCGTGCCCGAAAATGTTTGTCTCTAAGCAATAGTCCGTACTCCAATCGATTGCCAGGCTGCCAGTTTCGCGGACTCCATGTGATGCCTTCGCCAGGCCTTTGTAGTTCTTGTTGCAAACGCACGTCTTCACATCGACAGAAACATCAGGAGCCCAAGACTGTGCTTGAAGGCCCCATGCATTCTGCTTATCATCCCAGTGGTCTACGCCGTCCAATCCGACACGGGACATCTGCAGTGACCCCAAACCCAAGCAGCGACATGTTTCAGCTCGCGGCCCTTCGACCAGATGCAGCTGGAAGGTCTCACGGGGCCTGTCGAAAATGAGCTAGTCTTTAACGCGGATGTCCAGAAGCGTGAGGCTTGCTGAACACATCATGTTTCCCGGGTCTCAACTGCAACGGACAAGTCGCACAAAAACTTTAAAACTGGCTTCGTCATGTTGCTTCTTCGAAGTTTAACGCGCCCCCACACACACACACGCACACACGCACACATCCATCACTCGCGGACGCTGCTTGCAGGCTGCAGACTTGCTGCTGGTATTCGCCAGCGACAGGTGGTCTACCTGCCAGCAGGCGTGTTTGAAATCATGCTTTGCAGTAAGCCTTGAGATTACTATATGAGTTACTGTAAGATTACAATAAAGGTTCCTAGAAGGCGCCAGAAGGCGCCAATATTACTATATGGCTACTAGAAGCGAGTTTTAAAAAGCATCCACGGCCTGGCCATGGATGACCACGAGATCGCCAGCCTGGCGATTTGATGCATGCTTCGGCTGCTTTGGATCGGAAAAAGCCATTGCCACCGTGACGACTTCGCCGCACGGGGAAAAAGCATGAAACTCCGTCAGATTGAGCCGGTAATTCAGGGCCCATGTGGCTCAAGAATCTGGCCATGCTACCTCTCCTTTTTGGTGTTCATGTATAGAACCCTATAAGGTAATCCCAAAAAGGAACTACCGGGGAGGGCTGTTTCAATGCCAGGCCTCACACTCCAAAGCTGCAAAGCCTTTCTCCCGCAAGCCGCTGCCTAAGTGCTGGACAAGGACGGCAACACACTCTCATGCAATCATCGCTCACAAGCAAGTCGCACATGAAGCTTGCCATGAACTGTTCACACGCAGACACGACTGACATCTGCAAAGGCGCACTGCTCGCATTTTGACTGGGGCGAACTCGAGGCCCCGCACGTACGGCTGGGCCAGGCAGTCCACACAGGCTGTCATACTCGCTTGCCGCTTCCTGCCCTCAGCACGGCTTCGTGTTCTCGTTGCATTCCGAGTCGCCCACTCTATGGTGCAAGTATTTTTTGCCTGTGTTGTGACTGCCGCACGTTTCCCGGGTCGTCGTGCATATTTTGACTTTTTTGGCCGCCTCGTCGTTCCACATCATGCAGCACAGCGTCTCCTTCCGGCTTTCAAGGTCTGCCACACGGCCCTGGAGGTCCTGGATCATCTGCAGGAGGTCGGCATTGCTGACTTCTGCACTGGAGCGCACAGCGCCGGCAAAGGTCAGCACATAGCAAGCAACGACAGCGGCCAAGCGCGCAATGGAGTTGTGACGGAGAAGAAAGGATCAAACAAGAGATCAAGTTTGGGCCAAAAGATTGCTCTTGCAGGGGAACACTGCAAGAGCTTCGAACTCCTGCGCACTCTCGACATCCCTTCCCGGCCCCCTGAGCCTGGCACTTGGTGGCTCAGAGCCGGCGGGCATCTTGCCCTGAGATCACGGCTTAGAGCTGCAGGCAAGTTGCAGGTGCTTGCACCCGCGGGAATTTGGCGTTGCTTGGGGTGATCATTGAGGAGCTTGGAGCTGTGGAGTTATCCTGAGGCTCGTCTGCTGTTTGCATGGACATAAAGACACACTTCAGAATCTAGCCGATTCAACCACGGAAAGCTTGCCTCCCATTCCCATGGCGGAACCTGCACCATGGGACGGTGGGATGTTCCGGCACTTCAAGCTCACCATCAAGTTCTGGAGCAAATTTGAATACGCGATCAGGAACTATGTCGTCGCAAGTCTTGCTTTGAGTGTGCAAGGTGCCCCTCGGCTGAGGGTCAGTTTTCCCGAGAATCACAGAGGAAAAGCTGGCACGGTGCCTTGCCGTCATCCAGGTTCTGGAAGATCAGCTGCCTATGTGATGCAAACTTGGTGAAAATGATGCCGGTAGCAGTGCTTTGCTGTTCAGGTGCGTGCACCGGTTTTCGAATGCAACACATGCATCAGAGGATCGGACATGCATTTAAAGTTGAACTCCATGACTGTGACGGGGGATTCACTGTAGATTAGGCTTACGGCATTCAGAGCGGTAACTGTCACGGTCTCAGGCGCTGTCAACCTCAACCTCACTGCCTCATGAGGCTCCCCCATGCGGGAAGAAGATGATAATAACAACAGAAAAAAACAACAAATGCTGCTTATCAGGCACCCGGCGTGGCTTTCCGGTTTCCTCCTTCGAAGTACTCGTGGTTCCGCACCTCAGCGGTTTGTGTACTCCCTCAACGGTCAAGAAGCGAACATCAATGCCCATAGGAGCTGCTGATGGCGAGAACTACCACACCTAAGTGGAAAAAGCACCTTCAAAGGTGCGATCTGATTCTGAGAAACGGTCGAAGATCCTTCGAACAGCTTCTTTGTGCGAGCCAGGCCTCCAGTCGACAAATAGAATGGTTTCTGGGAGTTCAGGTGTTGAGGTGAAGCGAAGGCGAAGGGAAAAGAAAATGCACGGTAAAGCCTCGAAGATTAAAATTCTGCTGTTCCAGCGGGTAAGGGATGCAAAACCGCCAGCTTGACATGCCGTGTTCGGCAAAAGATGTCACAAGGCAGCCTCCTTCGAACAGGCCATGCACAGCGTTCCAAACTTCAAAGCCCATTCTTTGGTGTTCTTTGGCACTCGGCGCAGAGTCTTCGAGGTGCCTGGCCCACAAGCAGCCGTTCTCCAGAGTTGCATCATCCAAGGCCAGCCACAGACCTGAGACTCTCCAGCTCAGGGGCGGATGAACTTCGACGTCTCTTGCATATTATGAGATGGAGTTTCTTCAGAAGCACATCTCCCTGCAATCACACGGTTATGCGCAGGCATTTACGTACGGTGTGGGTCAATTTGAGCTTCGGCTCGATGCACCTGAAGGGGTCTCCAGTGACTGTGTGTCGTTGCGCCTCGTCGGTCAGCATGTTCTCATGTCTGTGTCGATTCGTGTGATCCGTCGGCATCAGCACCTTCTTCATGCCCGACTCCTATCCCTGGCCCCAACCACTAAAGGTCACCAAATGCAGCATACAAGCAAGTCGTGGCTCCCACTAAGCATGCCGGCTCCGAAAGGCTGAGAGCCAAAGCCCATGCAGGTAGGCTTGGGCGTCGTGTACAGGAAGGAGGAATCCTCGTAGTAACGCAGATCAACTCTGGTGCTCCGAGGCAATCGGGTGCTGCTGGGTGGCCAAATGGCCCCTTTGCTGCCTGGTGACCTGGTGAGAGGTGACCTCGCTTCCGGTAGCCGGCTGCTTGAAGATGTACATGGACTGCGGCAACACCTCCGCCCAGCTGCAGTCATGCCACGCTTTGAAGCGCCATGGGAGTCTGGTGCCGACAGCAGTCAAACTGAAGTACGACTGAAACTTATGTTCGCAAACCTTGAATTACGTCCCTAAGCATATCTAGAATCTTACCCAGCAGCAGTCGAGGCAGTTCATATTATGCATCCGGCCACCAGTTCCCAGGAGGCACCGGGTCACGCCAGCCAAGCTCCGCCACAAGCTCCGCCACCTGAAACAGGGTCTATCCTCTGCGACGTGCTCTCCGCATCACCAAATGCGAGCCGGAGCGGCTCAAACAAGCCTTGGCTCGCAATCAAGCGTCTCTGGGTTTGGCCAAGCCTTGCTGGACTGGCTGTACTCCCGGAACACAGGATCCTCAGCAACGAACACCGATTTTCTGAGGACTTGCGGTGTCGCAAGCGGGCAACACCATGGTATTTGTCGCGCATGTTCGCGAGCACTTGGAAGCAAACTGCCACGTGAAGGCCGTGACCAACCTCGCACACAGCACGAGGGTTCGGCTGCTCTGACAAATGCAAGCTGCCAGACTTCATTTCCGCCTGAATCTTCGCCTGACTTGCTTTCCAGCCTTGTTCAGGGATCGAGCTTTAGAAACGGACTTCTTGATCTTGCCGTCCTGAACATGCAGAGTTGCAACACAGCAGAGACGAGACCTGCCCGGGAGTGGCGATGAGGTCCTCATCTCCTGCATCCTTCTCGATGAAGAAGTGGATTCGGTCGGCACTGTCCAGGAAGTAGTCGGAAGCTCCCTGACCGGCAAAGAAACCCTTCAACGAGCCTCGGACCTGTCCCCCTGCGGAGTGAGGGACAGGCCTGCATCTCCAGTTGGTCCTTCACATCGGTAGAGAACTTCGTCAGCTTCCTGATTGCTAGGGGCTGTCAGGGAAGAGTCATGGCCATGGCCAAGAAGAACAAAGCAGCGCCACTTGGAATGCTAAAAAGAAAGTCATGAACATGCGCACAACTTCTCAAACCTGTTGTGCTTGGGGCTGCTCTGCAAAAGTTGCCTCCACTCGTAGCTGGTCATAACAAACGTCCTTTCGCTTGACTTGGGCTGCCACTCTGCCTGTGGATCCCACGCGTCCACGAGCTCCTCAAACGCCCAAACAAGTTAAAAGAAATCGGAACCATAACAGTGATGAAGGACGGCCCACTACTCAAACTAATGACAGAGAATAGCTGCAGCTTGTCCGAGGGCGAGCATGCCCCAAAGCTCTTGGCTCAGTGTGTTGGAATCCAAAACTACAGAAGTCACATCGACAAGTGGCACAAAAGACCAATAGTCCGAAGCTAACCAAACCGGACTGCTGAGGACGACTTGTTCCTGATAGAAATTAGAGCGGATGCTTCATCAGGCCTCCAACTGGCACAACAAATGCTGCTGTTGACTTAAGACTTGAACCGAAAAGCTTCCTCTAGCACAGCTCAGTGTGTGCTTGCAGAAGTTTCCAGGCCTCCATTCTGGCCTTCATCTTTTGGCACCTGCTTCAGAGTAGTTTCAAGCACGACAGAAGACTAAGATCTTCTGCCGGTCAGCTGAGATGCCGGCTCATCCTTGGACGCGAAGTTTTTCAGGAGGAGAAAACCGTCCTGCTCGAACTTCCGTCCTTAGGTCAAATGTGACTTCCACGCTGCAGCACTCGTCGATGATACGTGTGCTTTATGACTGAGATGTGTGGGCTCATGTTCCCAAGATTCTTCGCCCTCTTGGGGCCCTGTTTCGCTTTGAATGCTACAAAGTTCCCATCCCTGTCACGGACGGCAACATGAAAGCATGACAGTAGCAGCTTGCTTGGCAAAGCCAGGCACATGGTTTGACAGTTGGGCAAGTGACCATCCTCCTGCAGTATACAAATGATAACAATAATAACTAAAGAGCCGGGATACCTTGATCGAGACCAGCATAAAACAGTCTTGTTGAGATGCGTATCATTTGCCCATGTACTGTTGCATTGGTTTCGAACCTGATGGTGCACGATGCAAGCATTGTGTGAACGCGCCGAAAGATTGCGTTCGGAGGAGTCAGTTCCGTATACCCTGATCCTGCAAAGACTTCACGACAAGAGATCGTTCAGCGTGGAGCATCACAGATTGCAATCATTAGAATCGAAGTTCTGCCCACATCGAACCACCAGAAAAAGAGTGCGATACGTAACAAGCGATCCACACGAAGCCGGGCCGGGTCCGCTGCGTCTCTCTGAGGGATCCTTCGAAGAGCAGAGCTTTCTGGATAATCCTAGGGCCCTATAGGAGCCATTTAGCAGCCTCGGGATCTATTAGGGCTTCCTGTCCGTGTCTACATAATATCCGGTGGCCAGTATTCCAAATAATCCATCTCTGCCCTGCGACACTGCTAAGAGCCGTCTTCCCACAGGATATGACCTCAAATATTTTGAGTCTTCGGGATGAGGAACGGCGAAGTGAAGTCTCGTCCCTGTAAGCTCTACAAGTGTTTAGGGTTTACGGCTGAGGGTTTCCGGTTTCCGAGTCTTGAATGTCAGAGTTGGGGGTTGGTTGATGTGCTTAGTTTCGTGTTCAGAGTCTGTTGCGGCTCTGACGGCTTAGAGTTGTGGAGTTCTGGCACTTGGTAGTTTATTGAGCGGATATTAGGGCCAAATAAGGGGAACATGAGAGACACTCACAGGATCCTCTGTCGCTGGCATTGCGCCACCGGTTGGGATTCAAAAACTGGAGTCCGACATTCAGTTTGCAGTTTGCTTCATGGTTGATATGCTTCGTCTTGTATGTGACAGATGTATTGATCTCGACATGGGTATAAGGATGGAGATCCGAGCATCTTGCTTTCTGTAAGTTGTGTACGTCTTGCTTGCACCCACATGGGCAGAAGGCTTGAATCCACATGTGCACCAAAGGCCGTTCAAGCTAAATTAGCAGCTAGACACTGCAATCCACGATCTGCGTCTCATTCGACTGACTGTGCTCTTTTTGCTCGTGCTGATGCGCGGAGCATCCACGACAAACGATAGTGCAGAAAAAGAGTCTATGGCAGTCAGCACAGGCTGAGCCATTCATCTTTACCTGCATCCTTGTGGACGATTTCATCCAGCATCACACGCGCATGCAAGTCTTTCATTCGCGACTACATCCACCCAGCTAAGGTAGTCCGGAGTCCGGGCAGCTGTCCATCTACTCCGACACAACACGTTGCAGGGCGACTTCTTTCGACGCTCGGAAATTTCGGGCAAGTTCTACATGAAGCTTATTGAAGCCCACAAACATTGCCAGTAACCTTTACCCAAGCACTAAAGCCTAACCCTTACACTGACCGGTCCCAAGAAGCAGTGAAAAACAGCTCAAAGCGGAGAGCAGTGTGCCCATGCCAAGCTTTGACAGAGTCGTTAGCCAGTTGACACTATGTACCATTCAGTGGAAGCGTTGGGGATTCTGGTGCTCATGATGATGCTTTCTCTGTATATGCCGTCTATGCATGCCATCTATGATGACTATACTCCTGTCCTTGCCAAGCAACGATGTAAAAGATTCAGAGACAAACGCGAACAAACGAGCAACAACGGGCTCCAAAGAGGAACACTAACACACACACACACACACAAACAGCACCAGGTCAATGAACCCATGCAATCATGTAGCTACATGCACATTTCGGCGCAATCGCACAAATCCCTTCACATCTGGATCTTGTTCTATCTACTATCTACATGCCTATCTGCGAACTTGCTTGTACGTATGTATGTGTATATGGCTGGATGTATGCATGTACCTATGTGGTGTAAGTACGCGTGTACGTGTGCATACATGTAGGCAGGCATGCAGGTGGTGATCGTGATGCTCTTTGCTTTCCATGTCTGCCACACTTCGTATTACAAGTTTGATGGGCAACATCTTAGGTGATGTTGGGTTCCTGTCAATGCAAGGCCGGACAGGTCTCACGAAGCTCAGAAGCCTCGAGGTCCTCTTCGCTGAGCTACCTTGGCAAGGCACGACCCCTGACATACACTCCTGGCATGCCAGACCCAACTCAAAGCAGTGGACCGTCCTTGCCCTCCCACTCCGAAATGGCTGCGCACTCATACCAAAGCTCGGAGGCTTCACACGGCAAAGCTGAGCCGGAGGCCCAATCAGCAACAAGGTTTGTTACGTTCCGCGCGCCGATGAGGGACCTCAATCGTGATCTCTTATATGTACATACATCGCAGACCATACCCTAGTAGAACATCTACACGTGCTGCTTCGCTGGTCTCTGCCCAAGCCCACTGTCGGTGTACAGCATATGTCCAAGGATGTCCAAGGCATGGATGTGTGGTCTTTGGGCAGGACTGGACAGCAGCACGGCTCCAATCGACCAAGAACCTAGTGCCTGGGATGCAGACATCTCCATTGCAGATGCCACCTGCACGCGAAGAATCTTCTGAGGCCCACGTGCCTCTTGAGCTCACGCATGATCTGAATGGACGCCCTCCTACATCGTCGGAATACTGCTAGTCTAGGAGCGATCCGAAGCTGGTCCCGTTAAAGATACTCAAACGCGAAACACGACTGACTACCTCTCTACCTGAAAGCCGTGGTCTTTGCGTTCACAGGATCTGAGCGATTTCGACTCCCAGTTTTGGGCATACCGGAGTCGATCGTAGCTGTGCTTTTGCACCCGGCAGCTGGATGATTCGAGCAAGCGCCAATGCAACCCGTAAGAACAGGGAGCCGCCTGCTCGATGGCATTGATGTAGAAGACCTCGGCGGAATGCAGCGTGGTGACCATGACCCCATGCAGGCATGGTTCAAAGGTAGGACGTACCGCGGTGAATCTGTAACGCAAAATCAATCCGACTCTCGTAGCCGCCCATGAGCAGTCTTCTCGCGCAATGAGCGATCGCGGGAGACACATCACCGGGGACCAAACCCCATCCTGGTCGAGCACGAACGGCCGAAAGCCCTGTGGGATTGTGTATTGCGGATAGGCGTACCTCGGTTGATGCACAGCTGGTGCGTTCGAACTCCAGCCTTGGTTGGGTTTGGAAGGACTTGAACTGGCTGAATGAAGACCAGAACTCCAGAGAAACAACTGGTGTCTTGTCTTTGACAGTGCTTGAGTGCTTTACAAGCCTCGTCTCCGTGCGAAAGTTCTCAGTTGCTCACCAGTCCACCACATGAAGCGGAGAGGATCGGCAGCGATTAAACCTTAGCATGCCATGAGGCGGAGCTGCATGAAAACCTGGGGCTGCTCGTTCCGCCTCGTCATCTATAATTATCGTTGACGCTGCAAGGTTTGGTTCCATGTCAGGATTCGCTTACACTTTGCGTGGAAGCTGAGGATAGTGATAGTATCCAGCATGCAATGTGATCTGTCGTACCTCTAATCCAGGTGTGATGCCCATTCGTATGCTAGAGTGCTATGGCATGCTCGCGGAGAAGGGCAGGACAGAAAAGAGCACAAGCCCAACACATCTTACGGCCTTAGGTTATCGAGGAATATCTTTGCGAACCTTAACCTGACAAGCTGGAAGCTAAAAGTATCGCCTGGAACTCCTAACCTCGAAATCTCGAGATGCGTCCGGCGGCCATTTGTCCAGCTCTTCTTCAGGAAGCGGCTGAGGGGCAAAGACTTTGTACACCTTCAGCTTGGACTTAGCCTAGGCCTTAAGCTTCAGGGCATGAAGCTTTAGGGTTACGTTTGTTCGCTTTAGTTCTGCAGGTTGTCCAAACTAGCCATGTAAACGGTTCCTGAGAGCAGGACTTGCCACACGGATACATGACGGGGGACCTGCTACGGAACCTTCTTGTTCGACCTTGGATCTGTCTATATCATCCGGATTGCGCTTGCAAAGCCATGACGAACACCAGCCCCCAGCAGCAAAAGCCTGTGAATGTCAAAGCTGACACTTTCGACCCTCGGCATGACCAGCAACGCCGTCAAACCTATGGTCGTCGGCAAAAGCCCAACATATCGCCCACTATGGAATCCAAAGCTTCAACCTAAAGTCCGATCCTTTCCTGCCTGCGGCTCTCCCTTTTCGGCGCTGGCAACGATCTGCAGTCAGGCTCTGGGGTGAAAGCTTCGAGCATCAGTTGAAGCTGAAATGAAACTATCACAGTTTTCCGGAAGTTGTGGAGTCGTCCTACGCTATTGTCGGTTGCCTCAAGACTTCTTTGCAGCCCCCAAGACGCAGGGATGGTTGGAGTTCGGGTGCTTTTCGCTTACCTAAACAAGTGACAGTGTGTCAAGTCTGCTCATGGCAGGAAGTCAAAAACCAGGAGCTCATCGTCCGTGCCGACTGCATGATACGGCCAATAGCTAACGTGATTACATCGTGTAGTTCGCGGTGGCAGTTTGGTATATCCCGCAATTGACCATTCCAGATCTGTGAATCAAGGCTCGTTGAGGATGCATGCTTGCTTCAGTATCTTCGACACTTGAAAATGTGGACTGCTGGTCGCACCGGCGAGGACTTGCTACCTTCTGGTCCTGAGCCAATTTTGACTTCCACCGGCCTCGGCCGCCTGGGCCGGTGAGGCTGTGTCCACGGGCAGCTGCAAGCCTGCACAAGGAGAGACTCCGTGAATGCTAATTAAGTCGGAGGCAGCGCGCACTGCGGCACCAAGGCTTCCCGGCTGCTATCTAAGCCCGCCTATCGAGTAGAAGGGGGTTGTAGCATCGGCGGTCGTCAGTATCTGCGCTGGAGCCTGGGCGACAGAGCTGTGGAAGGGGCTGCGATAAGGTTCGACGAACGAGAGGCAATCAGCAAGATATTGCGCCCCCCCGAAGGTAGGAATACCTTCAGTGAAGTATCTGCATCTGCACCGCATTCAAGTGTGACGCTTGTGCCAGAGACCACGAACTTTGCTTCCTTCCAGGCCGTCCGGCGTGAAAGAAACAACAATGATCAACTATGCTTCCTACTCCATGCCTGGGGCGCCTGCTGGTGGCCCTCAAAACTAAATCAGCTCTCGATTGATGCGGGTTCATAGTCACTGCGACAAGAGCGGCATCAGAAGCATTCAGGAGCAGTCGGTGGCGGTAGACAGGCGTCTGTAGTTGGTCATCAGTTCGCGATGTTTCACCGGTAGTACCAGGAGCAGTAGTCCCAATCGTCGCAGGGCGCTCTACTCCCAGTAAGGTCGTGGCAAACAGCGGCATAGAGGCCTGAGGGTCAGCCTGGCCCCACGTTTGCTTAGTCAGGTGTCAGCCAGGCTTCGACCTTGAAGTTGCCCGCCCCTCTTTGCAATATCCTTGTGGTGTCTACATTGATTCGTGCGTCTCTGTGTGTGTGTGGTTTAGGCTCTCGGCACTGGTAGTTTAGGGCAGGCTGGTCGGTCCCTGTCACCCACTCCCAGTGCAGGGTAAACCGCATGTCATGCCGGAAGATGTTCAGTATCAAGCCAGATAACGAACGCTTGTTCGCGCACAGGTGGCTGGCGCACTAATTCCTCACAGTGTGATGATGTACATAATCTCAGGATACGTGCGAGTGCGCTCTGCTGAATGCGGCGTCCGCTACAGTCGAGTTGGACCCAAAATTTGGCTCGACCTCGTAAGCTCCAGCTGCCGCTCTCAGCTCCGTCGGAGTGGCTTGGCGAAAGGTGGCCTGGCACAAATAGATGTGAGGATATGTGAGGCGTACAAAGGAGAGTCAGGGATGGTCATAACGACAGTGATCGCAATGACTTGCCGGTGATGCTGGCAGCTGGGAGTGGCGCTGCTCTTACTGAGTGCAGAATTCAGAATTCGCCTCCGCGAAGTAGCGCAGGTTGAGCGTGCCACGGAGAAAGTGCGCAGCGCAGCGCCTGCTTCGGTTTGAGCCCGAGATCTGGGACTTGGGTAGTGGATGACAATAGATCTGAATATGTGAGTCGTTTTTTCAAGCATTTCGGCGCTGCATGTCTGCAAGGCAATCGCGCGCCACGTTCCATCGAACAGTTTCAACACAGAATCAATGGTTCAATGCAAGCACATTCAGCTAGGAAAAAGTTGTTGATATCTTTTGATGAGTGTTACTCGTAAGTGGACGTGGCTTATGTCTAGCTGTCATGTGCCAATTTAAGATTGCTTTCGGGCCCGAGTTGCTATGAGCACCTCGCGCAACCCTCAGGCAGAGCCTCGCCTAAACTGCGGCGTCGGCCTTGCCTCACGTGGGGCGAGCAGCCAGTATGTCTTAGAGTCACAGCGGCATAGTCCAATCGGCGCTCTCGCTAATCTCATCTTGAGTCCAGCTCTGCAGCTGGCAGCCCTACATGTGCACTGGGCCAACAGCTGTAAGTCAGACTCAATGAAACAGTCAACATCAGGAGACCCAGCCTGCATGGTTTCGCAGCAACCCTGCGCGAGGTGCTTGGCTCTTCTCGAGGTGTTTCCACAGCAAGGGTATCAGCATTCTGAAGGATTCTTCGGAAGCTATGATTGTCGCTGACGCAACGGCAACTCCGCTAATTGAACTTCGGCTACCGGCAACTAGCAGAAGGAACCCATTGTTCACAGACCCCAGCGCTTCCAGCGAAATTTTTTACTTGAGCAGATCTGACTGGAACTGAGGAGAATGCAGCAATCTCCATCCACAGAAGCATTGGAAACAAAGACGGCTTCAGTTCTCTGGAGTCTGTTCACAAGCTCACGCCCTCTCTCTCATCGGAGCCTCGAAAAGGTTTGGGTACAGGCGCAAGCAATGCATAATTGAACTTGGAACCCGGTACGTAGCTGGGTCATACTGGGTCTTGCAAGCCGTCTTCACGAGCTTAGTTGTCATCCTGGACACATTTCAACTCTGCACAGGTTCCCTGGTTCGATCCGTATGCTGCCAGCCTCGAAGCAAAGGTTGGAGTGCTCTAGCGGGTGGGCCACAACAACGATGTGGAAGGCCTGTGACCGCTGCATGTAAGACAACAGCAAATAACCAGATGGAGTGACATGTATAAAAGGCATCAACATGTAGTAGTCTATGGTCATTTGCAGTCGTACCTGTGGTGGTGTAAGAGACCGTACGGTCACAATCAGTCACACGCAACAAGACGGCCCCCCCAAAAAACCAAGCAGGTACAAAACAAGTACTGTACATGCACATCTACGAACATGTAGCTGCATCTAATACGGCTTACCGCTGCCGCTTGCTCGAATGCCATACATGAGATTTCACAGCTTCAAGCGACCTGCATCATACCGAGGAAACCTGCAATCCCTGAACCCTGAAACCTTGGTAGATGTTCAATCACAGCGGTGATAACAACAGGAATGACCAAGCAACAAACAACAGGCACGGCCCAATGAGGATGGTAGTAGTCTTAGGAGTCGCAACACGAAGCTGAATACTCGTGCTTAAAGCTTGTCCGCTTTACGCAGTCCCTTTCTTGCCGCCCCGGTGGCCTCCACGCGGAGGCCCTCCGTTTCAGGCTCTTTGGCCCCCCGTGTCGAGGCCAAAGGCCAGCCAGAGGGGCCTCAGCTGAAGCGAAGATGAGTAGTATCATGGCTACCATGATGATGTTCACCTCATATTCCGACTGAGAGCGCTTGAATGCTGCGGTGAACGATGCACTCGCCATTTGAATGTCCGGAGTCTTTGAATAACACTCCTGCTCGTTGCACTACATAGCGACTGCAAACATCACACCGCTCCCGTTTCTGACAAGCATGGCAAAAACCGTGCATCCAGAACTGTTAAGGACCACAGTCGTAGGGCTTGTGATCAGGACAAGCGATGACTGTGCCGGCAATCTGAGACACTCGCCGGCATTGCTTCCCGGCTCTGGCAAGGCCTGAGCTGGCTTGTTTAGGGTTTAGGGGTTTAGGCGGCTTAGGGTTTAGGGTTTTCATTTTCTTTTGAACGGCCCTTTTTTCCTCCTAGCAATGAATCCGAAAGCAGACTTTCGCTGGGCGTGTGGTAAAGCTGGTTGTCAGCTGTTGCACCCCCCGGAAAAAACAGCTGATCGCGCACATCCGGGTTTAGGGTTTAGGGGTTCAGGGTTTAGTGCTTAGCGCTTAGGGTGTTGACATGTATTATTGGAATGATGGTAGATGGCAGCAAGAATGAACTTGTTAACCATGTCCAGACTGCAACAACCAGTAAGATAAATGATGCAATGCCGGTGGCAAATGTAAAGTCCGCAGCTAGAGTGCTGCTTCAGATTCATGCATGGAATTTTTCATGTGCAGGCTTACGCAATTGAGCTGTTGCCATCGTTATTATCGCAACCCGGGACATGTAAAAGGAACCCCGATCTGCGTCTATACATTTGGGTTCGAACTTGCTTCGGGATCAACAAGCACATAACAGGCCGGCTGGGCGTAGTAACCAACTTCAAAGGCCGGTTCGTACCTTGCAGAGCATGGCACTCGACGGCTTACGATTGCTCGGGTGAACCACACTTCAAATCTTCAAGGGTTTCGGCTCTGTGTCCTTGCCTTTTCTTGCAAATGCACTAATGGGAATTGCAGAACTTGCAGAACCAACAATAACAACCTTGGCTTGGATGCAGGTGCGGTCGTGGAACTGCGACTAACACTCCAGGCGTCATGTGACATAGAGAAAACTGCATACTGTGAACACTTGTTGAACACATCTGTCGTCACGTTTCGGCGGCAAACAACAAATAAGTGCCAGCCCTGAGTAGCAAGTGATTCCAGTACATGTTGAAGCGACAGCCCCGCTTTTATCAACGATCCTCACTGATTGAGTGCCAGATTGGACATCTGCTTTCAACCCAGTTGGTGGGCACAGTGCAGAGGTGTCCACGTGCCGGTCCTGGTTGCAGCCAGAGTATGACTGTGGCTTTGCACTTTGCGCAGGCAGTTTCCCTGCTGCACGACTGCTGCATGGCACTGGAGAAGCAACCTTACGCAACTATCTACTGGTGTCACTCTCACCCTACCCAACTATCCCGACCCATTTCGAAACCACTTCGAGAGCCTTCCGGATAAGCCTTGCAGAAGCACGCAGCACGCGTGGCTCTGCAGCCTCCAGCGACCGCTCTGCTACCTCAGAACAGGACAACACAAATGCCTGGGAGCCAGTATTACGGATATCAAAACGAAGTCATTCATTGTGGCATCCTCCCCCCCACGACGGGTTGGTTAGAGTGTGGTGGGCATGGGCCGTTGCTGTGCTCGTCGAGAGATGTGGGCGAGTGGTTGGCTCGCTACGAGCCGTTTTGTTTGCAAAGCAGCTTTACTGATCAGCGGAATCTGGACAAATTTTGGGGGCCTGCCTACTGCTACCCCCACGCAACGTGCATTCTGCAGCATGTTTCAGCAACCTCAAGCCTTTTGACCTCATCAGCAACCTTAGGTTTCGCGACCTCGGTGAGGAAGCTCGGGTCTGGGCCTGGTAATTGCCACCGAGCACAGCAAAGCACTTGCTGCTGATCCCACCGATGATGCTCACCAACCCCACGAAGGCCTTAGCTGCGTAGCTTCAGCTGAGCAGCTGAGCAGCTGTCGCTCCAAGACAAGACACCGCTTCAGGCAAAGAGGTGAAAGCTGCCCAAGGAAGTCTTCTTCAGAAAAGTGCAGTGTCTACTTTGGTTGTCAAGCCAAGCTTCGTGAAGCGCATTGCAGCCCTGACCTCAAGGATTTTCGAGTTGGGGAGTGCGCCCGGCCTGGCTTAAAACCCGTCTTGGCCATGGTTGCAAGTTGACAGTCCGAATTCCTCTAGCAGACTCTAGCTCTAGCAGTGCAGAAGACCATGAGAATGAGGCCTCCATAGTTGGCACGCATGCCAGGTTCGGCAAGCTCCTCGAAGCCCGAATCTAAAACGTGCTTCCTTGAGGGCCGCGGTTGTTGGGGTTGGCTGTCAGATCATAGGCATGCGACTCGCTGATTCTCCCTTGTCCTGAACGATCGGCCCGGGAATGCTCATCTGCCAGGAGATACTTTTCAAGAGAGAGTCCGTCAGTGTGTTGCGGGTGCCATGATCAGCATGACCAAACTCTGGGCACACAAACGGTAGCCTTGCCTCGCGCACGAGCCATTTGTCTGCGTGTCTCTGCGTGAGGTGAAGGCTGCTGTGTCCTGGCCAAGGCGACCACGGCTGCGCAAAACGTGTGACTACATGAACTTGACGTAGTGTAGCACCTCTCAGGCAGTCAAGATGCATATATAAGTCAGCGCTTCGAGCGAACCCCGCCTAGTGCGCTAAGAAGCTCACGTGGGTGGGCATAGGCAGCACCTGCACTGCGATGCTGCGGGAGCCGAAGGAGCATGGCAAACAAACCGCTTGGTGAGGAAGCCTTGAAACCTTTCCGGGACTTCGAAAACTGCACCGAAGCTCCTGACCGACACACCAAGAAACATCCTCGACCCTACCCTGATAGCAGCCGGGGAGCCATCACGCAAGGCTCGGTACAGGCGAGTGAAGTTCCTTCGCATGGGTGTGAGCTGGGCGGCGCTTTGGGTTAGCTTTTTCAGGAGCTGTTGGGCTTGAGTCAACTCTCAGTGAATTTGGCACTTGGAGACATTTTCAATCGACGGACGCGGAGCTTTTTTGGCTGTGTTCATGCCCTCATCAAACCTTTGGCCTGGGCCTAGACCTGGGCTCTGGTTTGCAAGATCCTTTCCAAATGTCTGTCTCCTATGTCTTTTGCCAACAGGCACCATTCTGTGCATTCTCAGAATGCCCCACCCCCACCCCCAGCCACAATCAAGCAAGCGGCGGTGCACACGAGCGCTTGGCAAGCCGGTTCAGCCGCATTAGGGAGAGAAACCCGAAGCGCGAACTCAGCTTCCTGGGCTCCGGCTCCGTGATATGCAAGGCAATTCCGTGATTCTGTCCATGGCTACTGAAGAGAAAAGCGCTTGTGCGAACAAGGCACCAAAGGTTCAAGAGCTTCGTAGCGAACTTCCATCCGTTGGTCGCGGCCTGTAAGTAGGAAGAGCATGGAAGGCCGGTGGCTTAGTGGCAATCACATATGTAAACTACACCACCTTCCCTGAAAGCGACTGCAGCAAGTTCCTCAAGACTAGAACTCCAAGCTGCAGACAAGGCTACTGTACTGGCTGTGCTGAAGAGGAAGCGAGTGCCGTTGAACACTGCCAGGGGCATGTTGCACTTGGACCTGGGAATCTGCGATTGAATTGCTTTTTGACGTAGCGAGTGTCAGGGGCCGTGGCAGCTCGCGTTTCTTCAACGCAAATCGCCCCATCAAGGCCTGTGAAAAACATTGCAAGCACGGAAAGGGTCCCGATTGCACTGGTGCAGAACTACGCCTTGCAAGTATAGCTTGCTGTCACCGAATGTTCCTACAACAGCAACATCGAAGCTTGCGGCTTGTCATGTGAAGCCCCATGCAATCCGCCTTGAAAAGGACATTCACCTCTGAGATGATGGAGGCGCCGGCCTTCAGTCGCTTAAACTCTAGGCGTTTACGACCTTATTGGATTGCGCTTACAAAGCAATTTTGGCGCAATGTTCATATAGCACCTCTTTAGACCCTTTGTGCTCTGGCCACACGTCTCTTGCACGTGGCCCTCAGCACGTGCCTCGTAGCGCTGACCATCCAGCTCCAAGGCCTTTGGTGGAAATACATGCCTGCCCGCCTACCTACCGAACTACCGACACATGATACCGAATACCACGTTTGAGAGGGTACTGCTAAGGATGGGGCATGCTGTTGTATTGTCATCGGGACCCATATCAGTCAGAGTCACTATGACTATGAACAGAATCCATGCCTGGCACGAAAGCACGACAAGTACTGTGGTCCGTGTTCGGCTTCGGAGGGAGTTGGAGGACGGCGTCAAAAGCATGAACGGCGAATCCTAATGTCATCAGCAGTCTGTGAAACCAGGTTTGTCCCCCAATGGCCCTCTTCCAAAGCCTCCAGGGTCAGGGGAACTCTGAAATTGGGCAACTGCTTCATCGGTTTTCACCAACGCTTGTCGCCCATGTAAAAATATCACAGGAAAACACTGCTCATAAGCTTCGCGAGCTTCCCCAACACGAACCAGGCTAAGACTATGTGTGTCTGGCTCACTGCCCACCTGGCATCGGCCGCCAATGGAACCGTTTGTAAACAAGGCAATGTCGACCTGCGGCTTCTGGATAGTTGCAGGCATGTGACCCGTAATCTCCTCTAGACCGGTGACCGACGTCCATGTCGCAGGGAAGCAACACCCTGGGCTTAAGCGAGAGGGAACCCGTGGAGCCTGGTCCCCGAGCAAGTCGCCTCAGCAAGAGATTGACTTCGAGATCGGCGTAGGCTTGTAGTTTCTAGGACATTGCACAGCAAAGGTCAATGGCCACCCCCACCCCGAAACGGCCCATTGTTTCGAGAATGAGGTGTGGGAAAAAGGCGGCTTGGAAGGCGCAAGCCACTCACGGGTCGGGTTCCTCCACGCCCGACCCGAACAACCGACAAGGTTTCCTGTGACAAACGCAAATGCCAAGCGCGGCGGAACCAAGCATGCCGCACTTTATCCACTTCTGTTGCTGTGAATTCGATACCTTCAAGTCATGAACATGCCCCGCTTTGCCATCAATCTAACTGCACCGTTGTCACTTCGGCCAAGAAGCGCAGCCACAATGCTAAGGCCTCGGTGCGAGCTCCATCCCAGCTACAAGTATGATAAAACGTGGAACATCTTCACGCCTGGCCCAAGACGGCAATGCGTACGGAGAGGCCGAAGAAACCCGCCGGTTACGAAAACTTATATGTAACCCTTCATAATTGCTACAGCACTGCTTGCTGAAGAGATGCACTGCCGCCCATGCCGGCACCCAGAATGGCGACCTGCGCTGCCGGATAGCACGCATCTCAATGCGCAGGTGGAGTTGTCCGAAGGCATTCGGACATCAGGCATGCATGTCCGAAGCATTTGGGGAGTTAAGGTGCCTTCCATGGTTTTGGCAAACTTGATGTTCCCAAGTTCGCTATGCAAAACTGATGAGAACTCCATGCTTGCCAACACAACCATAGGAAAATTGTGTCATTGCCCCCACGACCTTGGACCTTGCGTCTGCACACTTCCAGCCAAAGCCCTCGGAATTGAAACGCTCCCACCAGGGCCTTCAGCCGCCGCCCTGAGCGGAGAGCCTCCGCGCGTTTTACGCGGGCATCTGAGACCAGGAGCCGCCTTCATCAGGGCTTTCGAGCTTGCGGGATCTTGAGGGTATAGAGTTTGTATAATAGTATAATCGTTTCATGGTATCATAGCATTATAGGATACTTCTATAGTACCATATTATGGTGACCTCGAAGCATTGGCATCTGGTCATTTGCTAGATATTGGGTACTGGGTTGCTATTTGCGGGCGCCGCTTTGCTGTCGCACCTTTCGCACTCTGACTTTTGCTAGAGCTGCTAGAGTCAAGGTCCATGTAAAGCTGAACAAGCAATACCAAAGGCTGCTTGGCCTCACCAGTTCGATGATCGAATCCTGCACGGCTCCATACTCGTGGCTGCATGTTTTCTTTGGGGGTTCCGAACTTGCTACTTTCGGCAGTCCTGGCACCAGGCAGCGGTCAAAGCCACGGAGCAAAGCAGCGCAAGCCTGCCACAGCTCGTACAATCAACTGCCCAAATTCAACTGTCCTTGCTGATGGACGGGCAACTCGAAAACTCGCCGACTAGCCTGTCTGCATGCCACGTGCGCCCAGCAGCTACAGCTTCCCGCAACATGGCGCTGATCTCTACATGGCTTGCTATTCTATTGCAACACCTGTTGAGGTTGCTGGCTGTCACCAAATGCAAGTAAACACCTCAAAAAACTGCTTGCTGACTCGATCATGATACACTTATAGACTATTATAGACCCGCTCCACTGATTATCGACAGGCTTGTTGCAAGTCGGCGGTCAGCCGTGGATGCATGGCTGTTACTGGGGCCCAAGCCTGTCAAGCACTCCGAAACACCACCACGCTTCCCATGATGGATCTCTTGGACAAATGACAAACCATACGAAATCATGCAAAAGCCATGAGTTGCACTGCAAGCTTTGTGTTAACATAGCAGTTCGATTTTTCGGCCCGTCCTGCCCCCCCCCTCTGCACACCAAAGCGCTTGTGGTTTTCGTGCAATCATGTTGCTGGTGCTTCATGGGGCATCGTAACGCAGAACGACTCTGTCGTCTGTCGTTGGTGCGCTCCCAAGCTAAGCCCGCACGATGAGAAGCGGCAGGGACTCCAAGCCGTGGAGCTGCTAAACATTCCAGGCAGTGAAGCTGCCCGCTCTTCCAAACTCGTGCGGCCACCATCGAAAGTTTCTACGAATACCTACGCCTGTACTTCGGACCCCAAGTGCCCGAAGATCAACCAGGCCCGGTTGCGTGGTGCCAAGGCGCCGAGGGCTTCGGAGTGGTTGCAGAAGGTTCCAATCATCATGCCAACACACGTGGCAACTCCGCGCCCTGAGACCCCGAGACTTGACGCGAGGGTCCCAAGAGCTGCATCCCTCCAGGAGCAGCTTGATAAACACAAATACTTCCCGGCGGTGACCTTGGGCCCCTTCGGCCCAAGCCATCGTTTGGGAAACTTGGCCGAAAATGTTCGACGATATCCTCAAGAGGACGCGCTTCATAACCCCGGTTGAAAGTTGCAAGGATTCCTTGCTGCCTGCTTGGGGGCGAGCCGGTGGAAATCCGAGCCGACACTCGTCACGAGCTTTGCTCAGGATGCCAAGGCGGAAAGGTTTCCTTCCGACCCCCGTTAAAAGGCCAGCACAAAAGGGAGAGCCGGTTGGTGGACATCTATCTTCAGGGGAGTAGTGCGACAAGGTAAGTCCACTTCCAACCAGCGCCGTTGCGCTGACGCACCAACCACGAATCCGGCCGAGCAATCTTGACTTCGCTGCGAGCAGCTCAGTTCAGAGCGTACGTGTGAACTGATGACTGGCAGGTGCTATGACGGGAGGCAGCATTCCTTGCGAGCTTACTTTCTCTCATAACTCCCAATTTGTTCCGAATACTAATCGGAACCGCTACGGACGTTTTGAGTTCACTTCGCTCTGACTGCGCTCGGTGCTAGCCACTTGGCATGAGACCTGTCTAAAGGCAAAAGGAGAGGCCCATCCCACTGCTGGGGCAGCTTGCGAAAGAATCAACCACTTGACTGGCATGCGCCCTGATGAGTTGTCTACATGATGCAAATGGTATGGCCTCACGAAGAAAGCTAAGAAAGGCGCCTTGGGCGCCCGCAACACGAGCTGCAAATTCGCAGACCATGCTGTCGCGATTCTATGGCCGAAACCGGTCAGTTTGGCCTTCGTTATTTGCCCCTTGTACTATTTCTTTGCGTATGACAGTTAATGATGGCACTTTGCGGAGCAATTCCCGCATTCGTCGTGGCCTCCATCGGCACGCGCCAGGAGCAAGCGACTGCTCCGATTGATCCGTTTGCACTCATCAACAGCACTACTCAACCGAATGATCAAGCCCATGACCGTGATCGAAAAACCACAGATCAATAGAAACAATGCAGTGGAGGCAGCGGAGCCACCCCGGCTGGAAGCTTTCGCGGGGTGCGGATGATAGTCTCCGCGGGCAGCATCTTCCTTCCTGACTTCCTGGGCGCAGGTTTGCTGCACTGGTTGACGGCGATTTTGCACCAGTCGGATGGATCAAAGACACCGCGGGTCGGTAGCAGCATGTCGCACTGATAGGTGACAGGAACCCACCTTATGCTGGATGCCGAGGGACAGCTTGGATAAGATCGGGAGCACTGTCTGACCTGGGCTACGAGGTGAAGGATTATTTCTTGAGGGCAAGAAGACTGCAACAAGCAACAATTGCGCTGCGTCTGGCTCTTCTATCTATCTTGCGATTTTGGCATCCGTCTCGCATTTTTCTCAAATACTAGCATGTCCCCAGCGATGTGACGCGATTCGATGTTACGCTCGCAGAACACTTCAAGCAAAATTGCCGCACCTGCAGGAGGCCGCGGTGGCTCTGCCTGCTGATGGATTGCAGGGCTCTCTTTCACAGACAAGTCGCGGCAAGAGTCAAAGATCCCATCTACTTGCCCCCGGGCGCTTCGGGCCTGGCCTTACCATTTCCAAAAGGAAAGCTTTCGCCAAGTTTCAAACTAATCCAAAAGACTTCGACATTGCCTGCCTTCTGCAGTGCCGGATGCCGGTCATGTTCGCCCTGCAAAGCCGCCAACCTGAGATCGGATGTTTGAGACCCTGAGTCCAAGAACTGTTCTTCTGCCGATAACTCTCGGCGGCAGCGGTTGTTTGCAAGCCGCAGTGGCTTTGTCTTTAGCACAGTTCTGCTGGCACAAATAATGCTCCGTGTTCCTTCGTCCTTGTGCAGGCTTTTGTCAAGCTCGGCTGGACGCACACTTGCATGTGGCTGAACCCTGGAGATTGCTGAGGTGGCCCAGACGCGGCCTGTTGGCCTCCTATCGGTTCTTGCTGTCTTCATCTTGTCTTGATTGGCCTCTGAGTCGGTCGAATGTCGACTTCACCAGCACGCCGCACGCTAACTTCTACCCAGGCGAGAGCATACGCTGTGATTGAAGCATGCAGCCACACACAACATGTTGTGATTGACGGAAGACCCCTGCGCGAGCGTCATAAGGAAAACCGCGTGAAGCATCTCCGTCAGTTCTTTCCTAACATTTTAAGGGGCTTGGCATTTCTGGGTTTCTCTCTCTGACTCAGCCGGCAGCTTGCCCGCATGGGACTTGACGAAAACTGCTGGCCATGCAACTGAAAACAGGATGCTTTCGCCGCTCTTCCACTCTGTTGCGGTCGCGCAGGGAGCATGTGGAAGATGCGGCGTCTAGCTTCCAGTGACCGCAGAACTTGCGAGCAAGTACCACATTCGCAGTCGCAACATGTAAGAGACGTCCATGTCTTCTTAGCAGTGCCCAGCGAAGGCTTGCAGCCTGAACACTCTGTTTCTACTTCTGAAGTTGGCCAAGCTTCAGCAGCTCCTGCCCACTCTCTTGCGAGAGCTCCAGTTCCATTTCTGTTCGCTTGAACCGTGCCAAAGCCTTTCAGGGGCAGTGGCTTCGTCAACCGGCTTTGGAAACTGTGCCAGGCCTGGTGGTCCCAGCCCCCTACAAGCAACGCCTGAGGAACTCTGCTGAGTGTGGTCGGCTTAGCCCTTGGGGCTGGACTTGTGCAGATGATTCCTGTTCCTGTGCTATTCCCGGGGCGTGCTCGAAAATCTGGGGCCAAAACCCTATACACTGGAAGTGGCTCGTGCCTGCAGCACCCTTGCCACACGCTGAGCGTGCAAGGGTGTGATTGGTGACCGAAGCTGTTCCACGAGGTGGCGGAGAATCCCTGGCAAGGAAGCACAGTATGGCTCAGTGCAATGCAAACACGGGAATTTTATCTCGTAGAGTTTTTATTGGCAGCACTCCTTACTCATCATGGCAGTGCTGCTGCAGCAGCTACTACTACTACTACTACTACTACTACTACTACTACTACTACTACTACTACTACTACTACTACTACTACTACTACTCTACTACTCCTCCTCCTCCTCCTCCTGCTGCTGCTGCTGCTGGTACTGCTACTACCACTACTGCTTTTGCTACGACTACTGCTACGACGACGACTACTACAGTACAACAACCACAACACTGCTGCTGCTAACACTGTGCTACTTCGCTGCTGTGCTACTCAACTGCGATGAACTCCACTACTCCACGACCACGACGACGAATACTACTGTTGATGGAGGAAATCTTGCACCAGTTTAAGTGGCCAAGCCAAGCAGACACCCCACGCCCCCTTTTTAACATTGACCGGTGATCCTCGGAAGTGCCGTGGGTTCCAATGACAAAAATCTTGCACCACCTCCGTATCCATCATCTTCAATGTTAAAAAGGGGGCGCGGGATTATGCTCAAGTGTCGTGTCACCTGTTATTAGGCAGATGGTGCAAGATTTCCTCCATCAACCGACAGGATCCTTCTTGCTGAGATGACCAAAGTAGCCTGTGTCTTCACTCGACTGCACCACGCTTCCTGTGACGGGTACCATCCACATGCAGACTAAGCCCGATACATGTCCAAGAATGCGATACGGCAAGCTTGTTGGCACGGCTGGTTGCTATAGGTACGGCCCAAGACCACACAAGCCGACTGTGGTTGCAGGCTTCCAGGATGCGACTTTTTTTGCACCCTGACCCGGGTGCTCCACTTCGACCCAAGTCTGCTCCATGCAGCTCCGCGGCACTCCAGTGGGACTTCCACTGGCGAGCTCCTCGTGTATTCTGGCTTAGTGTAAATTCCTTACATTTCCCACAGTTAACGCTCAGTTAACACTCAGTTAACACTCACAGTTAACACTACAGTTAACACTGCCGAAATGCTGGGAAAACCAGCATTTTCGTCAAATGTGTATAAAAGATACTAAAACTAGCAGTTTTTCTTTTTAAAATGCGTGTATTCTGCAAAATGCTGGTTTTTGCGGCATTTCGGCAGTGTTAACTGTAGTGTTAACTGAGTGTTAACTGAGTGTTAACTGTAGAAAAGGCACACTATGCAGTTAACACTTATTACTCTGCCGAAATGCCGAAATGCAAGGAAAACCTGCGTTTCCTAAAATCTGTCTTACAAGTACCTCGGTCCTTGACACACAGTGACACACCGACACACATGGTGAGATGGTGAGGGATCGATATTGTGGCTTGTCATCACTTGCATATTGCTTACTGTGACAACAGTTTAAGGTACTGTTGATGGAGGAAATCTTGCACCAGTTTAAGTGGCCAAGCCAAGCAGACACCCCACGCCCCCTTTTTAACATTGACCGGTGATCGTCGGAAGTGCCGTGGGTTCCAGTAACAAAAATCTTGCACCACCTCCGTATCCATCATCTTCAATGTTAAAAAGGGGGTGTGGGGATATGCTCAAGCGTCGTGTCACTTGTTACTAGGCAGATGGTGCAAGATTTCCTCCGTCAACCGACAGGATCCTTCTTGCTGAGATCACCCAAGTAGCCTGTGTCGTCACTCGACTGTACCACGCTTCCTGTGACGGGTACCATCCACATGCAGACCAAGCCCTATACATGTCCAAGAATGCGATACGGCAAGCTTGTTGGCACGGCTGGTTGCTATAGGTACGGCCCAAGACCACGCAAGCCGACTGTGGTTGCAGGCTTCCAGGATGCGACTTTTTTTGCACCCTGACCCGGGTGCTCCACTTCGATCCAAGTCTGCTCCATGCAGCTCCGCGGCACTCCAGTGGGACTCCCACTGGCGAGCTCCTCGTGTATTCTGGCTTAGTGTAAATTCCTTACATTTCCCACAGTTAACGCTCAGTTAACACTCAGTTAACACTCAGTTAACACTACAGTTAACACTACAGTTAACACTGCCGAAATGCTGGGAAAACCAGCATTTTCGTCAAATGTGTATAAAAGACACTAGAACTAGCAGTTTTTCTTTTCAAAACGCGTGTATTCTGCAAAATGCTGGTTTTTGCGGCATTTCGGCAGTGTTAACTGTAGTGTTAACTGTAGTGTTAACTGAGTGTTAACTGAGTGTTAACTGTAGAAAAGGCACACTATGCAGTTAACACTTATTACTCTGCCGAAATGCAAGCAAGGAAAACCTGCGTTTCCTAAAATCTGTCTTACAAGTACCTCGGTCCTTGACACACAGTGACACACCGACACACATGGTGAGATGGTGAGGGATCGATATTGTGGCTTGTCATCACTTGCATATTGCTTACTGTGACAACAGTTTAAGGTACTGTTGATGGAGGAAATCTTGCACCAGTTTAAGTGGCCAAGCCAAGCAGACACCCCACGCCCCCTTTTTAACATTGACCGGTGATCCTCGGAAGTGCCGTGGGTTCCAATGACAAAAATCTTGCACCACCTCCGTATCCATCATCTTCAATGTTAAAAAGGGGGTGTGGGGATATGCTCAAGCGTCGTGTCACTTGTTACTAGGCAGATGGTGCAAGATTTCCTCCGTCAACCGACAGGATCCTTCTTGCTGAGATCACCCAAGTAGCCTGTGTCGTCACTCGACTGTACCACGCTTCCTGTGACGGGTACCATCCACATGCAGACCAAGCCCTATACATGTCCAAGAATGCGATACGGCAAGCTTGTTGGCACGGCTGGTTGCTATAGGTACGACCCAAGACCACGCAAGCCGACTGTGGTAGCAGGCTTCCAGGATGCGACTTTTTTTGCACCCTGACCCGGGTGCTCCACCTCGATCCAAGTCTGCTCCATGCAGCTCCGCGGCACTCCGGTGGGACTCCCACTGGCGAGCTCCTCGTGTATTCTGGCTTAGTGTAAATTCCTTACATTTCCCACAGTTAACGCTCAGTTAAACACTCAGTTAACACTACAGTTAACACTACAGTTAACACTGCCGAAATGCTGGGAAAACCAGCATTTTCTTCAAATGTGTATAAAAGACACTAAAACTAGCAGTTTTTCTTTTCAAAACGCGTGTATTCTGCAAAATGCTGGTTTTTGCGGCATTTCGGCAGTGTTAACTGTAGTGTTAACTGTAGTGTTAACTGAGTGTTAACTGAGTGTTAACTGTAGAAAAGGCACACTATGCAGTTAACACTTATTACTCTGCCGAAATGCAAGGAAAACCTGCGTTTCCTAAAATCTGTCTTACAAGTACCTCGGTCCTTGACACACAGTGACACACCGACACACATGGTGAGATGGTGAGGGATCGATATTGTGGCTTGTCATCACTTGCATATTGCTTACTGTGACAACAGTTTAAGGTACTGTTGATGGAGGAAATCTTGCACCAGTTTAAGTGGCCAAGCCAAGCAGACACCCCACGCCCCCTTTTTAACATTGACCGGTGATCCTCGGAAGTGCCGTGGGTTCCAATGACAAAAATCTTGCACCACCTCCGTATCCATCATCTTCAATGTTAAAAAGGGGGTGCGGGGTTATGCTCAAGTGTCGTGTCACCTGTTATTAGGCAGATGGTGCAAGATTTCCTCCATCAACCGACAGGATCCTTCTTGCTGAGATGACCAAAGTAGCCTGTGTCTTCACTCGACTGTACCACGCTTCCTGTGACGGGTACCATCCACATGCAGACTAAGCCCGATACATGTCCAAGAATGCGATACGGCAAGCTTGTTGGCACGGCTGGTTGCTATAGGTACGGCCCAAGACCACGCAAGCCGACTGTGGTTGCAGGCTTCCAGGATGCGACTTTTTTTGCACCCTGACCCGGGTGCTCCACTTCGATCCAAGTCTGCTCCATGCAGCTCCGCGGCACTCCAGTGGGACTCCCACTGGCGAGCTCCTCGTGTATTCTGGCTTAGTGTAAATTCCTTACATTTCCCACAGTTAACGCTCAGTTAACACTCAGTTAACACTACAGTTAACACTACAGTTAACACTGCCGAAATGCTGGGAAAACCAGCATTTTCTTCAAATGTGTATAAAAGATACTAAAACTAGCAGTTTTTCTTTTTAAAATGCGTGTATTCTGCAAAATGCTGGTTTTTGCGGCATTTCGGCAGTGTTAACTGTAGTGTTAACTGTAGTGTTAACTGAGTGTTAACTGAGTGTTAACTGTAGAAAAGGCACACTATGCAGTTAACACTTATTACTCTGCCGAAATGCAAGGAAAACCTGCGTTTCCTAAAATCTGTCTTACAAGTACCTCGGTCCTTGACACACAGTGACACACCGACACACATGGTGAGATGGTGAGGGATCGATATTGTGGCTTGTCATCACTTGCATATTGCTTACTGTGACAACAGTTTAAGGTACTGTTGATGGAGGAAATCTTGCACCAGTTTAAGTGGCCAAGCCAAGCAGACACCCCACGCCCCCTTTTTAACATTGACCGGTGATCCTCGGAAGTGCCGTGGGTTCCAATGACAAAAATCTTGCACCACCTCCATATCCATCATCTTCAATGTTAAAACGGGGGTGCGGGGTTATGCTCAAGTGTCGTGTCACCTGTTATTAGGCAGATGGTGCAAGATTTCCTCCATCAACCGACAGGATCCTTCTTGCTGAGATGACCAAAGTAGCCTGTGTCTTCACTCGACTGCACCACGCTTCCTGTGACGGGTACCATCCACATGCAGACTAAGCCCGATACATGTCCAAGAATGCGATACGGCAAGCTTGTTGGCACGGCTGGTTGCTATAGGTACGGCCCAAGACCACACAAGCCGACTGTGGTTGCAGGCTTCCAGGATGCGACTTTTTTTTGCACCCTGACCCGGGTGCTCCACTTCGACCCAAGTCTGCTCCATGCAGCTCCGCGGCACTCCAGTGGGACTTCCACTGGCGAGCTCCTCGTGTATTCTGGCTTAGTGTAAATTCCTTACATTTCCCACAGTTAACGCTCAGTTAACACTCAGTTAACACTACAGTTAACACTACATTTAACACTGCCGAAATGCTGGGAAAACCAGCATTTTCTTCAAATGTGTATAAAAGATACTAAAACTAGCAGTTTTTCTTTTAAAATGCGTGTATTCTGCAAAATGCTGGTTTTTGCGGCATTTCGGCAGTGTTAACTGTAGTGTTAACTGAGTGTTAACTGAGTGTTAACTGAGTGTTAACTGTAGAAAAGGCACACTATGCAGTTAACACTTATTACTCTGCCGAAATGCAAGGAAAACCTGCCTTTCCTCAAATCTGTCTTACAAGTACCTCGGTCCTTGACACACAGTGACACACCGACACACATGGTGAGATGGTGAGGGATCGATATTGTGGCTTGCCATCACTTGCATATTGCTTACTGTGACAACAGTTTAAGGTACTGTTGATGGAGGAAATTTTGCACCAGTTTAAGTGGCCAAGCCAAGCAGACACCCCACGCCCCCTTTTTAACATTGACCGGTGATCCTCGGAAGTGCCGTGGGTTCCAATGACAAAAATCTTGCACCACCTCCATATCCATCATCTTCAATGTTAAAAAGGGGGTGCGGGGTTATGCTCAAGTGTCGTGTCACCTGTTATTAGGCAGATGGTGCAAGATTTCCTCCATCAACCGTAGTAGTAGTACCAGTACCAGTACCATTCAGTGGCAGGAGGAGCAACAGCGGCAGAAACTCAGTAATCATGGCAATCCAACTCACCAGACATGACACTATGACCAGTTCCCGATGCCTTCCGTCAGCGCCTCCTGTGCGCTGCGTGCCGTCGCAGCGAAGAGGAGAAGGACTCGTTCCGCACGATGGCTGCCTTGAGGGTGCGGTCTTGATCTACTTGCAGTAGCCGCAAGCAGTGTGTTGCTGCTATTCGTTGCTGCAACCAATACCTACTTTGCTGCCGCACCTGCTGCTTCGGATCTGATCTCCAAGCCCTCCCCCCACCTGTATAAAAAACCTCCTGTTCAACTGTTTGGACCCGCTCTCGACTTTATTCGCGTCAGACAAGCTTATGCTGGCGCACGGTTTCTATGCAATGTGTTTCGTTGTTGCAAACTTCAGAAATCTTCAGAATTGAAACTTGCGCTCTCACAACTCGGACGCAGCCAGGCGAGGTACTTGGGTTCGTAAGTTGGCGTGATACATTGGAAGGACTGGATTCTCACTTAAGAACTCAGATTTCGTGTGGATTCCGCGATTAGCTCCAGAGCCATCTCCGGCAACGAGACGTCAGCAACTGAGAGGAAACAACTCTCTGACAACGCAGCATCGCTTAACACATTGATGTGTTTGCAGTCTTGCAAAACAAACAGGTCGCTTCCAGGCCCAAGAATACTACACGGAAAGAATACCTTCGAAATAGCGGGAAGTTCATGGCTTCTAGGCTCCTGCCGAGCTGTCAGATGTATGGCTGTGAAGGTGCTGGCTGCAATGCAGCTGCACTCAGCCGAGCTGAGTTGCAGCAGCCTTTTTGGAGGACGATGCATGTTGGAACACGGCCGCGATACGCAGAAATGCGGCAGAAAGACAGGGCTTCGCCACTTCCTTGTCCCTCAGCAGCAACAATGCCTCACTTACGGCTGCAGAGCACTGCAGCCCCAACGACTGTCACGGAAGAGAAACTCCAGTGCCGCGATTGCGTCCGTCTTGCTGCGGGTGATGGAGCACTTGAGATCTTTTGAAACGTGGCAAAGTGTCTTAGCGGAAGTGGTGGATTGGTGGCTGGCCCAGTGCCACAGGCTTGCGAGGCCTGCTCAAGTCTTGCCAGCTGAGCGCACGAGATCAACGTCCCCATCATTGACATCTTTCACCTCCTGCGTTCCGGATTCATTCCGCTCGCACACGAGACGAGTGTCATGGCGAGTATTCTCCTTGCTCTCGACCACGATCACAACAACAACAAGTAGTACTAGCACTAGTACTAGTACCAGTACCAGTACGACGACGACCACTACTACTGCTGCTACTCCTACCAGGACGGGACTAATACGACCAGTTTTATTTGATCCAAACCCAAGTTTTGTTTGATCCCTGCCCCTTATGTTTCTCTGTGGCCCTGTTGCAAAAGGTTGAATTTTAGTTTTTGTTGATCATGCTTTTCTCTGATCTTTGTGGTGAAAGAAAAAGGTTGTTCTTTTGATCCGTCACCCGCAGGAGCTCGGGTGGACGACTGTCGCCCAATCTAGCTTGAACAGCGTGCTCGCCCACAATAGGCTACGGTGCAGCAGACTGGAATCGTTTTGTCTGCTTGGATCAGAGTTTGGCCCAGTCGCAGGACCAACGTTTGCAAATCGCAAACCGTGCGGCTGAGCCAAATTCCCAGCCAAGCCCAAACACCGTTGCTGGCACCTTCTCCTGTGTCTACAATTTAGCCTCTGCAGCCTGCCGGAGATTTACTGGAGATTCTGCTCTGGACACTGACCGTGAAAAAGTCCCACAGGCATGTCGAACACAGAACTAGTTACGCCAGTTAAATTGTTCCTGCCCATTGCGGAGCCGACTCTTACGGGCAAAATCATCGATTGCTTCTCGGACATGAGGGAATCTCAAACCAGGACCCTTGCAGTTCCGCAGCTGAAAGTCTGAAGACCTGACATCCCTGAGCCAGGCACACGCTTCGTGGCTGGAGCTCAACATCGCCTGAAGCTGCAAAAAGCAAATGGCCCTTCACACGACAGCCTGAGATCATGATGTCTCTACGCAGTCGCTCGGTTGCACAAACTCCTTCAAGCTACCTGCCATCCGAGTAGATCTTCCCTCCACAGCCATGCTTCTAGGCCAGTGGCAAGAATTGGCGTGAGAACTCCGGCATCTAGCAGGTGCCCTGTGATCTTCTTGAAGGTGCCTCGCACTGACAGGCGAAGCAGAAGAACACCTTCACTTTGACCGGACCACCGAAGCTGAGGACCCTCCTTCTCCATTCAGCCTTGACATTAAATCCCCGCATAAGCCCTCCTGACCGCTGCCCGGGATTTCTCTGCATCGCTCCGCTTCCGCAGAAGCTCCGGAACGCTTTAGAAACGGCCTCCAATACTGAGGCTCGTCCGGGGGACCAAGTCTGGAAGCCCCAAAGCTGAAACCTGTGATGTCCAGGCGACGCTTGTCTTTGGTCTCGGCCAGGGATGCCAGCACGGCAGCAGCTTCGGCCTCCCAACGCTCGCGAGAAATCTCCGATAACTCTCAAAGAAAGGCTTGGCTTCCACGTTTATGCATCTGGGACTGAACTAGTAGTGCAGCCGTGGCGTGCAGACATCGCACTAGACGATATGCACTGTGCAGGCATTCCGGGTAATCACTTTTGCCGCCTTGCAGTCGTGGCTACCCTCGTTGAGCAAACCTCGGCAGTGGAGTCTACACTCGGACGTCCTTCTTAGCAACTCCCGGGTCTAATCCTCGAGGCTCCAAACTGACTGTTTCAAGACGAGGAGCGCAATGTCTTTTGCACGATGTGTGCCTCCTCAGATTGGCATCCAGGAGTAATGAATGTCGTAGCTATTCCACGGCGGCAGCCAGACGTGCACGAAATAAAGCAACACCACCCAACGACTCATAGCTACCATGGCGAACTTTCCGTCTACTCGTTGTTTCTATTCGTTCTTCTGACCCAGGATGCTCCAGATTTTGTCAAGCAGCAACAAGTGCCCTCCTCCTTGAATCAGTGGAGGCCAGCTGAGCGATGGCAAAGGCTGCCGGCAAATTGACCTAGCACTTGGACTGTTGGGAACACGATCATTCAGAGCCTCATCTTTGGGCTTTGGCTCATTGTATACTTGGCTCATTGTATACTTAGCAGCAGTAGCACACGAATCGTGGCCTGCTCTGCAAGCGGAGGAATGCAAAAATACCAGCTACGAGAAGACGTCGGTATAGTTGGGGGGGGCGAGCCCCAAACAGACTGTGCAACTTCACACCTGCAACTCCAGAAGCACGCCTCGTCGGGATAACCGTTGTCCAGGAGAGCGAGCAATTTGCCGAGAAAGCCCTCCCGGCAGTCGAGAGTTGGCTCGGGCAGAGCCCCTTTACGCAATAAACATGAACCACGCACTGATGGAATGCCGGGGCGTACTGCAGGATAACCGCGTTCCAACCTATCCATACACGTGCGAATGGCAGTGAGTTTGATCTTTTCTTGCTTAAGCTGGTTTTCGAACTCCAATTCCGCTGCCGACTGAGATTCACCAGAGCGCGGATGATCCGCCTCGAAGACCATTGAAGCTACCGCCTCACAGGGCCATCATATCGATCAGAACCAACAGTCCGACTTGGCAAGGACCTTGAAAAGGTACTTGGAGCATCGTTGGAAAAAAGAGGCAGGGACTGAGGGCTTAAGGAGATAAGGTCACTGTCACACTGCAGGTTGACCACAGGAAGAGCCACAACAGTCTACCAAGGTGTTGAGACATTGACAATTGATGGAAGTCTTTAGCCCTGCCGATGCACATCCACGGCTCCGCGCCTGATTTGCTGCCAAATATCCCAGCAGACGTACCTTGGATATGGATGAAGCCGTGGCGGAATGCAGCCTGCTGGAGGAGGCCTAAGTCGCCTGTCGAAGCCTCATGGCTGAACACAGACATGCACGGAACGAATCACCACCATGTGACAAAATGCCCAAGTCACTGCGTGGGCAAGGCTTGTCGGTGAGGAGCTGTCCAGCAGGGCTGTCAGGTACGGAGGCACGCCTCATCATCCGGCAACGGAAGCGACACCGAGGGCTACAGTGACCACCTCGACACGTTCTCAAGCATGGCCCATGGGCTGCAGGCCATCGAATCTCAGGCACCTGCCTCCAGCGATCAGTTCTTCACGAGCCTGGCTGTGCTGTGTTGATCTCACGCCAACTGCCCAGCAGCTAAGAAAATTCAGTAAAGTTACTTATGTTGAAGGCCTGCAAGCACTCTGAAAGCCTTTGAAGTCCAAAGCCCTAAATTGTCAGAACCATGGAGGCAGCCAAATTCAAGTCGGTTTCGACCCGGCCTTCTCTCCAGCCGCCACATGTACCAGCACAGCCATCGCAGCCTGTGAACCACTCCAAAGTCAACTTATCGACGGGCTTGCAGCAAAGCAGGGTCTTGTGGCAGCTAGCTGGTCTGGCTGTGCTCAAACAGCAGCCGGCAGGGGCATCAAAGACCATCAACGCCTGTGCCTGACGAGCTTCCTCACCCGAAAAACTGGCCCGTAACAAAATGCCCTGCAGAGCAAGGACTTTGCGAAATCGGCAGGAAGCCTCTTGGCATTCCGGGTCGTCTGTCGTGACGAGATTCATTACAGCCGGAACACCACCTCGCCACAGTCAGTCATGCGAATGGCAGTAGCAGGCAACAGAAGCATGAGCTACTGCGCAACTGAATACGATTATCGGTCCATGCTGGCGTTTACTTCACACCTGTACCTTAAAGTCTAGACCCGGCCTGTGGTAACGAGAATGCGCTTTCCAACTGCACAGCGTCCAAGATTTGCAAGAGCTTTGGCTGCCTGCGACAGGAGCGCTTCTACTGCCTTTCTTCTTGTGCGCACTGGCTAGCTCACCTCTTGGATGAAGTGGAGATCGGCTCCAGAACATATGGGCACAACCGCTGGTATACAAACACGGCGTCATGCAGCCGTCGCTTTCAGTGGCTACTTGTAATTGTAGCAGACACGTATGTTTACATATCTGCATAGACCTCCAAAATGTAGCAACTAGGGTTGTGCCTTGCATCTGGTGTCCAAGGAAACATCCGACAACATCGCCACCAAGGGCCTGATAAAGACAGTTGACAGGTCGCGGTGTCGCTGGTGCTGCTGCTGATGGCGGTGGTGGTGGTGCTGCTGCTGGTGCGGGTGGTGGTGGTGGTGGTGCTACCGTCGAGAGGCAGATCGGTGGGTCATGGGGTTGTTGGTGGGTTGGTTGGTTACTTGCGTGATGTGTTTGTCGGTGGGATGGTGGGTAAGGGAATGGCCGTGGTGCCGGCGGTGGTAGTGGTGCAGCGGTGGTAGCCAGCAGCAGCAGTCGTCGTAGCAGCAGTATTCGCACCGTCGTAGCTCGCAGTTCCTAGTTGGTAGGACGTAGATAGTAGTCGTAGTTGGTAGTTAGTAGTTGGTAGTACGTAGGTAGTAGTTCGTAGTTATTGGCGAGTAGTTGGCAGTTAGTCAGTTAGCTAGCTACTTATTTATTTAGTTGGTAGTAACAGTCGTAGCAGTACTGTTGATGATATAAATCCTGCATTACATTAAGGACCCTAAACAACGGGAACTATGGCATTTTCCTGATTATGGGTAATGCAGGATTTATATCATCGCAGCCGTAGTCGTAGTAGTCGTAGTGGGAGGGAGTAGTAGCAGTAGTATTAGTTGTTGTTGTTGTTGTTGTTGCTGTTGTTGTTCTTGCCGTTGAAATGGTAGAGTGGGTGGTAGCAGTAGTAGTAGTAGTAGTAGTAGTAGTAGCAGTAGTAGTAGTAGGCAAAAAGTAGTAGTAGTTGTAGTTTTAGCAGTAGCAGCGATAGTCGTTGCGGTCGTCGGGTGGTGGAGCGGCAGCAGTATAACACCTGGATTGGGTTCCGTATGGCGTATGGGAGACAGCGAATAGGTCTGGCAGAAGCTGTGGCCTGGTTCAATTTGAGTTCAAGTGGGGCGGGTTTGTGGGGCCGGGGTTTCAGTATCAAGCTGCAGAAGTAGCTTTCGAGGAAGAGGGGCGGTGTGTACACTCTCTCGCAACTCGGACAAGAGAGACGAAAACACTTGGACAAGCTTCTGAACAGCGCCAGCCGCCACGAAGCGTGAGCGCACATCATCTGACGTCCTTGATTGGGTTGGCACTGGGGCACAGACAAACCAGGTTCAAGTTTGAGTTCAGGGCCGTACAGAAACCTCTTCAACAGATAATGTCTCTGCCCGCAGCTTCTTCTGTTGGCCGTCTGTTTCAATCCTCAACCTCGAAGGCCAAGGCCATCGAAGGCCGATGGCAAATGCTACTGGCAAGGACAAGGCGCAAAAGCGACTCCATCGAGACGACGGCTTGAAGGGACTCGTGGACAGTTCCCCACGTCATGCAATGCACCTCATGTCTTTAGGCAGACAGGAGTCGCTTGTCTCAAACTTAAGTCTAGCCGACGTGATGCTATGATGCCCGGTGCGTCTCCTTATCGACATCAGAGTCATTGAAGTGGTGTTCTCGCGACCTGTACCCCCTAGCCCTGGCTCCCGAAAGGAGCACTCAGAGGCCAGCACCACCTCCCGAGGATTGGCACCTCGGAGCGGGTCAACACTCTCCCAACATCTGCCGACCTACTGCGATCCTGCTTTCTCTGACATCCACCCACAGGAGGGACCAATCTAAAATTGAAGGAGCGCTCCCTAACATGCATCGATTCAAACGCTGGGCCTGGTGATGAACAACATTGATTACAATCATGCGTGACCAGCTGCTGTCGAACGCCATGACCTGCTTTTTCGTTGCCGTCGCTTCCTCCGAAAAAAGCACCAGTTCTAGAGCAAATCGACTGTCAAACTCGGTTTGAGGAGAACGTGATTCGTCTGACACAGGGGGTCACATACTGCAGGCTTGATTCGAGCTAGCTGACGCCACCACGTGCTAGTCTTGTTTTGTGCGGCATGCAGCAAGGGTCTCCTGGAACTTCGTGGAAACTCTTTCCTAGTGCTAGCCCTTGAAAGCAAAAAACAGTTCGGCTCGATTGAAGAAGCAAATTCGCCCGCCTGCACGACAGGCGGCACGGTGAGTTCCTGGGGCTGGACTAGCGAGAAACACTGGCTCTCTGCTTGTCAGCTTGTGGAGCCGTCGCACTGAGAAACTTACTCTCGGAAGTAATGTACTGCCACGCCGCTACTCTGTCCGCAGCCTGCAGCCCCATGTATTGAGGGACTACTTGCATCTAAGCTGCCAATCTCAGCGTGCCGGCCTGCAGAAGCTGGAAGGAAGTGAGAAAACACGCACCCGGCATCAGCTGCAGAACAGCGATCGTGCAGAAGCATGTGAATTGGCGGACCCGGAATCTGGCCTTGCGACCACGCAGAATCAAGCTGACACCGCCATCATGTCCACCAGGCGTCACCTCACATCTGTAGTCGCAGTGGCGTGCCCGGCGTGCAGCGACGATTCGTCACATGCAGTCTGGAAGCGCATGGCCACCAACCTCCCTGGATTTCAAGCCGAGACCCAGAGACCCTTGGATCCTTAAAGCTCTCCTGCTCTGGCAGGCTGTTTGGAATCATGTTGGTTGTGAAATGATCGAAGCAGGCTCAAGGCTCGGGCCACAATCTTGGCCTCCCCGAGAAATTCCTTGGGCAAAGCAGGTGTCTGCGTGCTGACTGCCTCCAGTCTGGCAGAAGGCGGTTTGCTGCCACCACTCAGTGCTGCGGGTGTGCTTGTGCCGAAGGAATGCACCAGGTTCTGGAGAATCTAACTACAATACGTCGCATTGCCACTACGCTAACCCTTTGTTGTTCAGTGCCGGCAAGCTTCGTCATCCTTCTTGTCCTCCTGACTGAAAACCTTGAAGTGCATGGTGTCACCTTGGCATTTCGACGTGGCGCTGACCGACGCGCAAGGAGCCCCCCCATAAGAGCGCACCCAATCGGACCCATACACCAACTCTCTGTTATTCGGGTCGCCGAGTTCCAATCCTTCCAGATCCTGAGCTCCGAATCTCGTGCTGCATGTCTACGAAGTACAGCAGCTACCGGAGGGCTTCCGGCTTCCCGAGTAAAAGGTGCAAAAAGACACACGATGGCTCTCGACATCTCCTGGAGTGACAGGGGGATGTCAATGCCCTTCGCGGGTGTAGCCGACTTTTGCCATCGTCTTGCAAATGTGAAGTTCTATAGAAGTACAGTAATTACTGCGCATTCGTGCACCAGATCTACATGTCAATGTCAAGCGGCGATCCACTCGTGCCAAACTGGGTCCAAGCTCTTGAACCTCTGCGGGAGTCATCAAAACGAATGAGGTTCATCGGAACATTTCGAAACTCACTTCTTCTGCCCGGGCGATGCACTGCAAGTCACCATAGCAGCATTCTACTCGAAATACCCTTTGTAATCAGCATGCGCACTTCTGTATTTCTTCTCCTGGCATCTCATCCAGGCAGATCCGGGAAGCCTCGTTTGCGTCCGAAAGCCGAGGTGTGGCTTGCCAGAAACTTTGCACACCACATACCTCGGCTGCAGCGTTGATGATGTCAGCCCTCGAATTCAACTCCCATGCTGGTCGATAGAAGTGGGATTTTCTGCTCCGGAATATCGGAATAGAGTCCGTGATGCGATCCAAGCCCTTGGACCATGCCAACCAGTCGAGAAGATGCCAAGTGCAACATGCGCTTTACGGCATTTGGGATGACTGAATATGCACGCAAACGACCACCAACATCTTGCAGCCCTCGCCACGGGTTAGAGTTGTCATCCAAGTCTGCTGCTCGCAGGCCGACGCCTTCGCAACATAGTGAGGGCATGGCCGTGGTAGTAGTTCTGCTTCCATGCAGCTGAACCACAGTATCTGCATGTCAATGTGCGTTAGCTGGCACTCAACATGCCTAAGAAGACTCTCGTCATACATCGTCAGCAGTTGAGTGTGGCGTTGCACAGTCACTTTACCGCGCGCACGAGCTTGGGAACCGGGCCTTGGATGATGAAAATGCTGGACCTGCTCGGCAGTGCAGTTGTTTCTAGCCGACACGGACCTCTTTTGTTCAGCTTTGTGGCAAGAACCGATAGTATTCGTTCCATCTGCGAGGCCATCCATCAACCCGGCCTTGTGATATAGACCTCTGGTCTGCCATAATTCGATTCCCAGGCGTGTTCATTACCTTGGTGACGAACAACATCAACTAGGAGCAGGAAGCAAGTAGCTTGGTTCCATCGCCCGCCGTGTCATGCCCCGTCTAGCTTGTACAGACCGGTCGCGTCTCGCTATGCGCCGCCGTGATTTGGCAAACAAATCCTGAGGGTCAGACTGCTTGGCAGCGCCACCTCGGGACAGGTGAACCAGGCCCAGATGATCTCCTCACAGGGTCTGCCCGGGTTTTCTTTTTCCCCCGAGTGCATCTCCTTGCCCGATTTTAAGCGGGCAAAACTAATGTGGCAAAAGAGTCGTATATTGTCACATCCTTAACGTTTGCTTACATGCGAGTATTTTTTCAGCAAAGAAGCCGTCAGAATCCGACGGCAGGCCACTGCCATAGGCAAGCATCTTGGCCTGGCCTCTTAACGCTGACCTCCATGCTTAGAAGGATTGGGAAGTACCTTTCCCTGGACCCTGTGATTATTGTGAATATGATAATGGGGCCTTTTGCCTTCAAAGCTGTCCGTGTGAGTTGTTCACATATCGACGACCAGGCAAGACGACTGCGCAAGACAGGCACGACATCTACACTTCAAGCCATCTCCGGAAGTATGCTGATACTACGTGAAGTCAAAGTGAGCCTGTCCTCACCATACAGCTCAGGGCCCAAGCACCATCGATCTGGACCCAACCGATAGATGAAGGCCCCTCCTTGTCAGCAGCCACGCGGAAGAGTCAATGATGCTGAGTCGCCAGGCGACGGTTACAGTCGAGATGCTACAGTATCTGTCATGATGATGGCACAGAAAGTAAGGCACTTCAACTCGCAACCCTAAACAACTCATCTGAGTAAACTCCGCATGCGAAGGATGTGTCATGCTTGGAGGCTCGACAGATGCCGCACGAGCTCCTCCAACTTTCTGGAAAACTCTTGGTGTGCTGGCATCCTTGGCTTCCGGCCGACAGTGGTGACCGGTGTGTATCAAAGCCAATCTCAAGCTTACAGAAGCAAGCACATGCAAGCACGGCCACTCACGAACTTGTTAGTCCGCACTCAGAGTTACAAATGCCAGCTCAGTGCGGTGCCGGGTCTGGCCACGGGTCGAATTGAAATAAGTTGGAACAGCGGGGCGACCCCCGTAATGAGTGCTTTGCTGCTACCGGTACGGCAGTGGCCGGGGCAGGAGATCCGATTGTGATTTTCCGCCCATCATGCTTCAAGCCCGATGCGCACAGCGTTCCCAGCTGTACAGGAAGGTAGGAAAGCGCCCTGCCACAGCGAAGTTAGGGAACGTCATCCCTTTTAGCACTGCGCTACCACCAAGGCACACGACCCTCCTGACAATTCTCATAGCTGTATATAGCTGTCATAGCTTAGCAGTCAGGCCTGCAAGGCGTTCAGCTGCTTTGAGGGGATGCCTGCCATCAACATGGCCGATGAAGGGAGGGTGGATCGAGTAGCCAGCCATAACCTGGATTTCAGGAGGGAGCATGGCAACTTGGTCGAAAGGCACCGACAGCATCATGTTCTCTTGTGGGCGCACCCACGGCTGGCAGTATTGCGCTGTGAAAGCGCATCGGTTGGTGTCCTTGCTCTTGTTTGCACCACCCCCATGCCAAAGAGTGCCTGAGAAAAAAACACAGCTGCCAATGGGAAGCTCTGCTGCAACGCCGAGCTCTTCTACCGTTTGTTGATCAGGAATCCGATCATCACCCCACTTGTGAGATTTCGGGATGACGACGGTTGCACCATTCTCCGCCGTGAAGTTATCGTCCAAAGCCCAAACGGTGGCCATCGAAAACGGGTCTCGTGGACGTGGAACATGGGTGAACTGGTCATCATAGTGGAGCGGCTGTATAGACTCTCCAGGGCAAATATCTATGACTTGCGCAGCAGTGAGCAGAAAGTTGGGCATCAAGAACTGCTCAAGCAAAGCCATGACTACAGGGTGAGCGATCATGCTGTCCAAAGCTCGTGTCTTCGACAGCACTGCATACACACGCCGAGTCTGGTAGCCTTCAAAGTTGTTGCGCCCTCCTTCCCCGAGCAAGGGCTCGATGGCGCTCCTGATCTCGGCGATTTCTTCACGCGACAGCAAGTTTTTCAGTACGACGTAGCCCTTTTCGCGCACTCCGTTCACAGCCCACTCCCACTCGCGGGGTATTGTCTTGTCGGCTTTGAACCTCTCGGACATGTCGATGACGTTCGTGTCAGTCTTGATTCCACTGAAACGATTGTTTGCTGCGTCGGGGTGCGAAGTCGCCATGCTATTATGCGATATGTAGAAGCCCTCAGAGCGAACTAGACTTAGACTTGAGCCACAGCCTCCCTGCAAGGAGACTTGTGCGAAAGTGACTGCACTGCATGCCTAGAGCAGCTTTGAAGAGCTGAAAGGCAGCTACACTCTAGACATTTCTACACCACACGATTCATTGAAGAGTTGCTGGTACAACACTTGAGCATTCTTGCGCCCATGGCTCAACTCCAGGATTCTTCTCCTGGAAAGTTCCCAGTCCAGCGCGTGCTGCACTGTTGAGACCTCTCCTGACGGGGGCTGGCATGATGTACCGCGAATACCGGTGGGCTGGGGTCTGCCTGCCTCGTTCACTTAACTTCCGAAAAGAATTGATTCTTGATGCCCGGCCGGGCTGGATCCCATGCCATGGATCACAAATCAAAATGCCGACGTGTGCAGATGAAACGCTCAAGAATCTTCACCTATGTAATGCTCTTGATGGACCGAGGTTTCTGACCTGCTTGAGCCTACTTGAGCCTTGATCGTCCAAGCGGCACCCTCGCGCTGGCTGGTAGATCCTGAGCTGCGGAACGGCTGCTTGATACTTCGGCATGCGACCCGTGTGCATCTACAAGACCTCAAGCATCTGCAGCACAACCACAACAACGAAACGAGGGCACTCAAGTCAAGGAGGAAGCTGTCTGCATCCCCAATCACAGGCTCACGTATCAAAGACCAAGTTGCAGGACTAGCAGCAGTAGCACAGCATTACGAACGAGCAACAGGCGCAGCTCCAACCGCAGCGTGCATCTGGCTTGAGAAAGGGGGATTCGGAAAATTAGACCTTGGATCCCTCTAGCGAAGCATGGCCCATGGCCACAGCTTCTTGGGCTTCGGGGGGATAGGGGGGCTGTGTGCTGCTGTGCATCTTTCGCCCCCTGCAGCCACAGCAGGGATGCAGCTTTGGAGTAGGTTGGTGACTGCCTTAGTTGCTGGAAAACCTGTCTTGAGTCGCACAACTGCGTGGCGCGCTCTGCAATGCTTTTGGTCTGCATTCCCTCGGCTCTCTTGCACACCATGCGGCACATTGGAGCTGGTCATATGAGCATGCGCACCGCATGCGGGTGGGGCACTATCCGCACAATTCTGAGCCAGTAGCGGCGGCAACATAAGTCGGTTTATTTCTGCCGGTTGGGGCTTCGCTTCCGGCCGGTTCCTTAAGCACTAGGAGACGGTATAGACTCTTGGAACGGTGGCTCGCAGCTGGCGGATTCCGAAGCAGCCAGTCAGCAGAGAGGGTCGCAGTGCCTACAGCATGTGACCGCATGATGTCTTCCTAACATCATCAGTGCCGGACACACCTTGGCACGCAACTGTTGGTAGCTGAAGCTTTTCAATTTTTGGGACAGCCGCGGGCCACAGTAGATGCTCACCGGTACTGCTTGCCAAGTAGAGAGTGGCTCTGTGCGGGCCATTCGCAAAAAGAGCCACCTGCTTGCAGCGCATGAAACTTGTTGGTCAAGCTTGCGCCGTTACAAACACACACAAGACTAAGCCCCAACAACGCACATGCCCCACTTAAAGGGGATCAGCACGAAGGAGCAATCGACATGGCCGCTGCTGCTGCTGCTGGCGCTGGCACAGCTCGGCGCACTGGACTAACGTGATTCAAGCGTCAGACGAACCCCATGCCGTAGCCGGATGTAGGCGCAGGGGCCATCCTGTCAACAGTCAGTTTCAGATGCAGGTGACTTGCTTCTCTTTCCTTAACTCGATGCTATGAAGCACCAGAGCACACTCTGCGAAAGAAGCAGGCGAGCACTACCTTCGCGGACCTTTTCTGACTCTCTGATGAGTCGAAGCCCGTGCATGCCCGTGCTCTGCGTAGTGCAGCTGTAGCCAGGGCTCAAACACGGTCTTCGGGTCCAGATGGAAAGCCGAAACCCAGACTGTCTCTGCAAGAGCTCGAAAAACATCTGGACCCATGTTCCTCCTTGACTGTATGTTCGGGCAGCTGTAGCGGAGCAACGTGCGCACCTGCGGTTTGTCATTAAACATACCGAAGTGCACAAGTTGCCAAGAGCGCCCAGAAAAATGGAAACGGAGCTCTCCGAAAGAGACCCACATGCTTGCACAAGCCTCGCAAACTCCGAGTCACTGGAAGCAAGTCTCGCCCTGCGCTATTTACGTAGTCATGCTTAAATCGAAGAGCGATTGACCGATGATTCTGTGCAGAGACGGCAGTGCCGAAAGACTTGCTTCCTTTGGAAGGTGGATCTGACACAGTTGTGTCAGTTGCAAAAGGAAGGCTCTTGGTGATTGTGGCGCAGTGTCAAGGTGCAGCTGGCAGCCAATCCGGCACTCAAATGCTGCACTCCGTCTTAATTTGCTGCTCGTGGAGCAATGAGCATAGAATGAGACACATCGGCCTGCTGTTGCCGACCACGGTACTGTAGGTAGAAGGTGTGCCGGGGATCCAGCGACGCCGGCGTTTACACGTCAGTGCCAGACCTTGGAAGGACGCCTTCACCAAGCGCCGGCTCTGGCGCTCGCTTTTGAGCAAAGCAAACCCTCCGAGCAGCGGCGACCGTGGCTGCCACAATGCAGAGCAGACTGAGGAGGAAGGCGGCAATACGAACTGCGCTGATTACGTACTGCGGCCAGTCAAAGTAGTTCCAGCGCACAGTCGCATCCTGATGCCAGCTACAAGTAGGTGCTGCATGAGGCCCCTCTGGACAAAATAAAGCAGGGGAAAGGCTCAGCTCAGAACACTGGGGATTGGGTTTTCAAGACACCGGATGTGACCACTTCAGTCAAGAGTCGCGCAGCTTCTCCGCGTTCGTCAACTCCGAGACCATTCCAAGCAATGCCCAACAGGCCACAAGCGCGATGATGGGATCGGCTTTGGGGCTCGCGAAGGTGAACACTGTGACAATCGCAGATATGCCAGCGAAGCAGACCATGGCCAGTGCCAGCATCACTTCCGGAGGACCCTTGTAGTAGTCTGCAACCACGCAGATGTTCAAAGAAGTCGCGGCCACAATCCATCCACAGTGGAGCGAGAAGGGTGCGCGCAGAAGCCAATATTCAGAAGTGGACATCTCTTCAAGAAAATCCAATCGCAAAATGCCCACCATGAGTGAGATCAGGATGCCTGCCATGCAAATCATGGCCCCAATCATGATCTCCTGCGCGAAGAAGAGAGTCCAAGCACACTGGAAGAGGCATGCGCTCAGCCACCATGGGGTTATGGTTTTCACCAACATGCTCCCACGATAGGACGGGAACATCTGCGCCACAGCGAAGACGCCCTCCCAAATGAAGATGGGGCCCCAGATGGAGAAAGCAAATCCTGAGTCTAATGTTCAGAGCTGTGCTGATCTTGCAACTTAGCTTCGTCTCTGCTGTTGGCCCTGAACCCCGCCTGATGGCGTGATGAGGGTGTGGTACTTGGCGCTTAGGTTGGTGTTTGTTGGGCCAAAGGCCCCAGTCAAGGAGCCGTAGGTGATGCCCAAGTTCACCTTGGAAAGCTGCAAGCAAAATTGAATCCGCTTTGTGCTCCTGAGGCACTATTCGGATCGTGCGGCCGGGTCGCAAGGAAAGCGGCCAGATTCAGCAGGTTCAACATGCAGCCTCCCTCTGCGGCTTTTCCCATCTTACTCTTCAAGAAGATGCGACACAGTCAACTACGAGCTACTCCTGAGCCAGAATCTGCGGCATCGTGCAACGGTGGTTTCTTCGGCAGCGCAAGCTGGCGAGCACTACCTTTTCTGACTCTCTGATGAGCCGAAGCCCTTGCATGCCCGTGCTCTGCGTAGTGCAGCTGTAGCCAGGGCTCGAACACGGTCTTTGGGTCCAGATGGAAAGCCGAAACCCAGACTGTCTCTGCAAGAGCTCGAAAAACATCTGGACCCATGTTCCTCCTTGCACTGTATGTTCGGGCAGCTGTAGCGGAGCAATGTGCGCACCCACGGTTTGTCATTAAACATACCGAGATGCACAAGTTGCAAGAGCGCCCAGAAAAATGGAAACGGAGCTCTCCGAAAGAGACCCACGTGCTTGCACAAGCCTCGCAAACTCCGAGTCACTGGAAGCAAGTCTCGCCCTGCGCTATTTACGCAGCCATGCTTAGATCGAAGAGCGATTGACCGATGATTCTGTGCAGAGACGGCAGTGCCGAAAGACTTGCTTCCTTTGGAAGGTGGATCTGACACAGTTGTGTCAGTTGCAAAAGGAAGGCTCTTGGTGATTGTGGCGCAGTGTCAAGGTGCAGCTGGCAGCCAATCCGGCACTCAAATGCTGCACTCCGTCTTAATTTGCTGCTCGGGGAGCAATGAGCATAGAATGAGACACATCGGCCTGCTGTTGCCGACCACGGTACTGGAGGTAGAAGGTGTGCCGGGGATCCAGCGACGCCGGCGTTTACACGTCAGTGCCAGACCTTGGAAGGACGCCTTCACCAAGCGCCGGCTCTGGCGCTCGCTTTTGAGCAAAGCAAACCCTCCGAGCAGTGGCGACCGTGGCTGCCACAATGCAGAGCAGACTGAGGAGGAAGGCGGCAATACGAACTGCGCTGATTACGTACTGCGGCCAGTCAAAGTAGTTCCAGCGCACAGTCGCATCCTGATGCCAGCTACAAGTAGGTGCTGCATGAGGCCCCTCTGGACAAAATAAAGCAGGGGAAAGGCTCAGCTCAGAACACTGGGGATTGGGTTTTCAAGACACCGGATGTGACCACTTCAGTCAAGAGTCGCGCAGCTTCTCCGCGTTCGTCAACTCCGAGACCATTCCAAGCAATGCCCAACAGGCCACAAGCGCGATGATGGGATCGGCTTTGGGGCTCGCGAAGGTGAACACTGTGACAATCGCAGATATGCCAGCGAAGCAGACCATGGCCAGTGCCAGCATCACTTCCGGAGGACCCTTGTAGTAGTCTGCAACCACGCAGATGTTCAAAGAAGTCGCGGCCACAATCCATCCACAGTGGAGCGAGAAGGGTGCGCGCAGAAGCCAATATTCAGAAGTGGACATCTCTTCAAGAAAATCCAATCGCAAAATGCCCACCATGAGTGAGATCAGGATGCCTGCCATGCAAATCATGGCCCCAATCATGATCTCCTGCGCGAAGAAGAGAGTCCAAGCACACTGGAAGAGGCATGCGCTCAGCCACCATGGGGTTATGGTTTTCACCAACATGCTCCCACGATAGGACGGGAACATTTGCGCCACAGCGAAGACGCCCTCCCAAATGAAGATGGGGCCCCAGATGGAGAAAGCAAATCCTGAGTCTAATGTTCAGAGCTGTGCTGATCTTGCAACTTGGCTTCCTCTCTGCTGTTGGCCCTGGACCCCGCCTGATGGCGTGATGAGGGTGTGGTACTTGGCGCTCAGGCTGCTGTTTGTTGGGCCGAAGGCCCCAGTCAAGGAGCCGTAGGTGATGCCCAAGTTCACCTTGGAAAGCTGCAAGCAAAAGTGAATCCGTTTTGTGCTCCTGAGGCACTATTCGGATCGTGCGGCCGGGTCGCAAGGAAAGCGGCCAGATTCAGCAGGTTCAACATGCAGCCTCCCTCTGCGGCTTTTCCCATCTTACTCTTCAGGAAGATGCGACACAGTCAACTACGAGCTACTCCTGAGCCAGAATCTGCGGCATCGGGCTGCTTGGACTTGCAGGGTCTGCTGGACGTGTGTCTGTGATGTCTCGGCTGCTTTACAGAGCATGTACTTTCTCATGCGGCTGCAGCATGTGCAGTGGCCCTGGCCTGGCATTGACGTGGCACGAGAGCCTGGACACATCTGGACGCTCTGTCGCTGCCAGAGGCCGTGAAGCTGAGGTCGCAAACCTTGGAATGATATGCTGCTATGCTCCTAGCGGCATGGTCAGGCGGAAACCTCACTTCGAAACATGCCCCAACTCGGGCTAACTTGTTTGTCCCAGGCTGTCCGTCCCTCTGCTGCCTAGACTGGTGGTGGCCGGGATCGGAACGGTTCCGGCCCGCTTGGCGTGGGCAAGCTTCTTTTAAGAGACCCACTTGTCTCACATGCTTTCAGGGTTCAAACTGTCATATTGGCAGGTGCCATGGCGAGTGGAGGGTGGAGAGCCAGGCGGCCAACCCCGCACGTTGTGGAAATTGCATCTTATCATGTACAGCATGCCTTCGTGGAGCAAGACACAAGTACAGCAGCAGGCTGTGGCCCGGTAGAAGGTAGCAGTGAAGACAACTTCGTGTGAAAGAAGCGCACTTACTCTCCCCACTGGGTCCACACATACCACCACTAAACAGAGCAAGCGGATGGACGAACTTCAAGGCATGTAGCAAAGCCGTGCTGTCTGGATGAAGGGCTTTCTTTCCAGGAGTCGTTGACGTTCGAAGTCTATGCGCCGTCCACGGATGTAACAGGCAAGAGCATGTTCAAGCTTCTTGACTGGACCATGTAGGACCTGCCAACTGCAGCATGTCTCAAACTGCACCAACTCCTTGAAATAATGGCACCACACTACCCCTGCGCCCACCTCATATCCACTCAGCCAGTCAGAAATCGCCTCAACCGGCTGAGGGGGATGTAGATTTCTCGCACACCTTCCTGCAACGGAGGGGTGTTAGCTCCGGCATGTGTCTCAGGTCTCAAAGAAATTTTAGTCCTACAGACTGACGAATCCGGTCCGTGTCTCGGCTACACTGCCCTACTTTCACCTTGTCAATCCGCTGGACGGAGCTTTCATCCCCGACGGGCAGCGTCCTGGAGCATGCAACTTGTGGAGTGCTGTGCTATCTCCAACTGGATGGCATGTTCCTGATTGCAAACCAGTGCTAAGCCGCAGGTCATGAAGCGACCAAGCAAGCCGCCAGGAATTTCCACGCCGCTCAGGGTTCCACCATACCTGCAAGTTATGCACAAGCACGGAGATAGGAGACGACAACTAGCTGCGGCTTCTGGCGGCTTTGTCTGCATCCTCTGCTGCCAGCATGCTGTCACAGAATTCCCCGACGGGGCATCGTTCCCCGTGGTCTGGAGTGGGAGGCCAGGTGGGTGTCTGAAGCAGTGCAATATCTGCACGCTGCTGATGGTAAAGACCGCATCTGCAGAAGCAAGAAGCTCGCTTCAAGGACACCCATCCAGGACCTTCTTTACCCTATAATTCAAGGGCATGTGCTAGCGCTCAAAAGTACGCCTTGCGGCAAAAACCACTTTGCAGGGGAGTTTGCGGAGTACCTTCTCGCGACCGAGCTTTAAATGGACGTGCTGCCATGTGAAATTGGCCTGTGCCGAGCACCTTCAACATGATAGGGGACGGTGGAGTGCCGAATCATGAAATGGCATCCGGGCATAAGAATTTGAGAACTTTAATTCAACCGAGTTCAACCGATGTAACAGCAATGGCAGCATAGCGAGGCATTTGTAGCCTCACTAAACACTGGGCAGGCCAGGAGAGTCTTAAACACCCACTCAATCCGGGACGGCCCGACAGCCCACACTATCCGACGCAGCAGGAGCGAAAGCCTCAGGCGACGTCTAGTGGGGCCTCTACATACAAGAGATGTTCTTCGGCTTCTGTAACTAGCAAGTGATGTTGAAGCCACAATTTCCTCGCCGCGAAGGTTGTAACCAGCATGCCGGCTGCAAGGGTGCCGGCTCCTACCAGCAGCAGCTTCTTGTCGGGGATGGTGGCGAGCATAGTGGGTCCACCTGCATGGGCCCGCGCGGCCCGCGCTGAGCTCTGCTCTTCGGCTTCGTCTGCCAACTCTTGGCGCAAGCGCTGCTTTTCTGTCCGGAGCTCCTTCTTCAGGTGCGCGCGCTCGGAGGCCAGTTCGGAATTCAAGCGCTGAATCTCTTGTTCCTGGTCCTCCGCGGTAAGCTCCGCTAGGCCCGAGTCGTGCGAGTGCGGTTGCCTGGCTGCGAGGCCGAGGCTTACTGTGGCCTTGGTAGCCTCGGCCTTCTCTGTTCTCGCTTCTGCTTCGGTAGCGAGCGCCTCCTTCAACTTGGACTTCTCCGCAGTGAGTTCAGCATGAAGGCCGACCCTTTCGGAACGAAGCTCCTCCTTAAGTCGGTGCTTCTCCTGCTGATGCTTTCGGTACTCGCCCTGGTGCTCGGAGTTCGCAGGCTCGGTGCTCTTGCCTGCGGCAAGATCACCCGACCTTCTGTCATCCTCCTGCCGACTGCGACTTTGGGCATTCCTTGAAAACATGCCTGTATCAGCCGATGCTTGCTGAAAGTGTTTGGTGTAGCCAGCACCAGCTCGACGCAGGTTTAAATCACTGACCTCTGGACTGTGATTTCTCATGTATATGGGGAAGTTGGCGAACTGCTCATCGCCTCCGCCCCCTGGCTGGTCCTCATGTCTTGCCAGCCTGTCTTTGTAAGGCCGGTAAGGCTGCAAGTACTTCTCGTAGTCGCCGGCCCTAGCCGTGCCAAAGCCCTGGGAGGACATGGCAAAGTCCAGGTAACCCAAAAAGCCAGCTTTGGGTTTGGAGGCACTGGTCTCCTTCCCTACAAAGCTCACTTGCTGGTGCTCGGCCCCTGAAGGCTTCGCAGATTTTGCCCCAGCAGATGGCAAGTTGCTAGCATATCTCGATACAAGGTCCTCGTAGCCGTCGTAGCCGCCTCCACTGCGCGCACCTGTGCCATGCTGATCCATATTGGCCATGCCATCTTCAAGATACGCTGGGTAGCTGAAGCCTTTGCCATCGCCACCTCCTACGTAATGCTGATATGGTGCAGCATACCCACTCAGAAACTTCTGATAATCTGTTTGGCCTGAAGACAAGGCCGGCATCAGAAGCCCAGTCAGCACCAGCATGGCCATGGATTTGCCGGAAAGGACTCGGCTCGGAGCTTCGCGCGCCAATCTTGAGCCAAAGGCGATCATGTATTTTTCAAAAGGCCAAGTGTCTACTTGCCCACTGAAAGTGCCACGAGTTCCTGAGTCCGACTCAGTCCCTCACTCCGTCGTGTCCATTCGAAGCAGAAGATCTTCGTTTTCTCGTAGGCAATGAGGCTTGCCCAGGATGTACTTTCGCGCTGCGAGCTGTGTGTAGACCATGATCGCAGACACATGCAAGTCTTTGGGGGCATACCTCAGTTTCGACGCTCACACTCGCACAAGGCAGGCAAGGCTCCACATACCTCAGTTTAAGTTTTCTGGATCCTAACTACGCCCTACGTACAACAAAACCCTCAGTTCAGTGCCGCATTCGTTTCTAATGGCCATCCCTCACGCACCGGTCATTTGCAGCTAGGCTGCAGCCTGGACTTGCCCAGCAACAGGAGCCTACTTCTGCGAGAGAGGCCCAAGGATCTCACCGTCTCGTTGCCTGGAAGGACCTGTGCACAGATCCAATCCTACAGAGAGGTAGTGAAACCCTTGCTGGCGTTTGAAGGCACAGGCTGGGATCGAGCTGGTTGGGCGACCGACCAACGCTTACGCAAGTTCAAACCGAACTCCGAGAGCGACTCCCTGTCCAGGCCTTGCCGCTCGCCACATCCAACAGCACAGAGCCTGTGCCGCGCTGAGGCAAGAGAACCAAGAGCTGCGCCGCGCCTCAGGTCATGAACGACCCGCTTCTCTGATGCGGTTTGACGTAGGCGGTCTGTTTTCGGATCTTTCGGTGCCAAGACTAGCACCGCAGCACAGTTTGGGCTTCTGCTAAACGTCCTAAGCTGCTGAGGAGCCGGCGGCCCTTGAGGTCCTCAACGACCTACATTCTACATAGTCTCGGCATGTCTTGGCACTCCCAGCTCGGACAATTCCAGGCGAGACTCGACAGGTGTTTTTTGAGCTGATGAGGTGGACGCCAGAAACACAGACGGGGATTCAATCATAGTTCAACATTCCCTAGCCGACTTCCGGTTCGCTCGTCTGCAAAACCCTGGGTGCCGGGCGGTGTCTCCATCGACTTCGACGCTGGCACTCCCATCGCTCATGGAAGAAATCGTCAAAGTGATGACGCCCTCATAATCCTCCTCTGGTTCGCCGGCCTGAAGTCAGGCAAAACGATGTTGTTTGGCAAAGTGCATGAGCAGACGCAGGCGCTCGATATATGGCACCGATGGGCCAACCTACGGCCTAGTCGCCGCAGCTGCTAGAAGAAAGCCCCTAATCAATGCAAGCAGCAGGAGCGACGTCAAACTCCGAACCTTGGCAAAGCTGCGCCAAACGTGGTACATTGAAGAATAGGAGCGTGAAGGATCTCTTGCTCTTGTGCCACACGAAAGGGCAGCGCCTGGGCCTAGTGGACCAAGAAGGGTCTCCAGGACGTTGCGCGGCTCTTGCTTGGAATGAGCTTCACTGGGAGTACTGGTAGTGCCTCATGCAGGATACCGGAGAAGGTACGTCGTGTTGCAGAGTGTGGTGTGTCAAAAACGTCGCGCCTGCAGTTTGGCCTTCTTCCTCGGGCGACCCGACCCCGATGGAAAGGCTGAGCAGGGGATGGAGAGCCATTAAAGCAAGGACGGCCCGTGACTCTGGCAGACTGCTCGTGTGGACTCATGCTGCATACCAGATTCTGAGGCTTCGTGGTCAGAACATGTAAAAGTTCCTTAACATGAATCTGACGATGCATGGAGTCTTCGCCGCCCCGCTCAGAAGGCATGCAACAAAATCTCAGCTTACAGTGCTTTGAGGAACCTCCAGGCAGCAGATCGGAACCGATCCTCTTGCAAGCTCAAGCTCTAGGACCACGGCACAGGTGCGCACCCAATTTTGTCGACTAAGCATGTGGTATGGAGTCCAAGGCCAGCCAACATCAACGGATGCAGGCACGAACATGAGCCACTCAAGAGAGCCAGCTGTACGGCTCGCATATACTCACATGACCCATGACGAACAAGAACCCGCCTCATGTTAGCCTGGCATAAACTGAGGGTCCAAGTGTCAGCAGCAATGAAGCATAACGGTCAGGTGACGAAAGCGGTTTGCCGCAATTTCTGCAAGAGTTTCTGTTCAGCCCATGACTACACAGTCCAGCAAAGCCTGCATCCGGTCCCGATTGGGCGGTTATTGCTGATATTGGCTGGTTTCCTTCTCCTCAACTGCGTAGCAGCAGCAGACGACGTCTGTACAAGGACATGCATCGCGAGGCAACCACTTCAATCTCCAAGTCTATGCATGTTCGACACACAGCGTACCTAGTCACAGAGCATACAAGGGTCTGATTAACTACATTGTTTGCTGTTTGGCTTATAATGAGGTCGAACGAGTTCAAGCGGGAACACTGCGCAAAACCTGCAGAGAAGGGAGGAGCTGAGCATCCCGCCGTCTGTAGGGCCTAGGCCTAATCTGTGCCAAGACCATCCCCCCGCGATGCAGTCAGTTTGGGATTTGGGCGATTTGGAGCCATGGGCAGACACATTAAATTTCTGAAGGAGTCTTTCACGCGCTGAAGGGCAGCTGGCCAGAATAGGGCCTCTGCCGGACCGCCCTACTCATTGCCAAGCGCGGCCTAATGCATAATTGCGATCCAGGCAGTTGTTCGGTGGATCAGAGAAGACAATGGGTAATTAAGCAGCGTCCTGCAGCACGCCCATGTTATGGAGGTCAGAGTGGCATCCCTGCGATAGTGGCATCTAAGCTGGCCTGGGATCCAGTCTACATTGAATCTACTGCAGTTTAGTACCTTCTGGGTCCTGCATAATCGAGTTAGGTGAAGGAGCTTGGCCTGAAACTTGTGTTGAACATGCCGCATGGCTGTTAAGTTTTGCGCTGATGTAAAAGCAGTAGCACAAACCCTTCAGGAAGAAACCTCGTAGTGCAGAATTCGCTCGCTCTGAAAAGGACGGCCAGCGTCTAAAGGAAGGCAAACTGGACATCTAGGCTGGCAAGGCCCGTCTCGCTTTGTCGTAATGGATACAGATATACGTCTATAAGTCACAGCTCCTAGTTCCCTTGGGTTCGGAGAAGTCCATGAAGGTCATGCTCGAGATGATTCCTTGCCTGCAAACTCCGACCAACAGAAAACTGTACAGACATCGGTCTTGAAGACAACCGCATTTCCACGTCTTGATGCTAGGGAGCGACGTCGAAAACTTGGCCTAACACAGACTACATCCATTCTTCCAGGTGCCGATCGGGCTGCCTCAAATGTCAACGTGGGGCAAGTCCATGCTCACTGACATGGCTCAGCAAACAAGGCATGCTGCGACATGCTGCAAGGGCATCGCGAACTTGACCACAACTCCCGAGCTTGCGGCGACTCATTGACGTAGGCAGGTGAGCTTGAGTTGCCTGCCGGCAAGCTTTTGTGCATGGAGCCTCGCACAGCTATATCCTTCTGAAAATCTAAAAAGCAGCAGCTGGGAACGCGGCCTCCGAAAAGCCTGCAGACGGCAGGGTGTCAGCAGCTGTTTTTGTGAAGAACCACGCAAACATGTGCACAGAGACACAATCTACCGACTCCCCGCCCCGACTGGTCATGACACAAACACGCGTGCTACACTAACTACCGCTCTTTTCTTTCTTTCGCCAGGGCTATGGTGCAGGGTAACTGCCACTCTCTCACTCTCTCTCTCTCTCGCTCTCTGCCGTCGCATCCTAACTACCACTATCTTTCTATATTCGACCATATATTACTGTTCCTACTGTGTTATGCTATATTGTCATTGTACTGTAGCTTAGATTGGGTTAGAAACTGGCCGTTATCTTTCCAACTCTGCGCTACATAACTTTTCTCTCTACAGGATATACGTGATCTATGATCTTATAGTCTACTACAGACGCTGTTCTGTGTTGCATTACCTTGGGTTTCGTAAATACACATATATATATATATATATACATCTATACACAGATGCTGCACAACTAGCTTTGTCTAGTGTACATCATACCATATGTTCTTATACATTGCACCTTTTAGGGCATGTTCTGCCGGAACAGGATCGCACCTTTTTACCGACTCCAAGTCGGGTATCCCCCTTCGGGAGCGGCAGCTTCAGGTTCCCAACCTAAAGGCTGCAAAGAGACGTGGCTCACACACGCCTGGGCGAGGACGTTGACTAAAAAACAGTCTTAGAGTCATGAAGCCTCACTTCTGAAGCTTCATGCCAGGGTCAGGCGTCAGGCAGTGGAGACCTAAGAGAGCCTTGGCTGATTGCTGGAGTGCCTCTTTCAGGCTGTCACGGCAGACGGCCAGCACTACGAGCTCTTCTGCGGCCCCTTGAGCTCCCTTCCTGCCTTTGCCCCGGCCCTTTCCCTTTCCTCGTGGCTTTTGTAGGCTCAGGATCCCACGCTGCTCCAAGGAGGAGAGCGCCGAAAGCACTTGCGGCTTAGGTGCCGGAGTCTGCTTGAGTTCAGACAGGCAGGCCAGGTACCTCTGAAAGATCTCTGACGTATGGACAGCCTCCTCCATGCTGGACAATGCACAAAGCAGAACCTTTTGCTGCAGTGGGAGACTTTTTAGCGAGTCCAAGGGATCCAGACTCGCCTGCATGCCCACCATTTTCGATGCGCTTGCCTGCACGCTGCCTTGTTTGGCTTCCGAGCTTGCTTCTGCCTTACCTTCTTCTTGCCTCATCTCTTCTGCTTTTGCGAGCCCCTCGTCGCAAAGCCTGACGATGTGTCGGCAGTCTCCAGCATTTGCCAAGCGCCGGATGCGCAGTTCCAGCCCTGCTCGGCCCCCCAGAGCCTTCTCGGCCAGCTCGCCGTCTGCGGCTGCTGCGAAGCGGCTTTGCACGATGCTCTTGAACTGCTGCAATGTGTAGCGCTCGAAGAGAACGGAAGAACAAACGCTCTTCCATCTGGGGCCGCAGGCTTGGACCAGCAAATCTACATGGTTTGCTATCATGATGATCGCCAAGGCTGGAGCCTCGCTGTGTCTCGGGAGGCCACAAAGGATCTCCAACGATGTATCGCCTGCGTTCCACTTCTTCACCAGCTGATCCACCTCGTCAATGATCAAGATGGCAGATTTGCCAAGGCTACGCAAGCTCGAGGCAGCTGAAGCCACAAGGCTGGACAGTGGGCTCCGGGAGCTCAAAGTGGACTGCTTCTGTCCTGTGGCCGAGCTACAAACCTGACCAACTTTCACGAGAAAGCCCGGGACGGAGCATGGCCGGAGGTTCTCCATGCAATTAATTTCCAGAACTCGGGTGTCTGGATGTTCCCGGAGCCAAGCCTTGGACGCTGCCCGTGCCACTGAAGTCTTTCCAGTCCCGGGTCCACCACTGAGGTAGATGCAGCTGCTGGCTGCCGACTCTAAGCAGGATTTCAGGAACTCATCCAACAAGCCACACTCACGCTCGCGAGAAACTAGCGGATAGACTTCCTCCTCCGAGGCCTTTAGCATAGTTTCGGCAGCTGTGGGATAGCCATGGCGCGCTCGCTTGGCATCCGTCTGGTTGCGTGCCGCATCGCTCGGCCGTGCCGTCTTTTCCGGGCTTTCGGTCTCGGCGGCTCGCTTTTGGAATCGACTCTTTTTCTGCGGGGTGATCGGCTCCCCGGGCCCGGGCCTTCCGAGCTCCATGTTCTCCTCCTCGGAGGGCGGGGCCGTCATGGGCCGCGTCGTCATAGCTCACACAAAAAACTGAGAGAGGACTCGACGTTTTACTTCAAGCTCAGGGCATGTCTGTGTCTGTGCAATATACTGAATATACGGCTTCTGCAAGCAATTCTTGCTGAACCATGCTAGCTGCTATGCATGCGGAGCATCGGCATCAACTAACACAGTTGTCTTGCTTGACTTCCACCCCACTGGGCAGTCTTGCACCCTACACCGTCGTCCTGAGCCATGGAAATCCGGAAGCGTTCGATCCACACACACGATAACTAAAGCCCACATCCAGGCACAAATCAAAGTGCCACTGCACTGTCCGGTGCATGCAACGAAGCTGGACAGAACGCTGCCAGTCCACAAACTGACCACTCCAGTGCCTATGACTGTTTTCCATCGGACAAGGACAGCGGCATTCCGTTCCCAACTCCCACGAGACCCTGAAAGCTTGCTGCCTGGATATCCAAAAGTAAGGTCTGGATCTGTGCGACCCGATCCACGACTTCGCAAGCTTCGCAAGCTTCGCAAGCCCGCAAAGCCGTGGATTGAGCGATGACATCCACCTCCAAAGTGCCAGAGCCCAGCTCTGAGAGCAGGAAAATAGCATGCTGCCATCGACCTCCCTTCTCACAGGCGCTGATGACAGCATGGTATGCAATCTCGTCTGCCCCCAAGTGGCTCGCAAGCAGGTGCCCGAAAATCAAGACTGCAAACTGCCATTGCCGGCCCTTCTCACACGCACTTATTGCTGCGCTGTAGGTTATTCTGTTAGGTTGCAGCTCCATCCTGAAGACATCTGCCAACAACACCAGGGCCTGTTTCCACTCCCCACCCTTCTCACAGGAGCTTATCGCTGCACTGTAAGTCACCTCATTGGGACTGAAACTGCGCAGCTGCAAATCTACCAGTAGAGACAGTGCATGCTGCCACGGCAGCCCCTCCTGCCACTGCCAAGCTTTCTCACATGCACTTATCGCAACATTGAAGTCCTGCAACTCACATGGCATGTTTTTCTGAAGCATCTCTGCCAGCAGAAACAAGGCCAGTTGCCACCGGCCGCTGTTCTCGCACGCGCTCATGACAGCATTGTACGCCACACGGTTCTTGGCCAGCTGTTGCTGTGCTAAGCCCATGAACAGTGACAAAGCCATCTCCCACTGCTCCCCACTGCCACAAGCACTGATGGCAGCACTGTAGATGATGATGTCGACAGGCAGGCCCTGCGTGAAGACATCATCCAGAAGATACAGTGCTATTTGCCACTGGCCCTGCGTGCATGAGCTGATCGCTGCACTGTATGAGACAAGATCAGCCTTCAAGCTCCGACTTTTGAGTCCCAGAAGCAAAACCAAGGCTTTTTGCCATTGGTCGCCTTTCTCGCATGCACTGATAGCTGTATTCTGAATGATCAGATCCGCTTGCAATCTCTGCTGGCCAAGCTCTCCCAGCAAAGCTAGCGCATACTGCCAAACCTCGCATCGCACGCAGGCACTCATTGCTGCGCTGTAGCCTCAGACCACGCGGCAAGCCCAGGGACCAAAAAACATATCGCCCAGCTACGAGTAAAGATCTATGTTCTCAGTGTTTGCGGCGCACCACTTCGGATGCTGAGCGTTTCGCAAGATATTTGTACAGGCCATGCGTCTCGAGACCATCTAGTTACTCTGATTGCAAGACTGGTCGCTGACAACATCTGCTTCCTTCCGCAGGCCCAGCCGTGCGAGCACTACCAAAGCTTGCTCCCACTGCTGGCCCCGCTCGCAACAGCTGATGGCTGCGTTGTGCACAACCTGGGCCAGCAGGAATAGGTCGTTGTAGTTAGTACCAGGTAGCGGGCAGTGGCAGCAAGCAGCAGCACCAACAGCGGGAGAGGTAGTGGTAAGTAGCAGCCCTGCCACTGCAGCAGCTGCAGATAGTGCTACTGCCACCATACCAGCCGCAAGAACGGTGACAACGACCACCACTACCACTAGAAATGTTCCCACCGCACATTACCACTGCGCGGCCATTGTCACCGCCACGACGACGACGCCGACTACGATGACGACGACGACGACTACTACTACTACTGCTGTTGCTGTTGCTGCTGCTGCTGCTACCTCTGCCACTACTGCGGCTACTACTGCTACTCCCATTACTTGCTAGTCCTAGTGCTACTACTTCTCCGACTACTGCTACTCTCCTACTACTGCTACTACTACTTCTGCTAGTACTACGACGACGATGATGACTACTGCTGCCTTGTCTGAGTCCGCTGCCACCCGACCTCGACCTGTGCCACCCTGATCAGCGCTGGCGACTCAAGGTGATCCATGGAGTCTGGTTGCTGTTGCCGGAGCATGCATGCCCCGTGCCTCAAAGCTGTTGAACAAGTCCAGGCCGTGTTGCCACTTGCTGGCCTGCGGTGGGCGTCCCTCCCGAGAGAGACACCCCCCCGGAGACCGTTCAGATCGCTGTCTAGACGGAGACTTGCTACGGTGGAAGGTGGAAAGTCGCAAGCAACGTTGGTAATCATGGTGGGGCCTTGCCACAGGCATTGATAACGATGCTGAAACTCCTGACAGCTTCATGTCGGAAAAAGAAGGAAAGGGGCTCCCAAGGCTCCAGGCTGCCTGGATTGCAGGGTTCAACGTGGAAGTGGTGTCTTCAGTGCATGTATGGATTCACGGCAGCATCACGTCCAGAACCAATCGGGGTTGAGCTACTATTTGGTAATTATTGCATGTCACAGGGCTTGCTGGACCCCCGCATCAGAAATCACATATTTTTCGCGGTCATTGGATGCTGCTAGTAAACCGGTCCCAAACCAGAGTTGCGTCCCCCGAGCGCATCGTGGTCGTGATCGCTGGAGCTGCAGATGTTCGGATAGTAACCTAAAAATCCTGGGTTTGAATTCGCTTCACCGCTTGTCTGCTTCGCGGTGAACAAGCAGCAAAGACCGCCACATGCACGGGCTTCCGATGCCCGACACTCGAAGTTTCACGCCCCTTGAAGTCTCGATTGGCGCTCTTACGATGTTCCCTTCGTGCGACCCTCGCACATTGCCAGGGTTGCGGGTGCTTCCATGTTGTGTCGGGACATGGCTGCAGTCCAGGCATCTATGCTTTCATGTCCTGCATAGTCGGTATAGACGACATTCTCGAAAGCGAACATTGTTCGGTGGCGGGCATAACATGCTGCCCCAGTCCTGTCTGTTACGAGCCCGCGGTGCCCAATCTCGTCGAAAAGGTCCAGGCATGCTTCCCACTTCTTGGCCTTGGGCTGGGGCGAGGCTCGACTTATTTAAGCCGTCGGATTTGCAGGCGAAGCCTTTGTCAAGTCTGTTCGAACTCCTTCGTACAACGGCGATGAGGCACTGCTTCGCCACATATCTTACCTTTGGGCTGCAGCTGCGGGGTGGCAGGCGCAAGGTCAGAGCTGCCATGATTCTGCAAGACGAGTAACTACCACACACAAGCATACGACCACGGCCTTCCAATGGTGGCATTTTATGAAAAACTCTGATTGTGTTGCCACCCGGAATCGGTTCTTGATTTGGGTGGGGCACTGGGTGGGGCAAATGTTCAATAATGTCGGAAGCTTTACACGTCTCAGCTGTATTGGGATGCTGCAAGTCCACACATGTTGCGAGAAGTTTGACGAGTCCAACTCGTGGGAATGACACCGGCCATCATCAAACACTTCGTGCTTATGGTAAGCGCAAAGCGCTTCTTGAATGTTCAGCACGCAAAGCGCGACCATGGTCAAATCCCTATGTAAGTCGAGAAGCTCTGCCGCAGGCATTCAGAACGGCATCGGTGGTTTGGATCGATGCGAGCAAATGATTGCCCCACATCTGGTGTAGGAGGGAGGAGGCCGCGTCCTCAGCTGACATGAGGGATCCACGAACATTCTGGCCTCCAGGGTTGGCGTCTTCTAGTGCTCTGCAAGCATCCCATCTTCGAGCATCTGCATGCCTCTTCACAGCAGCGGCATACCTCATACCAGTAGGGACGGAGGCTGTGATGAGCTGAGCTAAGATATACACGATGAAAGACCTTCTATTGCATGGAGCGAATCATGTACAAACAAGGAACTTACCTGTCTAGCAACCTTGTTTTTTCAAGAGAGTAAACCTCGGATTTTTGCAACCGGAAAGCTCGCTAACACCGACGGGCAAGCATAGATCTTAGAAGCAGCATGATGGAGACAAACCTTACATTCGGATCCTACGATGCCTGCCCTGCTGCTGCATTGGGCTCGTGGCTGTCGGCCCTCGTTCTGGAACCGCTGCCATGGGTCGTGTGGGAAGCACAGGTTCCCTTCTGTCGCCTAGCCTTTGCCACAACTCACGGGGTACAACTAGTACTCACACTACATTAGTCGTCATAAGAACAGTGGTAACAGCCAGAGGAAGAGCCATGCATGTATGGGCCAAAGCTGCAAAAAGCAAGACACGGGCTTCAAGCATTTGGCTCTCCACATCAGACTCTGGAGTTATGGCTACCGGCAGAAGCTTTCAGAGCCCAGGAGGTGTGCTGCTTAAGCCCATGCTCAACCACGCCTCCACGACACCCGGTCTTTGTATCCTGCGCGCCAGGCGAACAGTTGCTCATCCGGTTCAACTGGCCCAATATGGCAGTACGTAGTTCTACAATCTGCCTCAATCATAGCATTATATATAGCATTCATTGGAACTCGACTTCTCGGAAGGCCTGGTGCTTTTCTGGCTTCCGGGCCCCGTTGCCAGATAAGCTTTACCTGTCGTGACAAGAGTCAGCCCCTGCCACAATCGTGTGCGTGGAGTCTACAGTGCATGGCCGTGCTGTCGGCTTCGTGGCCTGTCGCAAGCGACGGTCCTCGGGAAGCTCTCAGCCCTATCCGCAACCAGGTCACGTGAACCCTCCTGCCCCAAGCCCGGGATGCGTGCAGAGTGCTGCACCAAGGAGCTCAAGCCTCCGACAGCCAGAGGTAGCCCACTTCAATGACATCGGATCCATGAGTCTCCTCATGTCTCTCGTGCCTCCTGGGACCGAGGAAGCCAACGCAGCACTGGGGCGGCTGCAGAAGTCCCAGCGCCAGCCTTGGGAGAAGCTGTTGACCACTAGGTCCTTTAAGTTAAGTTTTCACATCTTCGGATTGGTGAAGAGGAGGTGGAGTCCTAGAGAATCGCCACAGGTGCATGATTCACGGATTTGAGCTTAGGAGACGGCTGCCGTGCTTGCGTTGATCGCCAGAGCTACCTTGACCACTGGCAGCCGAGCAGAAGGGAACAGGGGGGAGAAAGCACGAGCTGATCATTGAGGAGTCCTTATAGTCCTTCCATCTTAAGGAGCCCGCCGCAGGCGGCAGCCGGCAGCACCTGCCACACCAGGAAGGAAAGACGAATTGAACTGCCAGTCTTTGTGTGGACTTCTTGAAGCCCACGCTTGCTCAGCTCTGTTTCCACGGAGACCGAACTTCAGACCCGGGCCCGTCTGACTCCAAGGAAGACCCTTTCCAAACAGGATCCGTTATCGAAAGGACCCATGCTCCACCTTGCTAGTCGCTGTTGCAGAAGCAGCAGCCTGGAGCTGGGAGAAAGAGAGGAGGACTTGATTGCTTGAATTAGTGAAGGGACCTACTATGATTAGAATAAGGTTTTGGGGTATGCTATCTCTCTATGATAATGGCAAGGAACGTGAGGGATTCCTATATTGCGGTCCGATGGCGTAGTATCTTGCTGGGCCGTATCTGGTCTGCCTGGAAGGCCCCTTCCTCTTCGCCCATGTCGAGTTGCAGGTTAACGTCCACGTCCTCGATGTGCGAAGGTGGACAAGTAGAAGAGTCACAGGGCGTCGAAGCATGCCAGGTGCTGCTCTCCGTGAGCGCCACATCTCACGCTCTAAGGTCAACACTCGCACGATGCCCGGCAAGGCCTCATCTTGTAAGAGCCAGTTGAAGCCCAGAGGGAAGCCGAGCTGACCCAAGCATCTACACAACAAAACACCTGCCGAAGCTCTTGCAACTTGTGGATGAAAGGGCTGCTTTGTGCGCCGCTGCAGCCGGCTTGGCATCGCTGCGGGTTTGAGAAGTCTCTGGCGTGGTGAGATGGGTATATAGGATGGTATAAGGCGCCGCCTGGCCCAGCCCAGGGGCGAAGCAATTACAATCATAAGGCTCATGTGGCAGAAGGATCGCATCTGAGAACTAGCCCAGGATTCGCTTCAACCACGTATGCTTTATTCATGTATTTATTTATTGGGTTGAGTCATTAAAATACCGCGAGTGCCTCAAATCCCTCGGCCACATGGCAGCAACATTATGGAAGCTATGAGCACCTGCGCTTCAGCGCGTGGGGTCTTAAAGCTGCCCCGAGCATGCTCCAAGAATATCTCTCTGCGGATCAGGAGCCTAGGAAGCTAAGCATCAGCAACACAGCTCTCGGCAAGTGATTGCTGGGGTGAGCAGAGCAACTGTCTCACAGAAGCTGCTGGCTGCACTGCGTGGTGACAGCTATAGTAGATGCGATAGCCAAATGAAAAAGAAGCAGCTTCAACGGCAACCCCTCGTTCCGGCACTCGTGCTGATCAGGGTTGACCTCGTCAGCGGCTGAAATTCGACCACCACTCTCATTCACGCACGCAGAAGTGCACGATTTGTGCTCTTGGATATCCGACGCAGCTGATTTTGTTTGGGGCTTCCGCCAATCGAGCAGCGCAGGGCACACTGCCACACTGCCTTTCTACTCCTCCTTGGCTTTGGTCTTTGCCTGACAAAAGCGTGCTTCAGGCTTTGACGTGGCGCCGATTCACGCGCTCAGCCTTCTTGGCGGATTTTGTCTTTGCAGAGGACTCGTCGTCCTAGCCGCAGGTGAACAAAGCATGATGCTTCCCTGACACTGCAAGCCTCCGGCCGATGTCAGAATGTCATCCCTGCTCCTAGAATTAAGATAAAAAAACTAAATGTATGAGATAAGTAAGGGAAATATGATAATGAATGAGGCTGCGCGATTTCGAGGGCCCGAAACCCTAGACATCCTAAGGCCAAGTCCAAATCCCCGCAGAAGCGCCTTTCGCTTCTTTCCAGTAGGGGCTCCGGGAGCGGCTCCCGGAACTGGCTCCTTGGCGGCGGCCTGACAGGTCTGATCCTGCAAACGGCTTTTGTTGAGGATTTCGCACAAACCTTTAAGATTCATGAGGGGTCCATGTGGTTTCTTTCGGGTTCTACGATGAGGCTAGCCGCCAACCACCACGGGAAAGCTGACGAGTCTGACAATGCAACGGCAGCACCGAGATTCCAGGCCGTGATAATGTTCAAAAACATGTGCGCAACTGAATCGCATCATTCTGCAAACCTCTTTCCGGGCACTGTTTTGATTCTCTCTTTGTCTCGGCTTTGGTGTGGCTAGATATGGACCTCCAGAAGCATCAAGGACTGCATGGACACGGCATGCAGCCGGAACCTTCGCTTCAGCCAGGAACTCATCGACGCTTGCCTGCTCCTGCGTGCAGCCATCCTTTTCCCTTAAGCTGTATGAGCTGTCGGCCTATGGCAGGTGCAGGATAGCGAACTCCAGTGAGAACCGATTGAATGCAGGCCGACTTAGGCGATCATGATTTTTTGATGTTCCCTACTTCACGAGTGCCAGCGCAGTCGCACCCCGTGATCTCAATGTGTGCACGCGTGCTCTTGATCGGCTCCTTCTTGAGTAGGGAGTAGGCTTGCCATGCCTTGCGCGAGTGCGGGGTCTCACGCCTTTGACATGCGAGGACTGCTGGCTGCATGGATCGAAGCGAAATCGAACCACCATCTGGAACATACGCCTTCCAAGAGTCGTAAAGTCCGGAGACACAAAGGCGGAGCCTTGTTGAGACTTACGATCCAGAACGGCCGAGGGCCATCATCTGCACCTCATGAACTTTGACGAATCTCAGAACTCAGGCACAGCTGGTTCAAGCATGCTGGTAGCCATCACACAATGTCCAGCCAAAGCACCGTCTACCAAATGGATGGTGTAGTTTGCCGAGTTCGCACCCTGCTCGACGCGGAAGCAGGCGCAGCTTGCCACCTGGGAAGTGCAAACCCTTTAGGTCGACACTCGACTCTTCATTCGACTGCAGAATTTGATGGATCCTTCGACAACAAGCTTGGCTGCTGGCAAATTTTCGGTATGGCCTCGGCGCGCAGAAGTACCGCAGTATGTCACTGCAAGGATTGGATGAATTTCAAGGACGGGCCTTCCTCAGACTTACTGGGCCGTGCTGGCAACCTGACCTGCTACCCAAATCATTGAAGAAAAAAGACGAACTTCGGACGCAAGCTGATCCGGAAACATTGAGCTTCTGCGCTGCCACGGAAGAACACATCCGGGATGCGATGTGAATTGCCAGTGGTATAAAAAGCTTTGCAAGGGACACTGGATGACACTGGCATTGAGAGCAGCAACTGATGTTCTGCTTGAGTGGCCATAATTATCTCAAGATATCTCAAGGCATGTCACTGGTCTGGACAGGAGCTGGAACCGGGATCCCTGATCTTACCTAAAGGGGTCCACCTTGCAATCGCCCATCCCCTCAGCCACACGCACACGCATGGACGTATGCACGCACACACAATGAGCTGGCTTTGGTCAGGTCTTGTTGAGGCATCTGCCATGCGCAGGACTGCCTGGTCGTCTGACATTCTTCATTTCCAGAAGCTGAGATGCAAGCCCCAGAATTGGCTTCCAGTCTTGGTGCCAGTTGTCTATGATGTAGGGCGCACCGCGCTGTTGCTCCTTTGCAAGGTATCGTGCCTTCGCATGAATCGCAAGACTGCTTCTTCGCCTGGTCTTGCCGGACGACCACAACAACTGGAACAGGAAGTGTCCTCGGGGTTCTTTGCGAGGCCGGCCTTGATAAGAGAAATGGCCTTGCTCACGGCTCTGGCTGTATCGCTGTGACTGTGGGGTTCGCTGTGACTGTGGGGTCGCTGAATAGTTCACGGGGAGTTCGAAAGGTCTTTGGGTTTCAGCTATTCCACATAAGAGACCAAACTGTTGGCACTTACGTCGGTCCAATCGACTGCACCGAAGCCCGGAATCTGTCGCCTTCTTCGTCGCCTTTTCTCGCTCTTCTGGCGTTGGCGGCGGCCGTGGGGCCGCGCGACCTGAAGGTGGAAACGAGTCATGCCTGGACACTGTACTGCTAGTCCCAACATCGACGAGAAAAGTTGGGTTACGTGCCCTGAGTGCTTCTTCGGGCTCAAACAAACGAACTCAGCTGAACCAGAATGCGCTGGAGACTTGCGAGGTCGGGGGTAGGCATGCTTGTAGCCGCTAGTAAGGACTGTCAAACCACGTCAATGATCAGTCACGAGCCGCGGACAGCAGATAGCGGCATCCTATCTCTTCACATCCCTTGGCCCCAAATCCTTCAATTCTCCGGTTGTTCTGCCTGGCTTTGGCGGATTGTGCTCTGGGGCAGCTTTCGGCGATGCCTGGCTACACATGTAGGCTTGCAGTTCATCGAGGCTGTGAACGAATCACTGGAACGCATTCTAGGACAGGCGTCGAAGTGCGGATTGCAAGCCGACGCACTTTGCCAGGGAAACAAATACGTGTACTGCATATATGCCCACGACAAGCTCTTCGGGTGCCGATCGGTTCTGCACGAACCCTGCAGGTGGATCGCCAAGAGGGATTGTATTTCGTGGCTTGAAGGCCGTGGAAACGGGCAACATGTCCGCCCAACAAAATACAGGCGTCGAGGAGCGTCACGACATTTCGGGCCTAATCTAACATCAACCAAAGAAGACAACAGCCCGACAGTCCGTGGCTTTGGACGTGGCTTCAGCCTTCTCCGCTTTCTTGTCTTTGCCCTTCTTCGCCGGAGTCTGCTCTGCTGCCGGAGCCGCCTCACAGGAACCGAACATCCAACATCCTGGTAGCGTGCACATGCCGATAGTTCTTGCAGTGGCACATCCCACAAACCAAGTTGCTTGGAGACCTGGTCACGGCTTGTGTCATCTGCTTCATCTGCTTCAAGACTTTTAACATATGTCGCCAAGCAGTGACTACGTCGTCGTAACGGATTGCTACGCCCAAGGTCCTGCTGTTGCGTGGCTCCTGACTCTAGACTCTAGACCTTACATCTGGAAGTCTACCTGGTCGTGGCACGAGCAGGACAAGCCTTGGGCGACTGCTTGGGCGAAGACTTCTCTGGCACGGCGGGTGCAGCCTGGCAAAGAAGGCGGAAGGCACTGACGATGCAGCAGTTGCTCGTGGTTGCGATCAACAACATGTGTGCCTTTGGCGAGGCTTTGGGCGACTGCTCGTCCTTCACAATTTTCCCACCGCCCTGGCACCAAGTCGAGAGACCATTCCTACATGTCGCAACACAGCTGCGTGGCTGTGCCCTAGCCTTCTTCAAGTTCTTCTTCTTGATCTTCATGGCTCCCCAGCAGCTCGGTGAGAGCACCCGGATTCTTGCTATACTGAGCCGATATCGAACAAGAAGGAGCATTCTCAAGATCTCAATGGGTTAGAGTTAGAGAAACCTCGGAGTGTCTGCAAGATGGCTGGCTGGGAGTACAGTCACAAGAGCATGAGCTCCGCTCCCTTCGCACACGTTCGCGAGCCGCACGCCCAGCCGCCGTCGCCCTGACATTGATGTTGATCAGGCACACAAACAACACAGCCAGTTCAGGATTTAGAGAGCTGGTCGGTCAACACCAGAAGCAACACTCTTGCAATGCAACTTTCCAAGATGGTGCTGCGTATCTGCACATCGGTTTAATCTTATCCGAAAGTCTTACATGCAGCTCCAGCCCCGGCCCCTAGGCGCTTTGCCGCGCTTTCGGACACTTCCACCAACGTGTTCGGCAACTCACGTAATCATGTCATATGCCCAACACCGCATGGCATTCGCTAAAATACTAGAAAAACACCTCCTGCGCAACTGGTCGACTGAAGCAGTGACATGATGATGGAGTCTGCGTGCCCCTCCTGCGAATGGTGGTGTCCTCCCCCTGCAGGCGGAAGTCTACCTGCCATCGAACGGAATTCACAAGACATCGTCGCAGCGAATCGCTGAGCTTGGACAGTTGAGCCGAGTTGGCGTGTCGACTTCGACATGACCAGTGTAAAGCTCCGTGGCGATGGTGTGGCTTTGCGTTGTCTTATGAATCTAATTGTCTCTGTAATGCCTGTGACAGTTCCTGCACGCGCGCTCGTACATGAAAGACTGCTGAAAGCACAAACAGACACATGAGCACAAGGCACGCAGGCGACCACACACACACACACACACAGAGACAGAGACAGAGACGTGCATGCGTATATACATGCAAACAGACACACAAAGACACCTCTGTGTACGAACCCCGTGGGCACCATCGGCCTTGACATCGACATAGGAGGTCAACTTTCCATCCCCGCCATCGCCGGTCTCCTTGCGGGAACTCACTGTTACCAGTCTGTCCGGTTGTTAGTAGGGAATGAGCGAATGCATCCCTATAGTAGTCCCTATATAACCCCCAATAATGGTCTCCAAAATCCATTCCCCCATTCCCTACTAAGAATCAGACAGCTTACCAAGATCCCTAAACCCCTGCCCTAAAGTATAACCCTTATATAGCAACCCTTCCAAATAGCAGTTTGCAGCGTAGGCAAGACATCTCAAAACGGTCTGCAGTCTTGCACCGACGACCCGGCTCTAGCTCCAACATCTCTCCGAGGCTACTGGTACCGTGACGTAAAGACAAGTAGGAATACAAGTAGGAATCTATGTCTCTCTCTCTCTCTCTCTCTATATATATACATATACACTTACATAACTAAAATATATTCATAATATTCATGCATATATATATATACACATACACACATACTGTGCATGTATAAGTAGCAGTATCTCCTGAATCAGCACGAAGCACAATCAGCATAAGGGCAGTTTTCAGATGTGCCAGGCACCGAGAGCCGTTCAGAAAGCCTACAGCTGGTGGGAACAACTGCAGACCACAGACTTTTTGACCATGCTCCTAGATTCGCAGTGAACGGAACCTGCTCGGAACACTAATGGTGCTCGCAGCTGCTACCATGACTCACCGAACGTCAGAGCTCAGCAGTGCCGCTGCGGCTAGAGGAAACCTGGGTTTGGCTTAGCTTGTGCAGCCAGCTTGAAGAAGAGCATGATGCAAGCAATCCAGCACTTGCGTCTTGCCTCACAGTTGCTTTGTTTCTTCGTGTGCAATGCATGGAAGCATGCGTCAAGAGACTCCCTCTGTGCTGCTACGGACGTGTCTGACAAGGTCGGACCCTTCTAGAAGCAACTCGACATGGTTCGCACTTCGAGATCGAGGAGAGGCAGCACACCGTGTCGAATCCGTGCGTCTACTTTGCAAACCATCTGCCTGTACCTGTATGAGTTCATCTCAACCACTCCAAACACTGAGGCATGCGCAGGTCGATACAGCAGTACGCTTACGTCGTCTGCTTCATTGGGACCGTACCTTACCCGACACATATTGTGAATGAGATCAACAAATTGCACGTAGTCCACGCATTGAGGAGTCGAGGCGGTTCCCGCTGCACGCCGTGCTGCCTTGTCCGCCAGCCTTTGAGCGCCGCCGCGACGAGTGACGTTGCCTGGTCTTCGCGGCTTGCATGCTGCACATCCTTGGCATCTTGCGGAGTCTGTTGTGACGCGTGACCTATTGAACCTGAGGTCGGGCAACACCCTTGCGTTGTTTGCTGCACAAGGCTCTGCCAGAATCTCCACGGCTTCCTCTGTGCCCACGACGTCCCACAGGCCATCCTCAGGAGCAAACAGCGCGAAGCTTACACCCCCAAGTTTCGTTGAATCTATTTGTAGGATGGGCTCAGCCAAGGAACCGAAGCAACAAGAACAATGTCATCTGCAGTCACGTCCATGAAGTCTGATGTCTCCGGCACCTCTGCAGCACATCGCTAGCCTCCAGCCGCTTACACTACATCGCGACGGATATTGCTAAGATGCGGGCTGCCAGAAATCCAGCACTTTCCTGAATTTTGGCGGTATGCAAGACTACCGCAAGGTTGCATCAATCAGGAAGGGCCAAGCCGCAGAAAATCAGAACAATCCCGACGGGTTTGAGGTGCTGGAAGCCTACAGTATCCCCTGCCACATTCCCTGAAGCTCTATGGAAAGTCGTCGAGCTCCTTGATCATTCCAGCATATTCCAGCGGCATGACTCCACTGATGCACATGCTCGCAGAACTCGGTGCATCTGTAGCTCCAAGTCTACATCGCCCAAGCCCCTGGTCGGCATCACCTTGGCGATTTCTGTCTGCTTCCCAAGGACGACACCAACGACCCCATCACTGGGAGATTTGATTTCATGTAAGCGGCACACCCAGCATAGGGGGTGGAACTGCACAAATAGCCGTCACGGAGGCGATAGCTGTATGCTGGGCGGTGTGTCTGCAGACGGTGAATTTCCTCATCATTCTCCAGGGTGTGCATCGTTGTCCTGTACAATATGTGCCTCAGATTGGGATTTTGGCTGGGGGAGCCGGTCTGCCCTCTCTTTGTCGCACAGCGACCAAAAAGAACCGTGTGGCAGCAGGGGCTTGTGACGCATTCCGTCAAGGCGCCCACCACGAATCAAGACTCCCATGGAATCTCCGGCCCAGGCAAAGGCGACGCGTGAGGTTTTCACCTGGAGCAGCTGCAGTGCCGGTGGCAGTGCTGGCTGCAGCAAGAAACCCCAAAGATAATCGCAAGAAAGGGCCTCTGACACCACTGCCACGAGGGTGGAACCGCTGCGCCAGTTCTGCCGCCGGGCCTGGTCCTGGCTCTGATACCAGTAACGGATGGAAATCTGCTGCGGGATATGCGACTTACTTCCTGCCTGTGGTGTTGGGGTCGTACTTAAAACATAGCAAAAGAAGGCGAGAAGAGTGCAAGTGCCGGGGTCTTGTTGGCGAAATCTTCGGAGTGCATGCTCAGACACTCTCCTTTTGGCTACCAGCATTGGGCCTTTTTTCGGGGTCTGTTACTGTTATTATGGTAGGTTGTCGGAAGGGTTTGACGCCGCAGTTTTTCACCCTGGCCCTGGCCCATTTGGGATCTTGCATCGGGCGTTCACAGAATCATGTACCTATGTTGAGGATGGATAGCTGACGGTGATGTACGTTCAAATCGTGCTAGTTGTGCAAGATGCAAAAAGCGGCCTGGAAGGCTGCAACTGCATCTTCAGCACAGCCAGGCCAGACCTGTTTCAGCTGCGATAGTTTGGACAACCACTACTGCTTGATAGTTCAGGCAGTTCAGATAAGCTAGACGAGGTTTGGCTGAATTTTTTTAGCGGGCCAGCATGGTTGCACAATCCAACCCACGAGAAGGACGGGAATACTAAACAATGTCGTCATCTCGACTCGACCGAACTTTGACGGACTCAGACTGCTTGCTGAGCCCGTCTACTCTGAAATGCAAAAATTTTCAACTCGGTCCGAGCACATCCTTCTCGAGCCTTCCAACAAGCAGGCTGCCATCATGCCATTATCCACATCATCCCAAGTGGCACTGTATTGTTTCCGCAAAACCAGCGAACCAACGAACCTGCATGCCTGCACATCTGTGCAGCGCTTGAGGAGGCCCTCTTGCAAGGAGGCAGCGTGCCGGACGATGTCTTGGCCCCCGTGGCCTGGGAAGACCGAGAGGGGTCAAGGGCCGGAAAAGGCTTCGGCTACATCTTGACGCAAACACAACCGACAAGTAGATGGATTCAGCATAGTTTAATCCGCAAGGGACTGCTGGGAATGTGATGCATTTCCCGACTTGACCCAGCATGGGACCGCCTGCAGAACAAGCTTCCGTCCATGAGCAAGGCAATCCTCAGGATGCCGTTGCTTCCGGGTGTGACGACCACATCCTCACCTATGCGACAGCGCTTGGACACGCTCCGATTGCACGCCCCCCGTGGCTGACCCACCCGGGTTACCTTAAGCAAGACATCTCAAACTTTACATCGTATTTTCTTCCCAGTCCGTTTCCACCTCGGTGTTGGCCCTTGTTCTGCGAGATCGCCACGGCCTGCCGGCTGAACACTTTGAATTTGGCCATGCCCCATCCTCGAGACCACCCTTCCGAATGAAAGATGCGGCCATCTGGCTCTGAGGCGAGGGCGAAATCATTTGATGAGGTGCTCTGCCTTGTGAGTGGAGATGTTCGAAAAAGGAGGCTGCAAGTCATTCAGAAATGCCAGCAGAGCCAGGCAAACCAGCCAAATAAACAAGCAACGCACATTGAAACATGATTCTGGGGGTGTGCATAATTGAGAATGTAAAAAAAGATGCTCCGCATCCGAACTGGCTCTCTTTAATGCGGCGAAAAATGGTGGCGCGACATTCATAAAGTCTACGGAGATGAGCTAGATTCTATTCTAGCCGCTAGAAAGCTAGACCGTCGCCGTACGGGATAGTCTGGAAAGCCACCGCGCAAAGCTAAGCTTTGACGACTCGTCTGTTCTAATTTTCGACCTTAGTGCTTCAGGATATGAACTGCAACCTTCCTGGGTATGGGTCTCTGGCCAACTATGGGAGCCGGGATATTGGCAGGTCGGAGGTTGTGGCTTTAGTCTATCTCTGTCTCTGCCTACTCGTGCAGCGCTACTATCTGGGAAGCCCCGCCAGGTTGCACAACGTTGTTCCGCAGCGCTGACTCGACCACATCACCAAGCTGCCTTGGTTGGCGACTGACCACGCAGGCTTTCCTTTACACCCCTCCGATCGAGCCCTTGACCCCTCGGCACAGAAACCTATCAGGCGATTGTTGCCACTTCCCCACATGCACGTCCAAATGGGCGGGAAGCAACTCGGCACATGTCACCAGGCCGAAAAGGAAGCACCTCGGATTTTGTATGATGTAAAATACATTCAATAGCTGTTCAACAGGCATGGGCTTCAGCAAGGAGCTCATCCAAGCGGCGGGAAGGCTTGCCCCAACACGCGAACGGACGGGCCAGTCATGCCAAGCTCTTCTGATGTTGCGAGATGTTGTGAGTCGGGGGGAGTGTTAGCCGGTCGGAATGCAAACGCCTGTCAGTCCTGTGCAGGAACTATATTGTCTCTACGAGATATGATCGTGTCAGCCGTGTACTTAAACCATGTTAGAGTGGCTGCGCTTTTCTCTCAGGTGCTGAGCCAGCTGCAGTCTCGCAAAACCCTCTCGTGAGAATGCCTAGATCGCAAAGAGCAATACCATCATATACCATCCCATGTTGACTGCCTGAAACTTGGCCATTTCAGTCATGGAACCGTCGACAAAGCTGGATTAGGCGTACTGCCCACAGGCCACGATGTTACAAGTTACAAGGTGATCTTGCTCTTGAGCTCTCCCTCGCTCCCTCCCACAAGCCCCGGTGACCTCCTCCATGTAGAAGTAGGTCTGAAGCTCTTTCACCTCCACGTCCGACAGCTTCAGACAAAAGCCCGGAAGCAAACAAAGATCAGTAGCCAGCACAAGAAGCACACATCTATAGAAGCAGTGATCCACGAAGTTGGTCAAATAATTAACAGAGGAAGCTGCACGAGAACAGCAAGGATGTGATGAACATCCTGAACGTTGTTTCTGCAAGGTGACGTTCTTGTACTTCACGATGAATCCACCTCCAATATGCTCGGAAGGTCTTTGTCAGCGTCCTCCTCTCAGGTGCATGTGGACAAGCGACCCCATGAAAGCCTGCATGCCTAGGTCCTGCAGAAGGGCTTCCCGGATTTGCGCCTCGAGCTCCTGCACAGCGGAGCAGGCCCTGCAGTTGTGCAGCCCAGCAGCAGCAGTTTGCACGGTGAAGGTCACCGGGTGGGTTGGAGAGGTCCTCAGGATTCATCATCATCTGGTCGGCCATATTTCCCACCTACATTGGGGGTCAGCTGCACTCTTCCGTGGTCAAAATCACAACGCATGCGTGCAGCAGTTGGGCCTCTGAGTGTGTCTCCAATCGGTGCGACTGCCTGAGTATTCCAGAGCACGAAAGCACCAAGAAGTCTCTTCTTCGAAATGCCAGATCTCAGCTACGTACGGGCTGCCGTCTGGATCAACATGCACGAGGACCTAAGAACTCCAGAAACCAACATGTCTTGCCACATTAATCAACGGGTCGCCCATCCCAGGTTTCAGTCCGTCGTGAGCTGCACATCGCAGCCAAATCCAAGTTTGATATTGGAAGGAAAGCAGTGACCAAGCGCCCTGCGTCTGTGACAATTGGGTGGAAATCACGGATGACCTGGTCATGCACCGCCTGCGCGAAGAGCGAAGTGCAAGAATCCGACAACAGGGAGCGTGCGATGTCAAGGTATATAACATGCGCCATGGAACACACTACCTGATTTAATACACATCAACTTTAACAACAAGCCTGACCAATAACTTTTCAGAAATTTACCTACATTCGCAGAGGACTGGCAACAAAACCAGAACTATGCAACATATGCCTACCCTGTCCTCTGCAATCATCGAGGCTGCCGATGCCGAAATGCGAGCATCCACAACAATGGTGACATCAGCCAAGCAGAAGCGGCCCATTCGTCGTGTCCTCTTTGGTGAAGATGGCAGATTATGTGTCGGTCTGCCGGCAGTCACAGTTCCATGTCCCGCCCCCTGCTTTGGCCCAAGCCGTCCTCAATGTGTGGCTCCTGACCTGACAGGATTCTGCAATGTGACAAGGCCACACACTCTCCAAAGTTTGTGCTTTGCAGTTTGGAAAACAAGTGCTTCCAAGTGTTCGTACTCCTTGCAGGATCGGTCCGTACCCTGTCACAGCGACAAAGAAAGCTGCCTGCAGGGCTACGTCTGCTCTACTCGGGTCCAACAGCCAAAGAACTGTCAAAACACGACTCCTTCTAGTCGCGATTGCTATCTGCAGCTGTTGCCAGAGCAAGACTCCCCTCTGTCCATGGACTGAGGTGCCGACACCTTGCACAGTGCCAATATTCCTGCCACAACTGCTAGCGGCAGGCATCAAAACAACAAATGAAACAAATATGCAATTCAGTTGGTGTTGCCCAGCCTCTAAACTAGTGGCAAGCACGCGGCCACACACGCCTACTTTGTCACAGCAGACGGGCGAACTTGGTCTGCTGCTTCTGTTCAACGAAACTGTGTGATACTGTGTGAATATACGTAAGTCTCCCCTTCAGCGCGGTCTGGTGATCCTACCACACGGACCTCGAAAGAGCTGCTCCGTAACAAACACCGGACGAGGCATCTGCAGAACCTGCGCATGTTAAGACAGATGCTGTGCTCCGACATCCCGGCCCCTTGTGAAAGGAATGTGAAGATGAGCTAGGCATGCTTTGGTGGTCATCGGAGTATCAAGTAGCGGGACGTCCACAAAGCAGGATAGTTTGAGCCGGGTGCGACGCCATCTTCCGAAATGTACTCGAACTCCCCCGTCGCGTGGTTGTAGTCCTAGATGTGCTTAGGCTTGAGCATCGCATGTTACTGCTAGAGTTGTGAAACGACGAGTGTACCAGCAAGGTGAGCCCGGGCGTGAGCAGTCCCAGAGTCTCCAAGCTCGCGTTCAAAGTTCTGTTCGTCAGTTGGGGGTCTGAAACATACCTGCTTCACATGGGCGCCTCCGCATGTCTGACCGGCTGAAGCAGGAGCGCGCACCGTCTACACGAATTGCGTCTCTGAGGCCCGCGCAAGCAAATCGTTCAAGCCTGGAGGGCGTGGGTTTCGTGTCGGTTCGAGCATGCCATGGCAAACAGAGAGCAACTTCAGCCTGCGCAAAGGAACACTCACATGCACATGTCAGACCATCACACAGCAGAGGTCAACCCTAAAGAATCAGTTGTCTTCCATGGCCATACGTAGTCTTCGCCCCTTTCCCATTTTTTCCAATCATTTTGCCACTCGAAAGGCAAAGGCCGACCATGCAAGCGGGAACTTAGCGAGTTTTCCACGCCCCGAGATCACTCTAAGGGGCACCTGGAGATTGCACCCGGATGCAAAGTAAGTGCCCAACCTTGAAGTGCAACTGATATAGATGCATGCCGTAATTAATACTTGGAAGTTCCGACACTGGCAGGCTTGAACATAAATGGCTACACGTGTTACGATGGTTCGGAAACAGAGATTCTCTCCGCAGTAGCCTGCGAGGGTCAGGAAGCAAAACAGTGTCCGCAAGTGGTACCGTCATGGTGCACGGCTCTAGCTGCTGGCGGCTTTCGGGCATAGATGCATACGGGCCGTGTGCAAGCAGAAATCATGCATGTGAACTAATTAACGGTCACTGCAGGTCCGTCGCAAGCATCACCTCAGAACACGCTGGCGGTACCGACCCCTATCTCAGACCGGGGCACTTCTGATCATGACTGGAACTTTCAGTGGATGCGAAGAAAGTCTGAAAGAGCGAACTCACTCGTAGCAGAGGGTCTTGGACAAACTCTGCCTCTCCAATTGTGCCGCTGCTGTTTTGATCGAAGTACGCAATCATCCGTTCCAGCCTCAGATGAAATACCGTTATTCCCTCTCGTTCTAGAGAACTGGTTGCACTGCTGGCGCTCGCCGGCTGCTCGTGTGTAGGATCAACAGACATGCGCACATGCATCAAGCTATGAGAAGGTGGGGCATGTCGGAGAGCGGTGACACGGTTTCGCATTGCTTTCGGACCCGTGATACTGGATCCACTTAGAACTTCGGACAGCTCTTTTCCTAGAGTCCCCTTTCCTAGACAGGGCCCAATCTTGTTGCCGCAGAGGCCTTGCAGCTGATGTCGGGTGGGCTCGTTGGGAGCTGTGGTGCTACATACAGTGTCTGCCCAGGAAGCCAATAGATCGAAAAGGAGCTGTTGTGACCGAAAGCTCCCGGAATGAGGGCGATTGCAGAGTCAGGCCGGAGCAAGATCACCCTGGCAAAGCTGACTTAGGCAGTGGCTCCTCTTCTCGAAGAGGCAACTCCGCCTGCCGATGTGAAGTTGACATCTTTTCTGCAGTTTCTGGTTACACGAGGACTTTCTGCCCCGGGCGTGCTCGCCCTTTCATGGTCTCGGTGTGCCCTAAAGCGATGGATCCCCTGCCCATGTGGGAGATGTGGGAGACTTGGAGGACTGCACTCTTGCCGCCAGACAAACCAATACAGAATCAGGGCCATCGTATGACAAGTCTGAGGGAGTTCGGAGTTCATTACTTTTAAAGACGATTAGGACCCTGATATCCGACCGAGAAAGTGAAATCAGGAACCCCCGATTCCGAGCGGCAATCATGAATCCGGCGAACTGCCTCTTTGCCGGCACGGCGCAGATCCCGTAGCCCGATTCTGCCAGAACCCTCCTGGCAGCTGATGCATATACTCGGGAGTTCCTGTCATCTTATCCACATGTGAGCTTTAAAGCGTGAAGGATCGGGGGACATCTCCAGCTCCAGTAGACGACAGCGTAGTGGGCTTAATGATTAAACCGGCGTCAACGTCTTTTCGAGCACGGGTCATCACTAATCGCAGTTGATAGCAAGTACATGGCAAATCCGCCGGAGCTGGCTGTAACGGATCATGCCTGGTCATCAAATAGTAGCGCTGGGTCCCTTCGTTCACTTTGGGCACGAAGGCCACCCTTGTGCAACCTAGCTGGACCTAGCTGTTTTCCAATATTGCAGCAGGTCTCCATGTGCCTTGTCAAAGAGGCGAAACCTGGGAATGCGGTGAGGCGGCTTTCCACATTAAGCCGATGAGTGAGGATCAGTCCTTCCTGTCTGGCAACAGCAGTGACACCCATGTACGAAGCACGACCACTCACAACCCAAGCAGCACCTCAAACCACTGTCCATGCATTGGCGCAGCTCGTTAAAGGCTGGACTTACTCAGCTCCTTCATCACGGATTGAACTGCATACGTCCAGCTGACAGCATTTGGCTCGAGGCGCACTTCACAAGCCAAGAGGCGTTTTCAGCATAGTCGGAAGGGGATCCTGCTCGTGAAACTTGTTCCAGACGATCTGCGAAAAAGATGTGAAGTCCAGCACCTGAGTGTCTGCGACCCGCGAGTCAATGAGGGGGACAGGTTGTTGAAACATTTCAAAGATTTGAGATGCTTTGATGCCACTGACACGACTTTCAACCATAAGGCTCGGTCGGACAAGATCAGCCTAATGAATCCAGTCAAAGGCACGCTATCGGCATTGAGGCCGTGCGTTCGCATGGCTGCCAATACATCGGCCTTCCTGGAAGAGGATCAATGGTGCAGAGTTGTCTCCAACAAGTTGGCGGGCATGATTCATGATGTCTTTGACACATGATGTGCATATCTTTGATCATTCGGTGCTGCAGTTATGCCGATGAAGCATTACTCCAGGTCTACAAATCCAGTCTCGTGAACGAGATGGAAATCCAACACCTTGATAAGACCCTGAGAAACGGCGGGCACACGGCCTCAACGTCTCCAATTGCCTTTAAAGAGATGCAAAACTGTAGCCCGAGGAGCTTGGCCGGCAGCTCCAGCGCACGCAGGGATGCCTTCAGCTCGTGGTAGCCTACCCCGGCACCTGCTCGGGTTCCGGGCTGTCGATGAGCACCACTTACTAAACGATTTCGTGCAAATAGCAGGGTAAGAACTTGATCTGATCACAGAGTGAGGACGAGTCATAGCAAAGGGATGACCTGTCACACTGTAAACGACGCAACAAGACACCGGCTTTGCAAACTCCCATTTGTGTAAAGGGCCTGGCCTGCACTCCAGCTGTACTGCAAGCCAGAACTTTCGTGGATCTAATTGCACGCCTTTCATCCCTGTGACGATGCCTCCCACGCTGAAGGTGTCAAAGGCGGCTTCGATCTCCTTTTGCCTTTCCTTTGCTGCAGCAACCTCTCTGATCTTGAATTTGATAGCGAGGCGGGCGTGCGCACGGCACCCAGCAGTAACCCAGAAATCACATGTCGCTCTGATGTTTTCTTTTTCTCTGGGTGGTGTGGCTCAGATTTACAAGCTTGGCTACTCGCCTGGCCGTTCAATTGGCGCTGTTGAGAGTGAACTCCCAAAACCAATCGAAACATATCTTGTGCGAAGCTAGGAAGCTAGCGGCTAGATCTTCCAAACCTCCTTGCGGCCAGCAGGCTCTCTGAAGGCTGGTCGATGCAGCCATCGCTTTCGGAGACTAGTAAAAGTTGGCTCTTGGGATCTCTTGGCCTTTCGGATCAGATGGGCCATCACGTTTGGCAGTGCCTTACATGCGACTGTCCACGATGCTGGGTCTGTGGAGGGTTGCGCAATTCACGCTGAAGTGAAGCAGCTGTTGCAAGAAGCGGTCACGCACAAACACAAATTCTCCAAGTCAGGCCGCTTGCTGACACGACGTGAGATTTCTTGCTGAGACTTCGGGTCCGTTCTCGTGAGCACGGAGCCAGGCGCCCCGCTATCCCGGAGACTGTCGACTGCCGAAACACCAAGCATCGCCTGGGACATATGCTGCTGGCACTCATATACAGCGGCGGCATGACAAAAGAGACCACAACGCAGGCACAAGCTGAAGGAATGCGGGATAACCCTGCTTTGACAGCCTTGCAACCTTGTGTCTGAGATCCCAGTCGTGGCAATCTCTCGGGGAAGCCTGATGTAGATGCTTTGACGAAGACTGCCGTTCAGCAGCATTCAGCAGCTTGAAGCCAGTGGACCACTCCTGGTCCTCCGAATCCCTGCTGAGCGGCGGGCGGCCACCACTCCACTGCCTCCACATCAGGCATTCCCCACACTGCACACGCTGCCTAATGCCCATCAGCAGCACCAGGTTGAGTTGAAAACACCCACAATACTTCGAAGACTCAAGCCCTCGAATCACTGGCTGGCCGTTTAAGGCCCACAAAATGGCCTAGGGGGTCGAAGCCCTGCCATGCTCCGACGGCCTCGGCTTCATACATGACCACGCGCTCGGTGTGGGGAGATCGAAGAAGCTGGGCCCGGGGCTCCTCCCAGCTGAGAGGCCAGAGCCACTCCAGCCTTCGATGTCAGCACGAGTCTCCATACCATGGAGGGCAGTCGATGTGAGGCGGCGACTGCGAGCGAATCCGATCGGTGATGCCAAGCAGTGGCTACCTCAGGTAGCTTCAAAGGACCCGCACAAAATCGCATACTGTCAGCGGGATTTTCAGTGGGCCGACATTCGCGACTGAGGAGGCTGCTGCCAAATTCGACCTCAGGCCATCCCGCGTGACGACAACCGACCACGGCTCGCGCAGATACTTCAAGACATCTGTGGAACGCCAGGCGGGTGTCCAATCATGTGAAAATCACGATGCCGCTCAGGATGGCTCTGCACTTGCTCCCCTGCACTGAGCGTTGCTCTGTACAAGGCCTGTCGGCGGAGGAAATGCAGAACGAACTATGCTACAAGGCTTGCAAACTCCTCATATGGCAGCAGCGAGCTGAACGAAAGACGGGCCTCCTTCAGTAAGATGGAGGCTAAACCTCGGCACAAGTACGAGGTTTTGCTAGAACTCTCCGAGAAAATTTGACGACGACACACTCAAAAGGCTCAGCCGGCAGCCTACCGCGATTGCAGCTCGTCTCGCACTCTTCTGGATACCTTCTTGCGAACCCGAATCCAGGTCTGTGATGGTTGCCCACCGTGTTGCTAGCAGCTTTTTTTGCCCCGGGCGCCACGAGTCAGGAGCATGGACGAGGCGAGACAGCGCATGGCTGAAGTTTCATCTGCGGTGCAAAAGCTGCTCCTGCGGCTTCTGCACAAGCCCGTCGTCCAGGGGGGAACGAAACGACTTTCGGCGGAACGATCGCCACCATCTTCAGGCAGGGCCATGCCCACTTCAGATGGTGCATGCCCGTTTGAAACTCAGCATGCCCCGCACATTGAGCAAGGAGCTCCGACTGGTCGCAGGCATTCTTGTGCTGTGAGACCGGTGCCCCAGGCCGCCTGCTCCTGCCTTCGCTCTTCTTGGGCACCCATGACTGGGAATGCCAGGTTTGGCACAAGTCCAAAGCCCAACGGAGCTCAAGCAGCTGCGTGAGAGGCACGGAGCAGCATTTCAATAAAGCGGTCGGCTAAGTCAGGCGGAATGGTGTGGCCTCCTGTCAATGTCGGGCTTGCTTCCAGAAGCGGACGTCATAGCAGGGAAAACCCAAGCAACATCATCTGCTTGCCTTGAAACTCGTGGTACTCTGCCTGCTGCATCCCAATCCTCAGCTGAACATGGAGGTTCAAGTCGCACGAGCTTCAAGAAATGGAAGAATAACACATTTCGCTGTTGTCACCGGGACACTCATCGCGGCAGAAGTCCCGCATCCAGCGACCGCCATTGACACCTCGTTCAGCAAAACCCTCTGGCCGCACTAGTCGGGTGTACATTATCGGCGACGGGATGTTACTGGCATAAAAGGCAGGAGCGATAATGACATCAAGGACGCAAAGCCGTGGAACTACTACTGAGAGAAGCTCCGGCAGTAGGAATGGACACGAGTAACGATGTCGGGGTAGGGTTCTGGCAGGAATTAATAACCAATCTCGACTTGTACCTTTCACTACATGCGGACGGCACTCTGCTTTGCAAAAGTAGAAAGTGTCCAGGTTCCCAGGCCCACTGCCCAGTCTCCTCGGCCATGGCCTTGAACAAGTGCAAGGTCTCTCCAGCCCTGGCTGCTTGCAGCATTTTCGGCCATGCTGTTCTAGTCACTGGGCTCTGCTCGCTTCCGGCACGTGCAATTCTGAAGGAATGTGGCACCTCCTTGTGTGGCTAACGAAGACTAGCAACAGCGCAACATGTGCAACAAGCAAATGACAGAGATGCCTTCAGGAGAGGAAGCCGTTCACGCCACCGCCTCCTAACATGTCACATTGGGTGGAGTGCGAGATGGAAGCCGGGCTAATCACTGTAAAGTACAATGTCCAGCAAGTTATCGGTCCCATAGAAGCTTTCGGCTCACAGCGGTAGAACCCAATTTCTGTTTCAAGCAACCTAGGATTCTGCGGCCGCTTGGGCTTGGAGTGCGCGCTTTCGGGGATCCGGCCATCCGGCTTGCTCATCTTTGAGTGATCGATGCCGTGGCAAAGGCTATCAAAGGCTGATATACTTTGTGACGTCACGGGGAACAGCGACAAGCTGCTCTCGTGTCATCGGAACGAGCGACAATGAGTCGCTGAGATAGACATCACTCCCATGCACCTTCCTCATCGCGAGGATGTCACCAAACGAACGGGAACAATGAACCATGCCGAAACCGCGCGTCCGCCTTTAAGGTCCCCCGGTCGCCTTCTTCATCCCTGGAGTTCTTATTTGCTTAAGTTGCGATGATTGGGGAGGATTGGCGGGGGCGGTTGGGGTCGGCCTGCACATGAGCGAGCCCGAGAAGAACCCCAAGGCCGCCGGGGTCGCTGGCAGGTGCAAGGCCGCATCCATCGCCACAGCAGCACCTGGAACATGGGTCTGGGAGCCGAGAGAAGTCCTCATCAAGATCATGCCAGTAAGAACACATGGCAGGTACCGTATTCTTTCCGAAACGCCAAGGTTTCCTTTATCATGCGTTGGGCATGGATGCGCTAGGAAACGGGTTCTTGACCTTGTCGAAACTAAGAGCTAAAGCAAGCGAACTTGAAACCTGCCGCTTCTTTCACTGCTGCTACTCCTACAGTACTACCAGCACGATGACAACCACGACGAACCAGAAAAGAACAAGGAGATTGCGGATCGTTGCGGTCGGGATCTTCAGAGGGGTCTGGGGCCAGATGAAACTAAACGACAAGTGCAAGTCGGAGGATGCTTGAAGGTTCAGGGTCTCGCAACTTCACTGACTGTCAGCTTCGAAACCGTGGAGAAACTTCTTCGTCGATTCAAGTCCGAAAATCACCGTGGTGCACCGATCAGTGGTGTTAGACTTGCAGACTGCAGGGCATGCCATGGTATGCCTTTATCCGTTGTCTTACTTCAGAGATCTGTAGGCTAGACATGTTTCGCTAAGACCAACCCTGAACAGGGATTGTGAGTACGGCTTCGTTTGCAGGCCATTTCACCCCGCCCGCCACAACAAGCACAACAAGGCTTCTCTTACAAGCACCAGCATGCACCAGCACAAAACTCACAGGTACACCTGCCTGACTGTGAAGCAGCCAGCAAACGTAGAGTTGTCCTGTTTGCAAGCTGCCTTTGGGAGTTCACGGCTGCCACCCTCCAAACGCGGCACGAGCTTTCGTATCGCTTACTGATACTGGTCTCGTCGTCTCTTGACTTTAGAACCTTTTTGCGGTCAGGGCTGTGTCTCGCGGCGTCGCTTCTGCTGGAACTGCTTCATGACTTGCAGACGAACTTCTTCCGGTCGGCCACTGAAGTGTGCCGCAAAGTCCCCTGGCATCCAGTGCCCGTCCGAGAGGTCACGCACGATGGACTGGATCGTCCGATGCTCCTCGAGGTACGCGTCTTTCAGTCCATTCTTACGCACCCATGCCGCGACGGCATCCTGATCCCACCAACCTTGCTTCTGAGGTACCAAGGCCTGGCCGTCGAAAACGACCTTCTGCCTGGAGATGCGCAGCAATTCCTCTAGAAACTTCCTGGCCCGCCGGGAAGCGCGGAGGCCAAGAATCCCTGTGTTCATAGGTACACGCGCATCGACGCGAACGTCTTTGGAAGCGTAAAGGAAGACGTCCGAGTGCAGTGCAAGTATGCTCCTTTTCAGCCCTTCATAGATCGGATCTCTGCCAGGCTCCGTGATGAGAATGTCATCGTCAATCCATACCACAGCATCGTAGAGCGTGGTTCGCAGCAGGCGACGTAGGAACACGACCTTATTCCAGGCCGGCGCATAGTTGGAGCTCTTTCCCAAGATGGGCTCCTGCTCGACGATGAGATCATAGCGTCCTTCGTGTTCCTGGCAGAATCGCTCTAAGGCCGGCTTTGTCAACTTCGCGAGCTCTTTCCGGTCCGACCACGTCAAAAGCGCAATGCGCGGCCTTCGGACGATGCCCTCCGCGTAGGGGAGAACTTGGGCGTGAAAGTTCCGATCTGGATACATGCCGCAGGGAATCGCGGTTCTGCCTTCGATCGGAGCATTGCACGCCGCACCTGCCGATGTTCGACACCAGGGTGGGCGGTCAGCCATCAACTTGCATCCCAAGGGGCACGCAAAGGGTCCTCCATAACAAGGAGCGACACACACGTTTCCAGATTCGTGCTTCTCGCAGAGTGGGTATCCGGCAGGGCAACCAGTTCCTGTTAGGTCCTCTTGCTCACTGTTCAAAACATGCTTGTCAGGGATCTTCCAGGACCGATCGTGGAGTGCCAATCCAGTAATTCCAGTGAGTCCAGCTCCAGTTGCCTCGTACTTGGACAAGCGATGGGCAAGCTCTTGTGCTAAGAAATCCAAGGCTGTCTTTCTCAGCGTGCCGGGGCATGGTGCGTGATCCTCCCACGAGAGCCCCGGCGCGTATCGGAGCAAGTTCCGACGCTTCCGCTTCAACACCTCAGGGTCCATCAGCGCTGCTTGCAATAGAAGTCGGTGTGCCCCAACGCTCACAGAATGCGAGCGTTGAGTTGGAGCTTCTACGGTGACGAATGAACTGCTAAGGTCCCAGAAAATCGCGAAGCGACTCCATGGAAGAGTCGCGGAGAATGGTATCTTCGCGTGCGTTGAGCCGGTTGAAGCCACAATGAAGGGCACCGTGGCCTTGTTCAGCATGCTGTACAAGCGAAGCTCATAGCCGCCATCACCGGGCAGCACGAGTCCTGCCTCAGAGCTTTCCCAAAGCTCCAGAGCTCGGGATCGCATTTTCTGGACGCGCTGCGATGACGAATGGCTCTGGTTAAATGCCGGTCTGTTCACGCTGGACCAGCTGCAGAGCAGGTCAAAGGCATGGTCCGCTTTGCAAACACCCGTCCCCAGCAACTCGTGCGTCCAGTTCGTAAACTCTAGCCGGAAGTCGCCAGTTATCTGCAATTGCTGCAAAAACGCCTCCGACAGCGCCTGGTTCAAAGCGTTGCGCTCGACCATGGCATTGTAGCTCAGCCCACGGAAACCAAGACGATGAGGCCTCGGGCGACCCTGCGCGTAGGAGGCCATCTTGGCACAGTTGAAGTCCTCGTTGGGAAAAAGAGGAGGTATAGTGACCGTTTGGAACACGCGTCTCTGGCACTGCTTGAAGTCAGGCAAGGCGTGGCGTTGTGCTGGATGAAAGCTCTCCAATCGGTCCACGCAGCGCTCCGACCTGGCGCCGAAATGCAGCAAGGCAAAGTTCCTGAACGCCGGCCACCTGGTCTCTAACACAAAATCCGTCTCATCGGGCGGATGAATTGGATTGAAAACCGACGGGTAGTCCACGCCTGCGAAAAGAACCAAATGGTCCCAGCCTTGACGTCGCTTTAGCCACGGTTGGGACTCGACGAAGTCAATGACTCTCTGCATGCAGGGGCCCTTCGAGCTCTCCATTGGGGATGGGACGGCGCACCGTTGGAGCATCAACTGAAAAGGCTTCGCAGTCCTCCAAGGCGGGAGTGTCGAAAGCACTGCTTCTCTCCAAACTTCTATGCCCCAAAACCTCCATCCGAGGAAGTCCGGCGTCGGTGCAGCAGCTTCAGCAGTCGTACCTTGGATCGAAAGCTGGGAAGCCACGGGGAGGAAGTCCAGTAGCATCTCTGTCGAAGACAGGTCCATGCGAAGAATGCCACCTATATGATGCCAGCGCTGGTCTGTGATTTGCTCCCGGTCGCAGTCTGCCACAAGGGTCTCTGTGTCGGTACTGATGATGGGACATCCGGATTTCAGGCCCAGGTCGACCGTGACACCTTGCTGACGAAATTTCAAAATCCACAATATGGGATACGCTTCGTCGTCCGCTTGCACGCCTGTGAATTGCAACCATAGGCCGAACACGCAACCCTCCTGCTGGCAGTGCCAGGCTGCATTTCGGAGATCGGGCACATCACCAGGCAGTAGAATCATTTTCTGGTCGGCATCTAAGATGCGTTCTGAGGTTATCGCTTTGCAGGCCTCGTTCGAAGAATGCCACGAGTCATCCCAGAAGAAGAACGGAGCAGGGATGTAGAAGTGCGTAGCGTTGTGGGGATCATCGGTGGCCAGTCGCCCGTAAGCAAGCTTTCGGTGAATCGGCAGAAGCGGCGGGCGTCCATCGTGAAACTGCTTTCGCCTCAGTGGCTGCCGACCATCAATCTCTTCGCCGGGAAAATGCTCCAAAGAACACGCTGGCAGGCGGTACGTGTAGATGCGGACATCTTGCGGACGGACTGATGCGAAAGAGGCTACAAGACAATGCGCCCAACACAGGATCCTGAACGACACGAACTTCCTCATGCTACGACTGATGCAGCGCGTCACCTGCCATCTCGGAGTGCCACCCACAGCTCGGCCACCAAGGCTGGTAACTTTCTGGCTTAGAGAGAGTTTGGCGACAACCGCCCGAAAGACACAGAGACAGAAGGAGAGAAATCCGTTGTGGCATGAGTAGTTGGGCTGCTAGCACAGCCATTCGGGCACAAAGCAGTCAAACACAGCTTGGGCCCCTCGAGCTTTGGACTCGAAAATGCCGACAAATTCCCTTCTGGAGTTCCGCATGGATTTACGGCTTGCGGACGTTGCTTCCATTTCCGGCCTTGTGAGAAGCCGGCCAAAGCCACCGATGCAAGGCTCAAGCCCAAAAAATCTCGGGCAGCTTCGATGACCTCTCGTGCCTCAGAACATTTCTACGTCAGGTCCGAAGCTTGGTGGCACATTAGTTGCTAAGATGCAGTGCCCCGGGACAGATCCAGGAATGCAGGCTCCCCATCCTTCAGCTGGTCGACGGCACTCCTAAGCGTAGTCACTCCGACTACAAACGGTACTCGAGCAGCCCTGAAGGGGCGACTTGAGATTACTGTACTGCATCCGTGAAAGCGACGCTTGGTGCAGGCTATGATGCTCCGTATGCAACTAACCAGGCGTCTGTAGTGGTGGAGGCGTTGAGGTGGTGGCCGACTTGAGAGAGAGCTGAGCACCGCCTTGAGGAAAACCCTCTTCGGCAGCCTTCTCCTAATCCGAATCTCAAAGTCGGAGCGAAGCCACTGCTTTTGGTCCTTGCCTGCTCCTTCGCCTTCGTCAACAAATCCACCAGTACATCTTTGTCTGTGCTGTACCTGTGCGGTCGCGTCTCTGGCCGTGGCGCGCGGCATTTGCTCATTGCAAGCTCTTGAATCCATTAACCACGATTTCTTATTCCAGAAAGCTGTTGAACAAAGCCTCAATGGATCTCAAAAGGCAACGGGTCGAAGCGAAAGCTTCAGCGAGAACTACGTACGCGGAGCTTCACGAATGTGGACACCACAGCCTACTTAAAGAACATCTGGCAAGAGCACCAGAAGTGAACCGCTCCATCCCGCAAAGGGCTTGCAGGCAGCACCACCGCCACTCCCGCCGCGAGGAGGCGAAGGGCGCGAGGAGGGGTGAAAACCCTCTCCTCACGAGCACGAAACTGATCATTAGGCACTGCTTCTTGGCTGCTGGCATCAGACAGGCCAATGCGAAGTGGTCATGGAATCAAGTCTGCGATATGCGCTAGGCATGCCGCAGGCCACAGCTGCTAAAATCAAGTCAAACCTCGAACCCCATCCCCCTCCCACCGAGTCCTGCTCCACACGAAAAGGCGTCCCACTTCCGTGAAAAAAGATGAGAACGAGGCTCAGTGGTCCTGCTGGTATGACTTCGAAAGGAGCATCAGTGTGGTAATAAGTATAGGCAACAAGTGTTTTGTCAACGGCAGCTAGACAGCTAGACCATGCTAGAGCCCGAGGCTCGACAACAGCGGTGTTTCCTGCTGGCCTGGCGGTTCAAGAACTCGGCATTCGACGTTGGCAAACATCCGGGTCTGCCATTGCAAACCTCAACCAACCCAGCGCCCAGCATTCCGCGTACAGTAGGATCTACAATGATGTTGAGCTGCTCCTTCAGCGCAAACAGACAGCAACTAATGATGGTCTGCAGACTGGTTGACACCCTTTTTCAAGCCAAGCAAACCGATGGACTTCTCCAAACATCAGGGACCCTGGATATGATGCTTCGGTGGCTCTCGGCAGCCAAGTGGCCGAGCTCTGGATCCGGGTCTGGATCTGCGTCCTCCAAGGCGTCGAAGTCGAACATGGCCTCCCTGCATCTCGCTTCGTGCGAGCTTCCTGCGTCCTGCCCTCACCGAGCGGATTTGAGACACTGTGGTGAGTCTGGTGATTTTATGCGAACCCATGGACTGTTCACATGGCTTTCTGGGCATTCCTCCCATGAGCCCGTAGCTGCGGCCAAACAGATGAGGGGCCCAGTGCGGATACCGCTTCCTCGAGCTCTACTGCCTTGTCAGTACAAACTCAGCTCCGAAGGCACCTGCTTTGGACTGGCTGTCGCAGCCAGGTGCCTGGCTACGGATGTAGCAAGCTTCATGCTAGGGTTGTGAAAACCGTGTCGCCGTGCTCAGGGAGTGTCAGGGTCAGGGGCAGGCCCGGGACCTCTTCCATCGGCGTCGCGTCTTTGGCGACAGGCTTGGCATCTGACACAGCAAAAGGGCAAGGCTTGCTCCAATTACCGCAGCGTTGCTTCCCAGGTTCGCCTCGACCATGCGCCTGCTCCCTCAGCAGTGGCGCAAGGGAGACGATGCTGTCGTAGCCTGAACACTGAGAGCTCAAGCAGCATTACCAGATTACCAGTACCTGGGAAGCAGTGCAACAGCACCGAGAAGCTTGCACAAGTGACCGAGCCCACGGCCCATTGAGAAAGCTATGTACAAAAGAATGCCAGTAACCTTGGCCCAGTGTTCGTCAATCTGCAAACTGAGGCATGTTGCCCAAGCTGTGAGAGCCGACGTGCAATCCATCTTCTCCCATGCTAAATGCATGGATGACTTGTGGTGCAGCTACTTGGCCGTCCGCTGCGAAGCCCCTTTACCAGTAGAACCAGTTTGGGCATGTCACATCCCGACAATGCGAACTGGCATGTGTGACGTCAGCCTCATCTGTCTGCCGTTTGCTGGGTCAGACCAGGCTGTGCCATGTGTGACGCATGCAAATGTCTACCAAGCAGCGCCGACTGCTCCCATGGACTCGATCTTGCCATGGCCCCAGGGATGCTCCTCGCCGTGGTGTCGCGTTGCGGCTGTCACATCAGGATGAGCTTGCAAGACATCGTCACATATCAGTAGCTGCACACCGTTATCTCCTATCAACCGCTCAGACCGTGAAGCGGTGCTGGCTCAGATCATCGACCAGGCATGTCTGGCGTCAGCCTTGTCGGGAGGGCGCGCAGCTTCCGCATAGGCGAGCGCTGTGACCTGCTAGCCGTGTAAAGACGGTATTTCTTGCAGGCTCCGCCAGAGTGATCGTGAGACATGCCAGCTCAGGAGCACTGTCGCTGCGTGAAACGACTACGACTACTAGTCAATGATGCAACCTTCGACGATTTCTTGGGGCAGGGGGGGGCGCACCACTTCGGCAGCAGTGTCTCCCAGTCCGTGCACGGCATCGGCCATCAAGGCCTACCAGAACGGCCCAGTCGTGATATAGAATGATATAGACAGACTTCCCACACATGTACACTGTTGGAACTCCGCTCCAGCCTTGTGATGCACGGTGGCCTGCGCAAGGCCCATCTTTGTGACGGACAGTGCCTGGTGCCAGATTTGCCAAAGGCAAGTCGAGACGATGGCACTACTTCTCCAGCACCCAGGCAATCTTGCAGTCGCTCAATGCAGAGCATCTGCTCTGAGTCACTGGCCACATTGACCACAGAGCCGAGCCAAAATAAGCTCATGATGTCCTTGGCTGTTGCTGGCAGGCATCGTGTGGTTTCATCCAGACCATGCAGCGAAGAACTGTTTGGTACACGTCCTTCGACCCCTACTTGTATCCTTGGGAACTGGCATCTACCTGGAGGATGGCCAAAGCCAGCAAGAAGACCTCGGGCAACTCATCCAACTGAGTCTGCCAATAAGCGACAAAGCATCTAACTTGGGTCCATGATTGTCGCACGGGCCAGCAATCCTTACCCACCAAGCCTGCTGGCTGTCCTGGACTGCGCATGACTGCGCCACCCCCGCACCCGGACATCTGAGCATGCGGCAGTCAGCGAGACTGCGGCCCAACCTGCAACTTGAAACGGTCGAAGGGAAACCATTCTGTTGTAATGCTGACGTTGTGTGGATACTAGCGAGTTCTGGGGTTTGGGGAACACGGGCATTAAGTATGGCAGATGTCGCGCTCCTCGCATCGTTGGTTGGTCATGCTGACATGGCAACAGCTTGCACCCGATTCGTGAGTTGAGAAACCCCGTCTGTGGGAAGCAACGTCACATCTGGCCTGCATATCGAATGGCCGGAGGTAGGTGAGGAACTTCCTCAAGGCAGCGGAGAGCACGGCTTCATGCAGCTGCAGGCTACGTGACCCCTAGCCAAACCACATCTTAAAATCAGCATTTGAACTTCAGCTTGCCCTGACATGACAAATGTCTGGAGTCTAGAAAGCTGGTGACCTGATGAATGCCTCAGACTGACCTACAAAGCCACATCTGAGGGTTCACACGGCCGTCTCAGAGCCATTCATTCCGCAACGTGCTGCAGGTCGACGATTATCTTCGACTAAATCTGGCTCTGTAAGGCATGCTTTTGAGCGGGCAAAACAATAACTCGGTTTCGGGAACCAATTCTCACCTAGAATCTTTGTGCCTTCGTGCGTTCATGTTGGATCCCTGACGAAGCTGACCAGGATAAGCAGAAGGGCCACATGAACAATCGACGTACGACAGCACGCATCCTCAGCGGAATGCTATCTGCATAGGCAAAGAAGCTTCTTTTGCACCCACGGCGCGGCAGCTGGGTCAGACGATGACAACAGGTGGGCAACGCAATGGCAGCTTCAACAGGAACTCTGAAAGCCATCGAGGCCAACTCAAGCATCTTCCTTACGGAAACTCCTGCACCCACTTGTGGCTCGTAGTATACGGCTGTACGCAATGTACAGGGTCACGCTTTCTTTCGTAGACTCCTTCATTGCTGGGTCCCGCTGTCTGTCCATGGCGTTCGGCCAGTTTTACCATGCTCGGAGCTCGCACCTAACTACCCTAAGGCCCCAAAGTAGTTCCTTGTTGGGATTAATATTTAGAGTCCTATAAAGTAATCCCAAAAAGGAACTGCTATGGGGCCTCTGGGTATACCGAACGGCCAACATCGTGGCGCTGGTGTTCTCATTGTACAGGGGTCCCAGTAAAGCACATTCACGCACGTGCATGATGCATCTGCACATCCCGCTCAGAACGGGCATTGACATTTCTACAAACAACCTGAGCTTCAGTCAAAGGGCAATGCAGCAATGCCACACGGCCTGCAATCCCAGGACTTCAACTCGAAATTGCAGTGCAGCCTCTCGGGGGAAAGGCTAGCGCAGGATGTGAGATTCAAAGGTACGTTAGACTCCGTTAGACGACCATTTTGCTGGCCATACCCGTAAGCCAACGTAACATCATTGCCATCCCATAAAGAGCACGGGAATTTGTCCCTATGTAGATCATCACCCTACCGTCATTACCCAAACATGCTGCTAGGTTCAACCGCCGTATATCCACCAAATCTTGGCCCGCTCGTTCCATTGCAGTTCTCGAAGCGAGATACTTTTTGAACCTTTGTGAGCACGCCGAGTGGCTGCTTAGGGTTGTGGGATGCGAGCGGGGAGCCTTTCTCCCGCCTGCATCGTTGTACTCTGGAACTTTGTACATGGTTTGAGGAACTCCAGGACATGTCGCCGGCAGATCAACTTCCGCAATCTTCTGAAAGCATCCAATTCCAACGCAACTTGTCCCCAGAAGTTCCTGCGGCCAGTCAGAAGGAAATCAGCTGCAAGCTGCTTACGAGCATCAAACCCACACCTTCCCACGGCACCCTTTAACATCAGAGAAAAACTTCACTTTTTTATGCGAATTCGTCCACGACCGTTTGCCAACACGGTGCAGCAGAAGGTGCAGGACGGAAGATCCCAAGCCCGTCCCCTGCTTCTGCAGGGCCTTGACTAGCAGCTGAGTTCGGGGAGGCAGGGGTCAACAGCGCTTCACGCTGAAACTTCGCATTCGGCTGTTCTTCAGGTCTCATGGAAAACGGTGTGAACAACTTGTCATGCACCACGTTGTACATGCCACCCAGGACAGCTTTTGCCGATGCCATGTGAAGCCCTGAGGAAACCACTGCATGCATGAATTGCTCCAGTCTTTGCGCGATCTCGCAGCATTGGCATGCATGGACATGTCCGGAAGATGGGTGTCACTCTCACACAAAAGCAAACCCACAAGCTCTGATTCACAACTTGTAACGGCGCGGGAATACATGCTGACTTTCCTTGTTGGTGACCTCGACTTTCACAACGCAAGGGTCCAGCTGCAACCGGCTGCTGGCTGGGCAACAGTTTATCAGGCAGGTTGGTGTCTGAATGCATGCCGTCAGGATCGTGAAAAAGTTGCAGCTGAAAGGCCCTTGAGAAGGCTTTGCATTAGGACGCGGCGTGATCTGCACGATCAATGCGCAAGCTATGCTCAGAGCGCGACGGACTCAAAGTGCGATTGGCCTCACTGAGACGAAACAAACATGGCTGACAACGGAGTAGAATTCGGCAGACAATGCTGTGATGATCCTCACCCCCGGCTTAACCGACCAGCTCGTAGGCCGAGGCTTACGACGGAACATGCACACAGCACGGCTACCACAGCAAGCCACCATGCGACCCATCAGCAAGCGATGACAACGGAAAACGCAGATGTGCTCAATGTTTCAGGAACTTGCGCAAACTCGTGACCACAATTGCTACATCAAGCATCCCCACTGAGTCTGTGTGGCTGCTGGCTTGCAAGGCCAAACAATCAAAGCAAGTCATGAGGGTCAACCATTATGGCTCCCTGGCGATTTCAAGCTGCAAAGAGAGCTGGGAGATGCTGGGAGGCCAAGGCTATGTGTCTTTCACTAGACTCACTAGGCTCTTGTGCTGAGAGCTCGCGCGCAGGCTTGTCCGTGGGTGGTGGCTGCCGGCCCGCCACCGACGCCCAGCTTGCCGGGTACTTGTACCTCCCATCGGAATCGCCGTCGGGCAACGAGGCTCCGTCAACTTAAATTACCGCATTCTGCTGTTGTTTCTTGTCATAGACCAGCAATGAGAAGCACAATATGTAATGCACACCGCTGCTCGGAGATGCTCTCATGATCCACGTGCCACGAAAGGCAATACCATGTCACTGTCTCCGTGTACTGCACACGTAGCCGCAAAACCCGATGAGTATCGGACAACATGTCGTGTCTATGTGCATTAACGTCTTCCGACAATACCTCCCATTGTGCACAATACCACATCACCATTTGACTGGACTTTGCTTGGTTTTTCAGCTTTCGTCGAGACTGAAAGCAAGGCATCACGCCGAAGTGCATTACGAACTGCCGCCTTCTGACAGTATCTGACGCGGTTACCTCTCATCATTCCCAAGTACTTCTGAGATGTTAAGTTTGCTCTTCGGCCTCAGCGCATTGCAAAGCTCATCCTCAGCTTCAGAACTCGTGCATGCATGTACGTGTGCATGCAAGCGCAGCCAAATGTCACCCTCAAGTGTTGTTCCATTGCCACAACCGATGCCTGACTCGCTTGTTGCATCAGGGCTCCACCAAACTTGTCTCATCGTCGCTGGCGTCGGGCTCTAGGGTTAACCGACGTGCCTTCCGTGCGAGTTGTCTCAAGCAGCAAAATGGGGGACGACGTATCGCACTCAAGTGGGAGAGGAAGAGTTGCTCCGACCTCCACGGCTGCAATGAGGCTGCGCCGCATCGAGCGGGAGCAGCGAAGCAGCGAGTACCTCGCAGCAGCTATGCAATGCAACGCAGTTGCGCAGTCTGGTGAGCATCGGCTGACACTGGAAGTGTTTGGTGGTGTCGGTGTCGTCGGCACTAAGGCTGTGAACAGTTGATGTATCCCAATGTCAGGATGTGCTGTCCGGTCTATATAGCGCCCAAGCCATCGGTGGGGTATCCAGAAAATTGTGACCACATGTGACTACCGAATTTCCGCAACGCACAGCAGAAAGCATGGAGCACATCTCGGGTGTCACGACGCGGCGTGTCCGCCTCTCCAGCGGAACATGGCCTGCAGGGCGGAGTCGGATTGACAGACAACTCGTGCAGCGACGAATGATGCCACATGGCGTCCTGGCACTGCCGCCAATCTGTAAGTTTGACAGTCTTGCATGGTTTCTGTAGCCTTCGGCCTACCGGCATTCTCATCAGCGGTGCTTGTCTTGCCTACTCCAAAGAAGAGGTGGATGTACTCCACTGCAAACGAGTGTTGCACCTCGGAGCAAAGCAACAAGAGACCAGCCATGGATCATTCAATTCGCACCTCTGGAGACCCCCGTGATGGCTGGCGATTGAGCCCCATGCCTGTACGTCCCAAAGCATGCTGGCCAAGCGACCGCCGAAATCCTTAGGCTGACGGTATCGGTAACACTTTGTGGGACTTCTGGCCGTCGCGTTCTGCTTTTGCCTTGCACTCACCTAACCGTGCGCAGACCCCTCAGCCCAGCCCGGCAATCTACCGCAGCGGCGGCACCGGCGGGCTGACTTCCTCGGCCAGCAGCACCTCCAGTTCTGTCCGCTCCTCAGACCATGGTCTGTGCACTTGGTCGCATAACAAAGCATCAAACTTATCACCGGATGTTTCCAGTGCCGCAGGTAGCAGAAAAGGCTCATGGGCCTGCCAGCATTCACCCCAACTTTCAGGAGGACTGCAACCACAAGCTCTTTTAGGAAGAGCCCAGTGGGCCGTGAACGCAAAAGCCGCACGCAGGCATCGAGGGAATTCGGGAAGCCTGACCAACCCCATCTCTCCTTGGTGATTCGCCGCCGTTTGGCAGGGACGAGCTGGGAGTCGACTTCCGCCATCCCTCGCACACATGGAACGCACAGAACGTGGTGGCTACAGCTCGGGCACAAACTGGCAGAATTCAGATCGAAGCTGCTGTTGCTTGGTCCTGCTGTTTGGAAACTGGGGCAGGGTGACGTCTTCAAGGTCTAGATCCTTACGTAGACTGGCCTTCGTCAGCCACGCAACCACTGATTGGAATTCAGGGTCTTGGAGTTCTGGCAGTCCTGTATCGTCACTGTACTTTAGGCCTCTGCTTGTGTGTTTCGACAGCTACAGTAGCAGCTAGAAGGGTCCTTCGCGGTCTCTTAATTTCGGGAATTATTGCCACAACGAACACTGCGGTAAACTTGACACTGACCTGAGACACTGCAATCATTCTATCAAGCCAGCACGGGTTTGCAAACTGACCTCCGCGCACTATGCAAAACTTCCAAAGCGTGGTGGGGGGGGGGGCAGTGGTACCGGCCTTGCAAGAAAGCATAATTGGTAGTTACAGCTGATCATGACATTTCAAACTATCGCCCTCTGACAAAATGCAAAGATGCAGCCTTAGGCGTGCGTCGCTGCCAACACCTGTGATGTGAAGAATGCTTCGTCAACTGTGGGATAGATGCCTTATGGCACTTGCCACGATTTGCCCTGTTCACCGCTCTGCACGACTTGGGGTTTTTGGGAGTCTAGAGGGGCTCCTACTTATATCTCGACTCGCCCAGACAAGCACAGCTTGGTAGACCGTCTGAGCAACGTGAAACTGCATAATCAGGCAGATTGCTAGACCCCAAGCTAAGATCGGCATCATCCAGTACTCATCTAAGATGCTGAAAGGGCTGCTCAGGCTATGGGTTCTATAGATGCCCCAATCCAGCATTACATGCAAGCCGGAGGATGTCGGATCGCATCGCCACCCTCGCAAAGCCACGTAAACTCTTGCCAGCCGAGAGGCAGAGCTCGAGCGCTCAACTGCCGGACCCGCAGGGCTGGGAAGAAAAAGTTGGGCTTTGGAGCCAGCACCAAGCACCAAGATACACTTCGTATCGTTAACATATTTACACACATGTATATATACATATGTATGCATGCATGCATGTCTGTAGACAGAGGTAAGCAGATATGTCTATATGGATGGACGGATGGGTGGATGGATGGATGGATGGATTGGTGGATGCATGTGTACGTAGATAAGTAAATAAAACAACATATATCAGCACATCTCTCTCTCTCTCTCTCTCTCTCTCTCTCTCTCTCTCTCTCTCTCTCTATATGTATATATATATACATGTATTCACGCACATGCATGTGTACGTAGATAAGTAAAATATATGTATATATATATATATAGATAGATAAGTATATAGTAATTCATTATAAACATATTAGCAGCTGAGCACTCGCACTCGACAGGCTCAGGCGAGGTTTGACATAACATATGCATGTACATATATACATATCTACATATACATGTACTTGTATGTGTGTAAATATATATATATATATATATATGTATGGACGTCTTCTACACATACACATATGTATTGTATAGATAGCTAGTTAGACTGATAGATAGATCGTATGATAGAATGTGTGGTAGGATACAGTGTGCCAACTAATCAAGGATAATGACACTATATATGTATGAATAGTGTATAAATACACACATGGTAGAATATGTAAATAAGTAAATAAAAACATATATATATATATATATAAAAGATATATACATGTATATTCCAAGAAACATTCTCATACATGTAGATGTAAATGTGTGTACGTGTGTGTACGTACGTAGGCGCGTATGTGTGGCTGCGTGAGTCTATGCATGTATGAACAACAATGTCTTGCCTCAGAGCTGGGCGTCGGATAGTGTGACCCTTAGACACAACGGTGGCTTCTGCCAGTTTATGGTATAGTGTAAATAGTTCCGATGAAAGCCTCAATCGTAACTGATCCGCAAGTCATGTTCTGTCCTTTCCGGAGGCGGCTACACGTCTTACATGTCATGGGCGTAAGGACTGCTCGAGACATAGCGATTCTTTTCCTGACCTTGCATGATGTCTGGATGGTCCCCTGAAGCCATAGACACCACCATTGGAGGGACTCGAGACCTTCCGTTGTAGGAGCTTGGGTGGCTAGTTAATGTAGGGGCCTTAATAATCAGAATTAGGTTTTGGGGTACATTATAATTTATAATGTAATTATAATACGGAACCCCCTAAATCCTGTAGTTGAGTTTTGCGAGTGTCTCGTGGCGACAGGGCTGCACAACATCCAGCAATCTCCGAGAGAGTCGACGGCACTGCAAGTGCCCCAAAACCCTGAGCTCCAGCCATGCTCCTGTGCCAAGTCTACCAAAGCCTAATACAGGGGCCTTAATAATTATAATAGGGTTTGGGGCCCATTATACTCTAATTGTCTAATTGTAATAAGGAACCTATATTGGTTGAACTCCAAGTTATTTCAACTGCACGGGCCGGCCGGCAGCTCACATGAACCGGTCGTCTTAATGCAGAGCTCAGCCCAGGGTATCTCTTAAGGGTATGAAATCACCACCTCATTTGATCAGCTCATGTGAGAGATGGCCCATGCCTGACCGACGAAGTCCAGGCATTGGGCACGCTGAAAATGTCCCAGGTAGACCAAAGCTTCTTGAAGAAGCGGCATTCTGGAAACTCGTCATGTTTCTTTGTTGGGTCGTGGTCTACCCAGAAGTCGGCTTCTCAGCCGACAAGCAGTAGCTCTCGTTGGCCAAGGCCACTTTCCCAAACGAGGCCCTTGCTTTGGAAAAGGAAACTCCTGTGGAGGGTCCCCTCGCTCTTTCAGCAGGGTGAAAGGACTGTTCGGAGCTACTCGGACGAAGCAACCATGATGTGGCTCTGTCGGTACTGGTGCGAGACACCGCCAAACTGGCAGCAAAAGAGGCTCTCGCAGCAGTCGCTCTGTAAAGAAAGCACAGCATTGGATCTAGGCGAAGGCACAGTCCCGCGGACATGTCAGCTGCCGCCAGTGACTTGCACGCATTCGCAAGGTGAGTGTTCTCTCGGCTGAACTCGTGATCCTCTACAGTCACTGACGGATCTGGCAACTCCGGATACTGCAGAGAGGTCAGGTCTCACAACTGCCCCCCTGCAGGAGCCCCGCAGCCACACAGGCTGGCTCCGAGCTACCGCTTCCCCAGTGTTCCGCCTGCTGTGCCTCGGAGCAGGCGCATGAAAGCAACACTGCGTCTTTGGCACAAATCTATGTCGTTGAGCCATGTTGCCCTGCATTGTACCAGCAGTGTGCTTTGACCACCTTGGCTCGGCTCAGTCAGTGCCAACTCTGTGTGCGCCGCACTCGTGATACAATGACCGCAGCGATGCATTGCAGCTCGTCAATTTAAGCAATCTAAGCTATGCACTTGTTCTCAAACACGATGTTCTTCCCGCCAACGCCAGAAGCCTTCTTCCTTGGCACATATGCAACTCTTCCGTGAGTCTTTACCAGTTTGAATTCACCAAGCTCGCATTGACTTTCTTTCGAGCCGCGTGCGACGGCTGCCGAAAGAAATGGCCGAGCAAGCGGGGATCCCTCCACATCCCTCCAATGTCGTGGAGCTCCTTTCTGAAAGTTTCAATATGTTTCGCCGCCAAGGAACGTGTGAGTTCTGTTCTTGTTGCTGAGGCAGACTCTGTCCGCCTCTTCTTTTGTCATCTTCCTGATGCCTGGAAGGACTGGGCAGGCGAACTAGCTCGTTGTGTTAAATATGCCCAAACCAGCTACTTGCGTTGGGTTCAGAGATCGGTTCTGTCGCAAGGGCCCTGCTCACCATGAAATTCGACATCTTGGGAGCTGGATGAGAGCGTCAAGTAACATGGTGACGGCAAAAGCTTTCCTGGCCCACCCTTGGGATTGCTTCCTGGGCGGACCCTGCCTAGACCACGTCGTCCTTGCTTGGATCGCCAGCCAAGGATACCTAGCAAATCGAAACGATGGCAATCTGATTTTCTCAAAGGAGAAAGCTCGAAGCGAAATTTGGCCTTGTTGGCTGGCAAGCTGACATGCCTTCAGACACCTGCATGCCCTGCCTCCGATGTCGCAGCCCGGGCCGGGATCCAGCGAAATGTCGACCTGCACAGCTGGATGACTTTGCAGTTCCCCATGACGGGTCCAAGTACAGATTGCGCTTGAACATGCATCAAGGCAAGAATGTTCTCAAACAGCCGCAATCACTTCATACTTACTTCAGAGAAATAGAAAAAGCCCCAATTGCGACAACATACGTCGACGACAACTACCTCGGGTACTGCAGAAACACTACTACCGCTGAAACCAATGGGCGATTGGTATCACCCACCGCGACGACGACTGCTGCTGCTACTGCTGCTACTACTGCTACCACTACGACGGCGACTACGACTACGACGACCACCACGACCATGACCACCACCACCACCACCACCACCACTGCCACCACAACTGCTACCACGACGAGGACGACTCCTACAACTTCACTACCACTACTACCACCTACTGCATACGGGTACTTTATTCCACCTACTGCTATTGCAACAAATACAAAGAAAGCGGCGAGACCACTGCGACAATAACGACTGCGGCTGGGGCCAGGGCTACGTCTGGTCCTCCTCCTTCTCGTTCTGCTACTACCGCTACCACTACCAGTGAGGAGGATGACGCCTACTAATCACTACTACTGCTGCTGCTACTACTGCAACTATAGCTTACAGCTACTGCTACTACTGCCACTGCGTAATATTGCTGTGGCTGTGTTCACGTAGAGCATAGTACATCTGCTTGCGGCATCGACCATGCTAAACTCGATGGCTACTGCAGGATTTTATGTGATGGTCGCCACAATGCCAAATGCTACCGCCCCAAGGCGAATGATGCAAGAGGGCGGCGGGACCTTGATGAAACGTTCCCCCTTGCGAGTCACCACCTCAACGAGCTGCGCGCTTCAAGATGGATTGGAAACCCGGTTCTAGTGCGCAGTGCGCTCGACCGATGTGCACGACACAGCTTTGAGTGTCCGCTGCAGGCTTCAAGGCTCAAGCTAGATTATAGAAACCAGACCCACCTGTCGTATGGGCAAAGCAAAGTCTGTTTGTTGTCCACTTGGACTATTCGGCAAAGTCGCTTTGTCGTCCCGGAACCTCTCCTGTTGGCCTTTGCGATCCGCAAGCTGACGCACCCCCGCAAAGAGGTTCTTCGTCTTCCTCGGCTCGGGCAAGATGCCAACACGACGTTCCCGTCTGCTCTTGCACACAGCACGAGGTCCCGTGAACTCGCCCTCTCCCCCTCCCGCTCTCTCGTTTCTTCTGGTCCGTCTTCAACATGGCATGGCAAAATCAGCGGAAACACACCGTTCCAGGTGCGGCCTCACTGTCCACCACACCCTGCCCATGAGAAGGGTAGCTATACAAAAACCGACCTTCAGACTGCCTCCTAGTCCGGGCCATGGCAGAGCGCATTTTCTTTCTTTCTGCCGGGCTTAGGGGTCACGTTGTGACCCCCAGGCCGTCGGCCCGCCCAACGACACAATGTTGTTATTGAGTGGCTGGCTTTGGGGTCCCACTGACTGCTGCACTGAACTACATGGTTTCAGAGTTGCAAGCCCCGTCCCCGTACGCTATTGAACCCCCAACCCGCCTCGTCCCCGCGCCTCTATGGCATCCACTAGATTCTGGGGCTTGCATCCCTGAAACATGCGGCAGAGCTCCCATGCATCTGCATACGAGAGGGTCACTTAGCGTACATAGCAAGCTAGAAAACGACCATGAAACACGACCTTGACACTACGTAGCGGCTTCCTTACCCCCCACGCTCGGGCAGGTCTTCCTCTTCATGAGGGTTTCTGGGCAAAAGCAAAACGACAACACGCGCACTCTCTCTCTTCTTCTCCCAGGCTTAAGGGGCGCGTTAAGCTCCCCGGGCACTAAGGGGCACCCGCTTTTTACGGCCGCTAGGCTCGCGCCGCTAGACTCCCTCTCTCTCTCTCCCTGTCTTGCTGTTCTTCCACTTTTTCCACACAGACAAGAGGAGCGGACAGCCCACCCCTCCGCACGCGAGAGTGCACTGGTAAACGTAAGTCTGATGCGAGTCAGACAAGGGACTGTGAGTGCACGCAGCCCCAGCTCTCTTCCTCTCTCTCTCTCTCTCTCCCTCGTCTGCTGGAGATCTCGAGACGGCTCGGCTAGCCCCACCTCAGAGCAGCCGAAGGGCTTGGACATCTTTTCCTCCTGCCTCTGCACCGCATACCTGCCCGTTGCTCAAAGCCGAAGACAAGGGGTGCCTGACTGAACCCTTCGTCATTGCAAGTTCTTGTGCGCATGGTCCTGGCAAACAAGTCCCTCTTCTCTTCCTCGGAGAGCTGATGAAGTTGTGATCCTGAGATGGCGAAAGATTCTGAAAGTGGACTGTAAAGTGTAAACCGCCAAATTGTGTTGCTTGCAATTCCCCCCAACCCGCAATAGGTACAGGCCTACTGCAGTAGGCAGCTATCTGCATACGCGATCACTGCGACGGCTCTAATAGAGGACTTCTGAAGCAACCTTCACGCCTACGATGTCAACTTAAGTTTTCTGCCAGCATCGTGGGGGCAGAACCGGCCCGGAACTCGAGCTTGCAGAAGCTTTGGGGGTGGACGTCTCTTCGCCTTCGCACCTTGGCGCATGGCGGTATCGGTCCTCAAGCCTCTCTGCCTCCATTCAGTCGATGTCACGTCCAGGGGAACATCAACCAAGCAAAGCACGCTCGTCCGGACTTGAGCACGACCTGTTCTCTGCGCCACAACGGGCCTCAATAGGCCCTGCCATGTGTTGTTGGGGGCAGTGTCCGGTTGCTCCAAGTCGCCCACGATGGGCTGAACCTTGGGCCTGGGGAGGGTTTCGGCAAATCTCCTTGCAGGGCCTGGCGTGTGGGCGATAGCTGCTTCTGTGCCCCCACCAGTTCTCCATTGAGAACTGCTGGTTGCATGGAAGGCACTGGATTGTGAAGCACAGATCTTCTGGGCCTGCTGAACCTCCTCCAGCTTTGAGCTCGTCACTCAGGCACATAACCCCAATCTGCACTGCAAGGCAGGGCTCCCTGCTGTTTATGCTGTTTTGTACAAGTAACACTAATCCCTGTGCAGCATGCAAGAAACGCTCCTCTCCAGCTCTGTGGGTGTGGCCTTGTCTTATTTCTCTACCGCTGCCAGCTTACACCGCGGGCCTGTCAGTGCGTTTCCCCCACCTCGCAGACTCTACGATTAGTGAGTAAGCCTCTCCCCACGTTGGAGCTCCGGCCGCGGGAAGCGGCACTGCGGACACTGCTGGGCACTGCATGTTGAGGAGTGACGGATTCGTGGGCGTGGCTCTTGGACCTGGGGACAGTGTACGTCGCTGCCATGCCCCAGTCCGGTGCAGGCAGGGGCGCTACCAGCTACCAAACGTCGACCATGAACGAAAAAGCATACTCCCGGAAACCCAGATGCATGCTGACTTCCCGACATGCTTGTCCCACTTCCCGTTGCTGAACTCGAGCGCCGGGCGGAACGCCCATCATGCTGCAGTTGAAGTCTAGGCCCAAGCCGATGAAGTCGATTTTGGTGATGTGCGTAGCCTTAATATCGATGCAATGATCCCCTAAACCGCTTAATTGCAAGTGATCAGACATGATCAGAACTTGTGTGGCCACATGGCACCGCATTCAGAAGTCCATGACGAGTTTACAAGCCTCCGACATGTATGCCGTGCAGCAAGCAATGCTTGCAGCAGCACTGTATCTACCATCCAAGCTGGGATCTGCACACCGCATGCTTCGCAAACTGCAACGAAGACTTCCTGCGGTGCATTCTGCAGTTGATGGTTGCTATTGCCGTGCCATGCGAAACAAGAAATCTCGGCTCCGTGTCTGAGCAGGCGCCTCCTCTGTCTCTTCCTCGGCTTCCTCCTCGCCACCAATGTCCTCCTCCACCTCATCCAAGTTGTTCTCGTCCTCATCCTTTCGAGACTTGCATCGGTGACCATCGACTCTCGCGCAGCTGCCTGAAAGAAACCCCCCCGCACCCTCCGTCTTTGCTGAGAATGTGCCTCACCTTAGCTATCACCCCGTTTGACCGTGCTGTGGTCTGCGGTCAAACCTGTCTCCGAGAGTAATCAAATCGCCGCTGGTCGGAAAGACGGCGAAAGGGGAAGTTCAAACAGGACCCTCTGGAAAGATGCTGCTGCCTCGTCCTCCTGGCCACAGCGTCTTCCAAGATCTGCGCAGCTGAAGTCGTCACCGAGTTCGCCTGGGGCCGCGATCTCTGCAAACGGCATTGAGGGCTTCTTGCTGTACCGACTCCACTCGAACGGCGCTTGAGGCCTGCGATTGCCATAGGCACAACAGCATATCCCATGCTTGCCACGTGCGCATTGCACTACTAAGTTGCACTACTTACGGAGTCCTTGTAGCCTTTCCGGAATCACGGAAAACATGGGGTGCAGCCAAGTTGCTAACATCCACATTCCTCAATGCCAACAAGAAACAAACATGGAAATCATACCACCGACAAAACCATACTGTCCTGTGTGTCGTGGCTGCTTGTCTCCGATAACCCTTGATAACCCCACACTGCACCCGGGGCGAATGCAGATCTGGCTACATAATCGCCCGTAAACGGCTTAGACTGCAAGGGCCCTGAGATCGCCCGGAGCCTAGGACCTAGCAGCGCCTGGAGATGTCTTTGAAGATTCATTTGGTGAGTTTCTGCGGGTGGGCGAGGTGCGGTTTCTTTCACAGCATGATGCTGCAGGCTCTGCAACCCACCGAAATATTACTGCTTCTCTCTTTGTTCTCCACTCGAGTCAGCGGCCGTTCGAGGGGCATCCGGTCACCCGGAAGTCTGCCACAACCCGATATTGCCGCTCAGCGATGGTCCGGCGGTTCGCGGCGGCCACACGTTCAACTTTACAGGTCCGATGGTGGCGATGACAAGCATCCTCAAGCGTTTTCGTGGTGCGATCGCAGCTCGGAAGCTCCCAGTCCGCTGCAAAGTCGTACCAGTGACATACACCGTTCTCTTGCAGCAGAGGCAGAAGAACATCGAGGAATTCTGCTCCTCCGTCCCCTAAATCAACATCACCATCTCCAGGATTCTTGGGCCTGGGCGCCAAGATTCGGTGATAGTGCTGCTGCGGCAAGGTGCGTGCGAGCTCTCGCAAGTCGCCTTCCAAGACGCACACACGGCCGTAGTCTGTGCCGTCTGAGCTGGAAAACTGCATCATCTCCAGACTACGCCGGAGGCATCGCACAGCAGCTGCATTCAGCTCCACAGCTACAACTTCTTTGGCTTCTGTATGCGAAAGAATCTGGAGAACCTCAGGGCCGCAGCCGGCAAAGGCCACGAGAACTCGTTCGTCTTCTTGTACTGCTTGGCAGAGGCGTTGGCGCTCGCTAGCCAGCCGGGGAGAGAAAAAGCAGGCGTCCAAGTCAATGACCATCCGAACACCAAACTCCATATGTGTCGTCCTGACACAGAAACGATCTCCAAAGCAGCTCACTCCAAAGGCGATGTAGACTCATAAGTTATCATGTTGACCAGGTGCGCAGACAATTTCGCGAAACACTCAGACGAGGCACATTAGAGGAGATCTTGACCGCCCAGCAATGACATCCATGGCCTTCGGAGGAATTGGCAGGATTCTAACAGCGCCGCCTCCGTGCCCTGCTTCTGCTAGTTTTTCCGCCGATTCGGCAACCTCTTGAATCGAAAGTGCCCCAGCAACCACTACTGTACGACCATGATGAGGACTACGAAATCGACCAGTACCAGCACTACCAAGTCCAGCCTGAGACGGGGCTCGCAGCTCCGTTGCGTAGCTCCGCTTGAGCGCCACAACCTTCACTCGACGGTCCTGGCAGGCTGCCGGGCTGGCGTCTAAGCTTCCGCAGAAATAATTAAACTCATGGCAAAGCTCAGCTCACGCGAAAATCCGTCCCGATCCAGTGCCCACGAGAGGCCTGCTTGAGAATGGCTGCACCCATTGTCGCGACATCCTCATCTTTCGGCTTGACGTTCCTGGGATCAGGCATCGATTGGAGCCGGCTTTGATTCAATCCGAAAGCTGCTGAAGGGAAGACCCTTCTCTGAAGCGCGCTCCGAGGCTCACGACTGCAATGTCACCCACCACGTCGAAATGTTTGGTCTCCTCCAACGCAAGCCCGCAAGAGCTAAAACCCAGAATTCGCCTGAGCATGTCCCTTGGCCTCAATGCGTTGCAACAACATCCGCCTCACTACCCAGAGGCTCCATAGAAGTACGTTTGGGGATGACCTTATAGGATTCTAAATATAAACCCCAAAAAGGAACTACTATGGAGCCTTAGGATAATTACAATCCGGCAGCCTTCTCCTCGGAGGTTTCTGGGATGCACAGCTCTGCAGATGGTGGGGGATCCTCGCAGGGAAGAAGGGCCACCCAAGTAGAAAAACATGTTCAGGTGCATCTTAGGGTATCGCTGAAGCCTTTTTTTTTGCAGCAGGCCTCGTTGTCCTATCGCTGAAGCCTAAAGCTTAGAGCCTTAGAGTTTAGACATGTGGCTTCAGCTTTAATGATCGCTGCCGCCCTGCAGCTTGCAGTAGGCAGCTATTGCTCCTGCATCTGTCGAAGTGCTTCCGTGAAGCGATCAATTTTTTGCCAGTTTCGCAGATGTCGGCTGTTAACCAAGCTTTGGAGCCATTCGTGCTGGCCCCGGAACAAGGGAAGACCAGTAGGTCCTGTGAGGGGCATGTCTAGGCCCTCATCTCCCCAGATGGCGACGATCAGCTTGGCCTCCTTGGAATCGCCCCAGCCCTGCAATCCCACATTCTTGAAGACAGTCCGGGCAGCAGCCATGAGAGCAGCGGCTGCTACGAGATCACGACAGCACACGTGGAGGATGAAGGGCTCGAAACGGAGCCAATAGCAGGCCTCAGCCTCACTCAGCTTCGCTTCTGCCAGCTCTGCTCGCTGCGGTTGCTGATGCCTGCGACCTTGTCCAAGAGGCTCTGAGCGCCAGAGTCTGGACAAAGCAGAAAAGCAGCCACACATACTCCGTTCGGAGGTGCCAGGCAACACGCTTCCGAGCTCCTCCAATGTGCTCAAGTCGAAATATGCATTAGCATCCTCCACCAGGTCATGTGTAACCCTCCATCGACTGAAGCACTCAGTGCTCTTCACACCATCTCCTCGCCAAATGAAGGCACGGCCAGCACAACTCGAAGTCGTGAAAAAGGCTGGCCGGAGGTTCAACTCCGCACAAACCTCCCGTGCCTTTGCGTCGATCTCGCCGGCACTGGACTTGTCGCACTTGGCCAAAAAAGTGCGCTTACGATGCTCAAATCCTTGAACGGCCGCCATGGCGAGCTGTGCTACACCGGTTCTGCCAAGTTCTTGTGTTGACCTGAAAAATGCTTTCAGAGGACAGCGTGCAGGCAATAGATGATGTCTTGAGCTTCTTGCACGCCATGTTCATTCCACGACAGTTGTTGCACGAGCTATGCCAGTCACATGTGTTATGTCAAGGTCATCGTGAAGTAGTGGGCTTGCAGCCACAACGGGCCACCGCTCATGCGCGCGAAATTTACACCGCTCTGATCCACTCATTGCTGCACATCAGCTGGCACTTGTGCGCATGGCCTGCAACCACTGCATTCCGGAACGATGCGACTGCTTGCTGAGCAGTGTTCTGCAGTCTGCAGATCGGCGGCTGTTCTCCGGCTGATGCAACCCTGCTGAAGCTGTGCTTGAGCCTACAACGTTCTCTTGAATCTAACCAGACCACAGTGTCACAGCCCAGATTCAGAGAGTAGGCCATGCCGCACAGCGTGCAGCGAGCGGTATGGCGAGCACGATCTGGATTAGTGTCGAAAGCCTTTCAGAACGCAGGGCTGTCGCGGGTCTTGGCGAAGACTGAACCCTATGCCTCGGCTTCTGCCAGCAGCTGGGTGGCAAGGATCGTCTCGTCCTCACTGCCTTTCGAAATTTCGCTCTCGCACGCTGATGCATTTGGCAGTCGCTCTCTCGAAGCGGCACATGCCCTGTCAATTGAGAGGCCGGCTATCGTCTGCTGCTTCCGGTCGGCTATCCTACCAACACGGGAAACCTAAACCTAACCGCAACTAAACTACTACAAGGAGGACCTCAACATAAAGCTACGTCTGCCAGCCCGACTCCTCGAGGCTTGCGCTGAGAATCTCCTGCTTGCTTCGACCTGTCGACACGAGTTGGCAACTTTTGACGCCATAACGATGAGGAAGCCGTCACTCGCCCTAGTTGATGCGAAAGGCGCAAGCTCCTTGGAGCCGTCGGTTATCTGGCGCAAGCCCCTTCGCGAAACAACTCTGACCCTGAGCGTCCATACGAGCATCTTTCCATTCGTGCACTTGCCGACTCGGGGGCAATAACTGCATGTGGAGATCTGTAGATATGCAACCACAACCGTGGCAAATGGCACCTCTCCAGCCTCGGCGGAGCAGCCCATCCTCCAGGTCTCTGCTTGCTTCACTACAGTATATATAGATGCTGGGAAATTGCCATCTGGGAAGGTCGGCGTAAAACCGGGCTCTGTTATTCCGCGAATAGAAATAAACCCGACAAGACCCATCAGGAGGCTTGGAACCGTGGCCTCCGGATTCCTTGCAGAAGCAACAGATTCCCGACTGAGTGAGCATGTCTCAAAAGCACGTGCCCAGAGAGCACAAGTCAGCTTTCAGCATGCAAGATGAAGACCGTGTGCCAAACTGCGATGCAAGTTGGTTTCCACGGCTCATGCAATTGCAGTGGGAACACAAGGGCTCCTTGTCAGTGACGCCTTTGGTGGGGCCGTGCCTCGTCTGAATAAACAAGTACACAATCACGGGCCTGCCTCTGACCTATGTTTATAGACAATGCGATTCAGATGTGTCGTATGGAGAACTGAATTCAACTGAGCTGCTCTGAATGCGACTTTTGCGGTGCGGACGCGGATGCAGACCGTGTCCTGTCCTGCTGTGGTGCTTCGTCTGCCGAAGGAGACTCTGACGAATCCGAAGTTCCGCGCCGATCCGCAAGGCCGAGAGGGGCCTCTTCCACAGCCTTTTCTTCGTCATCGAGCAGGTGAGGCTCCACGCAGGGCTGATCTTCTTCTCCAATGGCCTCCTGCACGGTCTCGACAGCCTGGCCTGCCTCTTCCAGAATATCGTCGTTGCCCGTGCAGGCATATCTGCTGTCCTCGGCATGGCATCAGTGTCATCTTGCTAACCGTTGCGCTTTGAAGGCACAACTTGGCGTCCAAAAGGCCTGCAGCGCCTCCGCCACATCGGAATCCTGAAGTTCGTCCGTGGCATCGGCCCACGAGGAGCTGGAGTTGACACGTAGTCGCGGCACCTCGCACAAGCACAGCTCTCAAGACTCACATGCCCTGAGTGCACTCCCGTCTGTGCCTGTTGCGGCCTTGCATCTCCACGTTACTGCGAAAGAGCTAGATCACGACAACTGTTGAGTTGACCCTGATTCTTCAGAACGGGAACACATCGTGACTCTCGCAAAAATGGAGAGGAAGCTAGTTTCTGGGAAGTTCGATAGGTGCGGTCGAGTCACCCAGGCTTGGAAGCCGGTCGAAGGTGCCCTTGGCCCGGAACATCTCCCCGACTCCCCGACTGGCGATGAAATGTTTGGTAAAGTTTAATTCAATCGCCAGGCCGAAAGACCGGTGAGTGTTCACCACACACAGGAAGTGGGTGGGAAGTTCGCCCGCACCTTCCCCTGCAGCTATCTACGACGTACGAGCTCAAGTCGCAGCCTGGAAGCTTTGTATTCACGGATGGCAAAGCAGGGTGGTCAGCCACGTGCAGGCACGCCTCTTGCTCCAGTTCGTCCTGCTTCGTGCTCCACATCCCAACATCTCATCACAAGAATGCTGGCAACACACTTTTTAAATTCCGTTGCCAGCCAACCAACTGCAAAAATCTCAATTAGTCTCAATTCTGCATTCCCCAGGCACGTTACGCATGTTGTCTGCCTTTGCCCGTGTTGATAAGCCTGTATTTCTTCAGCCCGCTCCTCCCAAGCCTCCTCCAACTCCTCTTGTGTTGACCTTGGTGGTACAACTTGCCATAGCCATCGAAACTCCGTCTCCGGAAATATCCAACTCCCCTTTCGTTGGTGCTTGCAGGATGCGGCAGAACCTGCCAGTCCTCCTCCTCGTCCTCAGCAGGCTCCTCGGCCGCCACTTCTCGCGAGTCCTCTGCTGGTCTGCAGGGCTATTTATTCATTGTGCTTTTGGTAACACGAGTAGAAAGACACACGAGACTTGGGCCGTAGATCGGCACTGCTTTTAGAATGCAGTTCCTGTGAAGAGACTGGCGATGCCACGAAATGCCGAACTTGACAGGAGTTCCGGATGTGGAATTTATGTTCCTATACTATACTGTTATACGGTATTATGCTACACTATGCTGGGTTATGTTGTTCTGATGTGTTGTCTTCTTCTATACTATGACTATGATATTGTAGTTTTTGCCATGCTGCATGTATTTATATTTCACTGCACTAGACTTCTTCTTGGTTGGCATGACATGACATGCCATGTTATGAGGTTGTGTGGCTGTTACAGGGTATGTATATATATATATACACACACATATATATATATATATCCTATTGCATCATTTTCAACTAAAACATAGATACTGATATGCACAGTTGTATATGTATGTATGCATGTATATATATATATATATACATACATTATATATATATATATATATATATATATATATATATATATGTATGTATGTATATACACATATGCGAGTATGTAATATTATTGCACATCATGCATGTTTATTCAACCTATAAAAAGCTTTGTTACACGCCCTGTCTTGATTTTTGTGCGATGCCGTCCGACCGTCCTCGTCAGGGACATTGGCAAGCATAACGGCCTCCTCGGCCACGCTCTCCGCCTACATCGCAAGTCAAACACATGGTTAGCCGACATAACAACAAAAAAGACGACGACAACAGCAGCAACAACGGGAAGGGCAACAAGGACCACAATAACCACCACAACAACAACAACAACGACAACGAGCAACCAACAGCAGCATCAGCAGAAAAACAAGGCAAGAACATTATGCAATGTAAGAATGATTTGGATGTGCGAAACCTACGGCGAGCGCACGTCTAGTGTGCGAGTGTGGAGTTCGCGAACGCCCCGACCACCGTGATGTCTCTCAACAGCTTGCAGAACGGTTTCTTCACAGATCTTCACAGCAATTCCGACAGTGTGCATTGGAAGGGAAGCGAACTTTTTTTGGACTGTTGTTCGGACATGCGTTTGATATTGCGTCTGTGAGGGCAGTCAAGTATTGCTACGAGAAGGTATGCAACAAGAGGAAAAACTGCTACTGTATGGCCTATTTCTTACTTCTATGTAGACATTGATGCGACAGACGGTTTGTTTTGACTTCGGGGGGCCATTCTCCCAACCAGGACTCCTGTTTTCAGGGCTTGTGGGTTTGGGAAAGTGTTCCACCCATTGCTCCTGTGAGAGAAGCTGTCTCAGGCTTTGAAGGCCGGTTAATAGAGGCTCATATTTTCGCTTGGCGAATGTGCGAGTTTTCGGCGGGTCTTGAAAAGTTAAAGTTGCAAGAGCATTTTTGCTTCCATATCGTGCTCCGGCCATAGCGCGGGCACGTTTTCAACTCTTGAATTTTGTGCTTTCGGAAGCCATTTTTCGCGGAAGGGGGGTCGGGGTCTTGGCAAGGGACAGCGCTGGCGCGATTGAAATTAAAACCTTATACACTCTGCCCTTGATTGGTGCCGAGTGCAGAATCATGTTACAAGGTTTCGTGGTGCTTCGAGCCCAGAGCCCTTCGTGCTCCGGTGCTTCGCCGGCTTTCAGGGTTTAGTTCTTTTGCGTTAGGGCCTGGGTTAAGCATCAGACACCAGACCCAAGGGCTTGTTTTCCAAAGCCTGATGTGGAAATCCTGCACTTTACAGTAGCATACTAGATTTTGCTTCCCAGAGGAAGCTCTGAACCCTGCAAGCTTCCCCAAAACTCAATCCCTGCTGCTGCTCATAGAGATGATGAAGCCTTGAAGTGTCCAGGAAAGTCAATCCGTAAAAGCTGAGGTACCGAACACGTGGGTGACTGCTCATCGTCATCGGTTCGGCAACGCAGCTGATTATGCCATTCAAGCCAGCCCCCTCCCCACCCGGCAGGTCTAGGAAATGCGTCTAAACGCAGGGCCCCGCCTCTGTTTTGCGTCTAAAACACTCTTAAATTCACATTAGAAACAAGGTCTGCAATTCCAACGAGAGAGTCGGCCGATGCATCGGGTAAGGCAAAGGAGCAAGCGAGCAGCTTCGGCCCCTGCCGACCCGGCCTGCTCTGCATTCTCAGCGTCAGCCTCGTCATCCTGGGGGTATACCAACATACCAGTGTATACAAAACATGGAATTCTCGGGTTGTCCGACGGCCGCAAGCATCACCTGTGTCGAGCTAGTTGGTGCGGCATGTGGCACACAGCACTACCCAAGCTCGAAAGCTCAGTATTGAGCTCCATCTTCCTTTTGAATGAACTCCAGCCGAGAGGCGGCTGGATGTGGGAAGCCTTGCAGGTTTCCACGAGCTTGCAGGCTGTTGAACTGTTGAACAAAGAACAGGCACATGCCCCCGAATACTGACTAGCTACAAGCACAGTGAACTTCCACGCAATGCTTCGAAGCACAGATTTTAATACGGCACCGGGACTTGGGACAAGTGGCTTGCGAGGGTGTGGCTCAGTGGAGATGTGGAGGCCGCGGGGCCTGAGATATCGAACTTCTGAGTGAGTGTGTTCGCGCCTTCTCTCAAGCTGCAGTCAACCGGACCCGTACTAGAGTACATGCACCTCTTCGCCTGCTGGTACTGCCATGGGAGACGGTGATGTCATCCCTCACCGTTGCAGCTAAGTGGCCCATCTTGTTTCCTGGACAGGAGCCCCATGCCAACACGAATGGAGTCGACGCTGTCATTCCGGTGCTTTGCCGAACTCCGCCGGCTGAAAATTCTATATACTCATTGACACTTGACTTTGGAATTCGAGACGGCTTCTCACCAAACCCTTGCAGAATGTAGGCCCCCGGCGCCCTGCTTTGATGGCTCCGGGCTCGAGCGGTGAGGGCAACGCGCCAGCCCTGGTGCGGTTACAGATCGAATACCACTCCGAATAGCAGGCACAGCTGCCAATAAAATAAAAACATCATCCAAACTGCAAGACCCTTCGTAGCTTGTATTAGGCAAATCCTGGATCTGTGCAAAGGAATTTGGCCTGTTGCTGCACACTCCTAATGCTAGTGACAGTGTGCAGTCGCCAGCATCGTAAGCAGATCGCAAGATGAAGCGTTGGCCTCCAGACCCTCCTCTTTGTGACCACACGCTCGCTCAAGAACATCTGTTCAGCATTCCAATCACCTGGCTGCATGTCTGCTTCAAACAGAATCAAGACCATCACCAGACCTTGTTGGTACGAAACTTCACCAAACGTCTCGAAGTTCTTCTCGTCGCATTGCGTCTCTTCTCCCTGCCATGCGTCGCAACAGAACATCTGCAAGCGACAGGCAGCACCATCCGGCAACATACGTGCGAACACGACACAATCCCGATCTTAAACCACTGTCTGACATGTCATCGGGAAAACTGGTTTCGCGTCTGCTCACCTCTCATCAAGAAGACACTGGCCTCGCGCTGCTCCAGTTGCATCAGCAAGAACCTGAAGAATGGACGCGGAAATGCGTGGAATGGCACCAGGCAAAGTTCGCCCTATGGGCGTTCGATCCAACACATCCCTGTAACACCATGTAGACCAGTCCGAGCAGGATGTACAATGTACTTACTGTACTCCGGCCCGACTCCGGCCAACGGCTTCCAGGGCTGTATTAGGGCAGTCACCCTAGCATAGGTTCGGAAACCTTTTCCAACACAAAACCAAACAAGAGCCATGCGCCAAGATGCTCATCGGTGCTGACCGCCATCGGGCCATTCCCAGGTTCGCCAGGCAGCCTCATTCTCTTTACAGCAGCTGCAAACAGCAAACAGCCGCTGTTTTCTGGGCGGTGGGCATTGAGCAAAATAGTTGTTTTGCCTTTGCTTGTCACGATTGCCCCACATGCCGCCCCACTGTGAGAATCAGCCACATGACAGTTTATCTTTCAGCTCACACCCCGGGTCAGCCCTACGTGTCTGCAGGCTGAAACGGAGAGCGCCAGCTACCAGGTATCGACTTGCCAAGTGACACCTGCCCCGATGACCAGAGATTGGGTGTCCAGTCGCCGGGGACCTCATCTGACCTTTGCAACTTCTGTTACCCTGTCGGATTGCTGAGGATACGTCGTGTTGAAGCTACGATGTCATTATGGTGCGAAGACTGCCTGTGACTGTTCCGGTTTTGCGTTCAGCTCAGTGGGAGGGTGTCTCGACTGCACCAGCTGGCGATAATTCCACACCTACTAATTTAGAATTAGCTGCAAACTTCTCTGGCTCCCTGCAGCTGTAGCACAGAAGAACCTCTCTCTGCTTGCAGAGCGGCTCCTTGCCTGCACCCTTGCGGCGCTCAGCCCGACTCATGGTTTCTTCCTGGAAGGCCGGCTCAACGCTGTTGCTGAACTTTGGCTTGCGTGCTGTCTTGAGTTGGGGTTTCACTTCCGAGATTGCCGGTACTTCCGTGAGAAGGCGCCGCTGCACAGCAAAATGCAGAAAATGCAAACAAAGGGGTTGTGATGGCGCTTCCGTGATTGGTGAATCTGTGTCTGCCAGTGGACATGGAACTGCAGCATTGAAAGGCTCACATCTACCACGGCTTCGCATGTGATACTGGTAGGGCTCGTGGCAGCGAGATCAGGAACTCAATGTTCAAGTACTTACGGGGTGTAATGAGCCCTTATACATACTAATACCAAAACGATTTCGGCTGCTTCAATCGCAACAATCGACTGAATCCCGCAGGCCTGTGCTTTCTTTGTCTCGGCACGGCTGCGCTCAGCCAGTGCCACCTTTTCGCGTCTTGCGGAAGCATCTCAGCTCACTCGGAGTCGTGATGCCAGGTCGGCTTTAGCTGAAACTGCCTTGAACGCCCTTCTTACCAGTTCATCAGGCTTAAAGCCCGCGCAATCAAAGTAGTAAGGGATTCCATATATTATCTATATATTCCCTCCCTAGAGAAAAAATGTGGCTCTCCAAATTGAGCCGTGTTCAAGCTGGATCGCCATCCGGTCCCTCCAATTGCGGTGCGCATCCGTCCAGTCTAGCAGAGGCATTGCGAAATGGCAGCATGCCGCTAAAACATGGATCAACGCAAGGGCAGTCAAGGCTGGCAATCACTCTAATTTGCCCCCATCACCATTACGGCTACCACCACCCCCCATCACCATAATTACGATTAATTAACTTGTTGCAGGTTTTTGTCTGAGGTGATGCCAGCTACCACGGCCCGAGCCCTGATATGCAGCATTGGTCTACTGATTCATGCATCCTTGTATTTTGGCTTCGTGACATCTCATCATATATGAGCGCGCCTCTCGCCGCGTGCGTGGCGCAGGGCCTTCGCTCCGGCTGCGCTTCGCAGAGGTTTTCTGAGAGGCCTCAACTTTGCTGAATGCGCACCAGGAACAAAGGGTCTTATCACTGATAATTAAGGGTTATCAGTGTTCAGCATTGCTGCCATGCGAAACTAAATGTGTGCTTTGGGATGACGAGGATTGAGGGCTTTGACACAGTGGTTCCGGGTCGCTCCGCTGCCCCTGAGCTTGCTTGCTCTCCGGGGCTTGTGATGGGAAACCACATGCCGTTGTAAAGTCGCAGCTCGAAGGAGGCTCGAAACAGTTCGGGTTGAAAAGAAGCTCAGAGCAGCTAGTCACCTAGTCAAAGGGACTACAGGGCTCCAACCGGGAAGCCCAGGAACCGCTGTAGCCAAGCAGCCACCTTAGACTCGATCTTCTTCTTGGCCTCTGCGATCTGCTGTTGGTCGATCGCCTTCTCGACGAGGGCTCGTGCCCAGCGGCTTGTGCGCTCGTCCCGCTTTGCCCTGGCTGCCATCCGTTTCACGCGAGCCTGCTCTTCAAGCTCCTCCACGGGTGTCTGCACCACGTGACGACTTCCGGAGGTCTTGCCAATTTCAGCCAGTCCTTCGAAAGTCCGATGCGCCCAACGTTGGCGCAGACGTGGTGCATTCTCAGTCTCCTCTGCCAGGGCTGCTACTGCGACGGCGGCAGGACTCGCACTCGCGCCGGCTTCACTGCAGAACGCATCCGAAGATTCACCGGTGCCTTGCCGCAACCATCGGCTCCGTTTGGCTGCTTGGTTGGGATCCTCGATCTCCACTTCAGCGGGGGCCGATGAACGGGCTTCCTCTTCTGCAGCCCCCAAGCTGACGAAGGCTTTGTGACATGAGAGGCCGACGATGCCCCACTCCCCTTGAAAGTCCAAATGCTGGACTTCGAGGCCCTCTACATGTGTGCCGATGCGCAAGCTTTCGAGTAAGCCTGCGCGACGTGCATGGTTGGCATCAAGAAAGGCTCGGCAGGAGCGGCCAATGTCTACAAAGACCGTACGGTGCGTGATGCGCTGAACCACGCCAGTGACTTGCATGCCAACACCGAGTCCCAGAGTTGCCACGAGAACGTCCCGCTCCCATCGTGCGCTTCTGCCCGGCTGTGAGTCTGTTCGGCCCAGGAGCTCTACCATGAAGGCCGCATCTGCTTTTGCATGATCCGGCACGTCAGCTTGTGCAAAAACCACAAAAGAATCAGTAGGTGCACCAGGGCCCTGCACCATGGGCAGGATGGTCTCCCGGATCATCTCCTCGCCATATCGTCCGATGGCTTTCTGTTTGGTGCCAAAAAGCCGCAAATATGCAGAGTTGCAAGTGCGAGCCAGGCTTGGCCAGCCATCTTCGAGATCGCCACACCAACCATCCGAGTTTTGGATGTGGATCCAGGCCAAGCATAGGCCCCACCTCCGCAACAGATTTACCACTTCGTCCCGGTGGGCACCGTACCAGGAGCTATGCCGGAACTCGAAGATGTGCAGAACCTGAACGTTTGGAACCAGCGCGGCGAGCAACCAACCGTTCACTCATTTTGCTTCTAGCTGGCTGCCTTTTAGTCTGAGCCACTGGCATTTCTAGGCAGGCGTTTTGCCAGCCTCATCAACTATCAATTGCAGTGAACTCCACAGAATCGACGGTACTCTGCCCAACACCGCATGCCGGCACTCAGCTTCGAGCTCTTCCAATTCGTAGAGGCTTTGCCGCGAACAGCCTCGGATACATTCGTGGCGAACATGTAGTTTGGAAACTTGGTTTTTGCATACATGAAGGACAAGAACCGTACTGCAAATGCATAGACAAGCAGGGGATGTATACATATCTGCATATATATATATATATGTGTGTATGTCCACATATACGCACATATACATGTACAAATATATGTATATGAATGTATGAATGTACAGGTGTATATTTTTGTACATGTGTATTTATGTGTATATGCGGCATGCATGTATGTCATGTATATGTGCATGTACATATATATATATATATATATGGTCGCCCCCCCCCCCGTTGACAGACCATGCCCTTCCAAGGGGGAGGGGGCACTCAGCCCTCAAAAACTCAATTCCAAAATATCCAAAATTCTCGCCCCGAATTTTCCGGATTTCAGAAATTTCAATCATCTCCAAAATTTCCGAAATTTCCAAAAGTCCGCCCTTATGTTTTGGAAAAATACTGTCCACTAGGTCGGGCCGTTTTGGACATTTTGGAAATTTCGGAAATTTTGGAAAATTGTGGAAATTTCCAAAAGTCCGCCCTTATGTTTCGGCAAAATCCTGTCCACTAGGTCGGGCCGTTTTGGAATTCTTGGAAATTTCAAAAATTTCCGAAATTTCGGAAATTGTTGAAATTTCGGAAATTTCCAAAAAGTACGCCCTTATGTTTTGGAAAAATCCTTTCCACTAGGTCGAGCCATTTTTGAAATTTTGGAAATTTCGGACATTTTTGAAATTTTTGATGTTTTTGAAATTTTGGAATTGATTCTCAGGAAGGCTGATTGTGATCCATCCGATGACAGACCATGCACTACGACTCACTTGCAAAGGCAAAGGCTGTCAATACTCATGACCATATTTAAACGAATATCTATCTATCTATAAAAAATGTACTGATACTGATACTTATAGTATTGCCATTGCTAATACTGACATTGATCTTTTGTTGAATGCTCAAAGCTAATACCAGCATTACTACTAATATTACACGTCTATAAAGCCTAGTACGAATATGCATAACACAAATACTAATACTGATTAATATTGCTATTAATACTCCTACGCATATCAATGATCATATTCATAGTGGTAGTAGTGTATATTAATACCAATACTAACACACACCTGTATGTACTGATGTACATAAATATGCATACCACTATGTTAACATACAAATACTTTAACTCACTCATGTATTCAACTGTTAGTACTTTCAGGTGTCAAGAATAATGCTAATACAAACATTCCTGCGAATGTAAATCATCAATAACATTGTAGTACTAACGCTAACACTACTACTAATTTTTGGCTCCCGCTTGGCTGTCTGGCGACTGCATTGCAGGTGACAAGAGGTTAAGGGGCGACTGGCAACAAGAAGTAGACAGTACATGCCAGTCAAAGAATTTCGTCGACCCGACTCGCCGCACGCTGCATGAAACCCTAATCCAACCAAGCAAAGCTTATCACAATATTTATACTAACATCAATATTGACATAGGTATTGATACTCCTGCGAATACGAAGACGTAAACTCTTGTGCATTAACAGTAGTGCTATCACTAACACTAATACGGACATTGACAATCTGTTGAATATTCAAGAATGCCAGTAGTATTACCAGCATGAACACTCATACTATGGCTAAGCTCCTAATTCTAGTAATACTGACATTAATACTCCTGCGAATACCAACAGTATATTCATATTGAGATGAATACTAATATCATTACTAATAGACATCTGCATATACTAATGTACATAAAAATACATACCACTATCTTAAGATACAGATATATACATTAGTGCATTCATGTATTAATGCTTTGGCATGAGCATATACCCATATACCAATATAACAATATACTTCTCGTTGTTGTATGAATATACTATACTAATATGCGAATATACTAATATACGACTACTGCAATATGCAAGTATACCGACATGACAAGTTAGAATACCAATATGCCAACATGCTGACATAGTACACATACTAGTATATTAATATGCCAATGTACGAATATACTGGTATGTTAATATACTAGTAAAATAATACACCAATATACTGATGTATTCATGCACCAGGTGTACGAACATGTCAAATATACTGGTATACAAGTATACAAATATTTTACTGTTCGAATACATTCATGTATTGATACACTAATCTGCTAATATACGAGATTATCCATGTACTAACATATCAAAACTAACTAGTTCTAATATTGATACTAATACTAGCACTTCTACGAATATAAGCTGCTATTAAACCCAGCATTAAGACGGATAGTGATACTACTAGTAGCAGCTGACATTGACACTGGCACTGGCACTAGCGCTAACTCTAGCACGAACATGAGCACTAACACTAATTTATAACTACTAATATTGATATGTATACTTACAGCAACCAACAGTACTGATATTAATAATAAGAATAATAATCGTCATGCTCATCCTAATACCGATACTACCACAAAACTGTTACGTAACTCATGTGCGGCACGTCTGGTGCATGCGTCCTCAGTACACGGCATGTCAAAGTATACGTTGTATATCTACTTAAATGTCTTACTTTACAGGTTATCGTCGGGTGTGGTGTGTTTAGATACAATATCTCAGCCGAGTCACCTGCCAAGAGTACAGTGTCGCAAGGCCATGGTCTGTCAACGGGGGGGGCGAGCATATATATATATATATATATATATACATACATACATATATGTACATGCATGCAGGCATACAACATACATACATACGTGTATAGCATATATATATATATATATATATATATATACATATATATACATATATACAGGTATGATACACGCACAGGTCGCTAGGGCAGGTACACAAACAAATAGGCAGAAGTGTTTTGTTGCCTCCTGCATGGCTGAGTACACGAAGCAGGGAGTTAAGTGACATCCTGGTGGAAGTGTTGGTCCCTTTGACTGTCTGTTCTTGATTTTGTCATTCAGTCCAGTGTCGATGCTTGCACCAGGTCTACGCTCCAGGCAGCAATCAAGAAAAGGCAGTTCATGCGAGCCCCAACCTCAAAAATCGACAGTGCCTATTCATCCTGGTCCTCACGAGAGCACAGCCAAAATGGAGCAGAGGCGCGATGGGAAGGAGCGAGCTGCCACAGGAGGCCGCCCAAAACCTCGGCCTCGAGCCGTGGTAGGGTTGCCCAATGCAAGCTAAAACCGCTGAGGCCTTGTTCATCGATTCATTCACTTCCAACCAGTGCACACATCAGTCCACACTCGGCAGTCGCAGGAGCAATGGCAAGAGCACCGATAGCAATGAGGAGTGACTAAAGCAAACATCGGGTGTCACGGCGGATTAAAACAGAAACGACATGAACAACAGCTTGCCACGGTGACGAAAACATTCATGCTCCGAATGCATTCCTAGAGATTTGAAGGGGGAAGGGGATCACGAAAAGACACATATCTGTCGACACTTATTTATGCTCTCGCAACTCGACACTGAGTCAGGTTTGGGCTTGGTTTCTGTAGGCCTACGAAAGTAACGGAAACGTTGTTCTTTCCTAGTTGCTTCTCACTTGTCATGCTTGGTGCAACCTCCGTCGGACTGCACAGAAATGCCGCCTTCTGGAGCTCACTGTACTTCGACCACAGCTGCGGCCACCACTGGTCTGGACCTTGGGAGTGGGGCATATCATTATGCTTTATATGATACAAGTATTGTCCTATTCTCATGTTTGTATTACTCTATTAGTATAGTGTTATCGCTTTTCATATTGTTATACATGATTATACGATTATACTAGTAGTATATATTTATATGCCAGGACATGGTGACGTTGCCACCTGGGACACTGCACACCACTGAGCCCTCCACTGCGAAGGCGATTTTCGTGCGTGGCCAGGCCCGACACCTTCGAAAGACCACTTGAGCTGGCAACAGCCGAAGGTCCAGTCCAGGTAGGCAGTTTTGGCTGATGTATAAACCCTGAAGGATCAATGGGTCAATGCGGGGTATCAGCTGCGATCAGCCGTTTCTATAACTGCAAAGTTCAACCTGCGGCGGACAGGGGAGCCGGTCCATCTGCCTGTCTCGTCCAAAGCATATCAGTATGCAAGCGTATACACTTCCTTGACTGGTTACCTAATTGTCTGCATCGCCTTCGAGGTTCGCTGTTCTCGGACCGCCCGATCGCATGCACACGGGCTTTTCGGCGATAACATCTGCGCACGGCAAGCTGCGCGAGCTCGCGCAAACGCAGGGCAATGAAGGAGCAGCGCCAGCAACAAAAATCAAGGCCGTGGAGACGTTTGGACTGGTCAATTGCTGCTTGATACACACGCTTAGCATAAACTTGCGCAAACATGTGGCTGGCGCTGCGCACCATTGCAAGGACTGGGCTCTGGCTCTCTTTGAGAGACCCAGATTGAAACCCCCGCTCGGGTAGACTCACCGTTTGGGCTGCAGCGATTCGCAAAGTTTTCTCCATCTTGGAACGGTGGAGTTCCGACCGGAGGCATCGTGTGAATTATGTCATGAGGCCAACTTTCCGCTAGAACCACTTTGCACGCACCTGCCTGCCTAAGCCCCACTATGCCCCACTCATGCAAGAGGATCCTGTGTTTCAAAGTCAGTCAACATGCTGCCACCTACATGAAGTCGGCATCATCACCCCGAAGCAAGATGAAATCTCACATCCAACCGTGTGGCTCTGATTCATGGGCCTTAGTCACCTGGCTGCGAGGTAGGCACCTTTGCGGCGACGGCTTTTTCTTGGCTAGGAGGGAGCCCAACGACGGCTCTCTTGCAATGACGGCTCTCTCTCTCTCTCTCTCTCGTTCGCCCCCGTCTATTGCGGCTGCCAAGATGTTATTACAGGCAAATCGCACTCGAAGGCTTGCATAAGCTCGCTCTCTCTCTTTCTATTCTCTCCTCTCTTCTGGGCATAGCGGGCGCTCCAAGTCCCAGGCCGAAGGCTTTCAGAAGGGGGTGAGATCAGATCCATCCAGAATCCATGGAAAAATCGTGCCAAATGTCACTCGCCATGGGGGAGGGGGGGGGTCCTTCAAGTCCTTTGAAGGATGCCTATCCTAGACGGAAATAGGTCTCTTCGCAAGAAGTCCTCTGTCACGCCTCCACTTTCGCCACGCAAGCTTCGCCACCCTTTACCCTCTCACCCAAAAGCCGAACAGAAAAGTGATCATCACAGCGTTGCCTCCGTCAGCGTCGCCGTCTGCACCTTGCAGGAGCCGCCATTGCCAGCTTGTGCCGTGCTGTGGGTGGAGTTCTGCTGGGCCACCTCGGATATGTACAAGTCTTGCGGATGGCTAGCTAGCATATAGCTAACTAGCAGACAGTTCGCTGGCTAAATAGACAGCCAGGTGCGTACGAGTAGTAAGGGCTAGGATCAGGACGGCTGAAGCTCTGTGCAGTCTGTTCAGGAATCAACTTCTGCGTTCGGCGGCTTGCCGCTCCCGGGCCTGATGTGTGGCTGCACAGCTGGCCTTGCGATTTCTGCAGCCTGGGAGCACGATCTGCCAAGGACGAGAGTTTCCGCAACTGTCCTTGGATCGGGATGAGCCTTCGTCGAAAATGCCTTTCATCCAAGCACCTTTCCGCCAACCAGGGAAGACGCGATCCGAGAGCTTTTGCAAGCCTTGAAATGACCCTCGAGACTCGAAACCTGAGTCTTGAAGCTACCAGCACCGTAACGATCAAAGCCAAGGCACGCCCCGCCTTTGACACATTCGGCACAGAGGAGCTCCGGGGCTGAATCTCGGCAGAAGGACAAACTTCTGCTGGGACAGACTTTCGAAAGAATTGCTCGGAACAACATCGCGTCTGATTCTGAAGACTCCCGCGACTGCACCAACTCTGTGCCAGAGTGCTGTCTTGACATCGACGGGAACTCTGCGATTCACAACCCTATGCACACACGATTATCGGCAGGAGTGGACGCGTCAGGAGCGGCGGTGCAAACCACTAACCAATACCTGTTGGGCAAGACCCGAGAGCCCAAACGAATGAACTGCAACCCACCAACATGAGGCCTTGTCTTTGCCAGTGGCTGTGTCCTGTTCCCCTGGCTCATGCCCACCGGCCGCCTCAGCGCATCCCAAGCACGTCTCCGTCCCATTTGCCGGGGGCCCCTTAATAAGTTAGAATAGGGTTTTGGGGCTACTAGCTCCTCTGACCCGAACAAAAACGACAGCAAGTCGCGGCCGGGCTTCGACATCTCTGATTGTGGGTCACGTTACTGTGGTTGTGTCCGGAATGTTGTGTTCATGTGTGTTCCCATAACACTCCGGACCTTGCTGTCGTAACGATACGGAGGCCGTGGAATACACCCAACCCCTCACCGAAGTGATGCCGCCATGCCACGTAAGCCTTCAGGAACCGTCGAGGCTGGGAAAGAATCTCCTGACGACAAGGGCTCCTTTAGACCTACTAACAAGAGACACTGTCAGATACTGTCAGGATTAGCTAGTGTTGGGCCATGTTGGGCCTTCAGAAAGGGTTACCTCCAGGGTGACGATTCGATTAGGAGGATGAGCATCGAAGGGACCCCCACTTTCACCCTGGGGTCCATTCAAGTCCACGGGATGCTCGGAATGCTAGGCGAGTAAGTCTGTTCGGCCCACCCTCAGCCGCAAGCCTACCATGTTGCTCAACTGTGCGATGCTAACCAGCCATGTCTTTCTCTGCTTCCCAAGTAGAGGTGCCGTGTGGCCGAATTCAGCACAAGGAGCCGACGACGCAGTGGCCACATCCTTCTGGAATGCGTGCAGGGTCTGAAACAGCTGCCTTGGCCCACAGGTATCTCGTGACATCCCGACATCAAGCCGCATGCCGAAGGTCCTTTCCCTCGGATCCGAAGTCTTGGTTCTAAAGTAAAGCCTCCCCTGGAGTCTACGATATTTTGACGTATCAGAGGAAGCTTCAGGAACAAGCCGAGCCACTCTGCGGCTGCTTCGAAGGTTGGCGTCTCTGCCTGCATACAGTCGCAATTCGCAGTAACGGAACTTACATATGCTGCTCTGTATCCATATACATGCATCCATCCATTTGTATATATGCGTGTGCGTGAGTATGTCTCCAGCAGCACTTGCAGGCGTGAAACCGCTTGGCGAGATGAGGCACGGGCGCGGCGCTGGTTGGATGCCCCTTTGGACTATGTCAAAGTGCAAAACCAGCGCCTCGCGCCTCGTCTACATCCTGGTTGACAAGAGCCCTCAAACCGTGTGACTCTCTGGAAGGTGAGCTTGTAAGCCCCATCTCGACACACAGCCTGAGGCACAGTTGCTAAACTGTTATAGACATGCTTACCGGCTCACTGAACTGTGAGGCCGCGCAAGCTCTAAGGAACTGGTAACCAACACTATTGCTTGGCATGGCTCTCCTCTAGCTGCAACGTCGGCAACCCCGTGCCATCACGACTGTCACAATAACTCACACATCTGGATTGTCACTCTCCCTCTCCTCTCTGCATGGGGACCATTGCATCGGGCGAGCGGCCCCCGCGCGTCTCTACGCCCCGGGGCTCTTGAAGGTCGGAGTCTCTCTCGCTCTCAGTCGCTTGCAAACAGGGTCCGAGATGGGGCCGAGGCCGCGCATGGCAGCGCCATGCAACGCATTCTGCATCCCAGGAGGCAGTCACTGTGTGCCCACTCTAAAGTAGCCATGCTCCATTGCAAAGTAGCACTGAGCATGACTCACAAGCAATGGCATTGTCCAGGGCAGACAGCACCACGCCCGCCTCAGCAAAGTAGCGAAGCGTGACGCCCAGGTCGATTCGGAGGGCCGCCCAGGCCTTTATGTGGAGCAAATTTTCGTGTGGGCGAGTGGCTGCCTATTGCTTGCATCTCATCACAGTCCCCCAGAAAAGTGTCGCACCTCTACAAAACCCCAGCCGACCGATTCGGCTGCTGTTCATGCGATATGATATTGAGAACTATGGGGACCTGGCAAGCTGCACCCAAGGAAGCTTCAGAAGCACGGAACCGCTGGACCAACCGTTCAAACACAATCGAAGACGCAGCACTTGGTATTGCACGTGGAGAGTCGGAATCAATTCCAACATGTGCAGAGGTGCTTCATGTATTCTACCAATCCGAGACAGGTGCGCTCTGAAGCTGTTGGCGGGCGGGCAGCACGACCTCCTGCATGAGTAGAAGAATCAGATTCGGTTCTCTCGGTGGTATTCCTTTCACGAAGACAGTTCATTCGTTTTTTGCGACAGCTGGCCATGCTAACACGGACTGCAGTTGAAAGGAACTCTTTCAACTCATCCAAACTTCAATCTGCAACGCCCCGTCACGGAAGCGAAACCCGATCAGTGGAGCCTGCTCTAACAGCAGGGGTGCAACTTCTCAAAAAAGGGTCGCCAGACTTGCAGACTTGCAATCCCTTCATCCTGGTGTATGGCCCGGAGCTTCGCGCGCACGGCTATGGAATTGGCTGGATCATCTGCTTCTGCTAGGAGCCATGCCTGTTTCGGTAACGGTGCAAGACTGGAACTTGTGGACTCGATATAGCTCCACACGTAGCCAGCCTCCTCTGCCGCGAACTGCTGAATGGCCTTCGAAATGTCAAGTGGAGAAACACGAGCTATGCCAGGAAATCCAGCTTCAAAGAATTTGTGCCGCTCAGGTCTCAACGAAACCACCACTGGTGTGTCCCGACATGGCCCCTGCATGTCACATGATCCCCGAAGCCAAGCCTTGTCAAGGTCCGCCAGATCCTCGCGAGCAGCCGGTTCCAAAGCCTCCAACTCCAGGGCGAAGCTGGAGCAAAGGCCCTGGAGCACGGCGACCTGCGGCTGCACTCGGCCCGACCAGGTCAAGCAAAGCAATCTCAGGCGTTACGACACTGTTGGCGCAGTGTGGCTGAAAAACGTCAAGAGTCAGTGGTTCG